AGCAGGAAGCCAGGATCTTGATATGGTCATTGGTAAGCTTGGTGATTTTGTTTATTTCTTGTACCGAACGATTTCATGTCAGATAACTCAATTCCGGGTGAATCGTACGCTCTTCCCAGTGCCATGGACGTGAACTTGGATTGTATTGGTGAAAAATTAATCATTACACTTTCATATATGCTAATGTCTGAAATAGCTCGCTCTAAACCTCAAAGGTGCATCAGACTACCGAAGCGATATCGAGTCGCCGAACCTGTGGAACATGTTGTCCACGATATCGAAACCTCTACTCAGGATGCGACAGAAGATGACCACTCGGCGACACATGATATACCACCAGCTCGCAGTGTTGTTCGAAGGGTGATTCTGCTGGTCACAGAGTCCCTTCGCAATGTCATTGGAGCATTTGGTCTAACTCGTGATTATCTACAACGCCCATCTTATGAACCCGATGTCTTCGTCCCCTCACGTTTACTGGCCAAAAAATGCCTGACATTACAGCCGCCTAATTCAGTTCCTCCACCTCCACATCCCTTTCCAAACATGACCGTGTATCGGCTGCTCAACTGGATGTCCAGTGGAAGTACAAGAAAGTCCGAGGCGGAAGTTTCACGTCTGGTCCATGACGTGTTGCTCGCAAAGGATTTCAACACCACCGACCTGCAAGACTTCAGTATGAGGAAATCCCTGAGACTCCTCGACATTCCAGATCAAAATTCGTGGGACAGCGATGTACCCTCTGCAGCTGTGACGTTCCCGGAAGGTTGGGTGGAGGCGGATGTCATGATAAAAGTCCCAGGTCGGAAGGGTGACACTTCCGGTGGCCATCCGTTTAAAGTCCCAGGGCTTCACTATCGGCCGTTGGTCAGCACCATTCGCGAAGCATTTTCAGATGCTCAAGCGAAGGCATTTCATCTATGGCCATTTCGCCGTCTTTGGACTAACCCGAACGATGGGCGAACATATCGTCTTTATGATGAACTTTATACATCAGATGCCTGGATACAAGCCCACGACGACCTACAAAAGCAGCCCAAGGAGCCTGATTGTACTCTTGAGCGAGTAATTACTGGCTTGATGTTTTCCTCCGACGCAACACAACTTACCAACTTCGGAAATGCAACAGCATGGCCGTTATACTTATTTTTTGGCAATTTGTCAAAGTACGCTCGCGCAAAACCCAGCTCTGGAGCTTGTCACTTAATCGCTTTCCTACCGTCTGTAAGTGTTGTTTACGTTCATTGTTCAAAGCAATTTCACATCAAGGTGTAGCTTCCAGGTCGAATTAAAGACACTTTTCGAAATCTCGGGGTCTCTACGAAAAGTGGGATAGCCGCTCTCTACACACATTGCCGGAGAGAGCTCTTTCAGGCCTGTTGGGATATTCTTTTGGATGAAGACTTTCTCCATGCATACCGCCATGGTATTGTAATGAGATGCCCTGATGGCATACTTCGCCGCGTGTTTCCCCAAATATTTACATATTCTGCCGACTATCCAGAAAAGTGAGTGAGCTCAAAGACATCTGTCGCATGCTACTGTAACGAGACTATCAGGATTCTCATTGCGACCATGAAAGACATGGGGTCTTGTCTTTGTCCACGATGCCTGGTGACAAAATCAAAAGCTGATCGTGTTGGATTTATGAAAGACATGCGCGGGCGAATTGAAGATCTAAGAATTTACTGCTTGCGGAAGGTACAGGCTGCTCGGGACATGGTATACAAGTCTGGATATGCCGTTGATGGCGTTGCGGTAGAGAAAGTTCTCTCCAGTGAGTCATGGATTCCGACTATCGTAAGTATTTCGCTCGTCCTATTTACTTTGGCTGAGATATGACATGCAGAACGTCTTCGTGCAAAAGCTTGGCAGCCTCGGACTCGACCCATTTCGCATGCTGGTCGTCGATTTTATGCACGAGTGTGAATTAGGGACCTGGAAGAGTCTCTTTAGTCACTTGATCCGCCTCCTATATGCGCTCCCGAAAGGTGCCGAAGTTGTAATTACACTCAATCAAAGGTAAGACTTTGTCGTTTAAAACTTGTGGAAAGGCTCACCACACCACCAGGTTCAGGCATGTACCCACTTTTGGCCAAGGCGTCATCCGAAAATTCTCTGATGATACGGCGAGCATGAAGAGATTGGCTGCAAGGGACTTCGAAGATATCTTACAGGTCGTTGTTGTTTCTTTCCAGAGATCGTTGCTGATGTTGTTGCAGTGTGCTATGCCCGTTTTTGAGGGACTCCTGCCGACCCCGCACGACACAATAGTGCAGACGCTGCTATTCAGGTTTGCTGAATGGCACGCCTATGCAAAATTGCGGCTACATAGTGAATTAACTCTGGTTTCTATGTCACAAGCATTTACTTCGCTCACTAAGCAGCTACGAAAGTTCCGTCGTCAGATCTGCGATAACTATGATACTACTGAACTTCCAAAGGAAAAGGCTGCACGGCATCGACGCGAAGCACTTAAGGAACACCGAACTACTGACGCACCGCCATCCTCTCCAAAGAAGAAAATTTTCAACATGAAAACCTACAAGTTCCACGCTCTTGGAGATTACGTCCAGTCTATCAAGTTCTTTGGGACGACCGATTCTTTCACAACGCAGATAGTGGGTGCTGGTTAGTTATCAGTTTGAGCATCTAAATTTGATACGGATTGCAGAGTGAACTTGCTCATCGGGCCATCAAAGCACTGTACCCGTTCACCAACAAACAGAATACCGCCAAACAGCTTTCAAAACACGAACGACGACGACGACGACTTCGGAAGATGCAAGAGGCAGAGAAAGCCTCGTCTCTTGGCCCAGTCTGCGTTGAAAATATTCCACCTCCGGATCCCCGCCTTCATCACCAACTATCCCACCATCGCAATTCTCCTGTACACATACACAAACTACTGCAGGACAACAAAAACGATCCAGCATTTGAGGTGTGTTCTCATGAGTCTCCGTGCATTAGCTACTCAGCCACTTTCACAAGAAATTCATTCCAAAACTCAAGGACCATATATTACGTTGCTTGCACGCGCAAGATGGCCTCATTGAATTCTCAGGCGATGACCGAAATGAGGTTGTCATATGTGACAACGTTCTGTTCTCTGTCAATACACTACGCGTCAACTACACTTCATACGATCTACAATCCCAGCAAGATTTGATTAACCCTCGAAATCACGCTGATATCATGGTATTGTCAGGTGATTCTGAATCCCGCTCCAATCATCCGTATTGGTATGCTCGAGTACTGCGCATATTCCATGTTAACGTACTTGATTTACGATCGAGCGGAGCAAGCCCACAGAAAACTCAGATGGAGATATTGTTTGTCAGATGGTTCGATCCAGTGCGGCGGTACCGGTCAGGGATCAAGGCAGCTCGTCTTCCAAAAGTGGCTTTTGTACCCGAGACAGACGACTCTGCTTTCGGTTTCATCGATCCTGCATTAGTGGTTCGCGGGGTACACTTGATCCCGGCTTTTGCAGATGGATGCGTACGCCAGTCTGCACAACGGCAAAAATCAACTCAATGCACATGGATGGAGGACGACACATGGACTGCATACTATATCAACATGTGAGTCGTCGTCTCAATTTTTTAATTCATTCTCATTCAACATGCAGTTTTGTGGATCGTGATATGTTCATTCGGTTTACTGGTGCTGGTGTCGGACATGGTCCTTGGCAAGTGGATAGCCCAAGTGATGACGAATCTCGTGAGGAAGATGAACTAGCGGACGATAACGAGAGTGAGGAGGAGGAGAACGAGGAGAACGAGGAGAGCGAGGAGAACGAGAATGAGCAGGACGAGAACGAGGAGAGCGAGGAGAGCGAGGAGGAGAGTGAGGACATGAGCGAGGAGAGCGAAGAGGAGAGCGAGGACAATTGTATGGAAGATACAAGTCTCAGTGACTATGATATCGACGACGATGGTAATTTCTGATCTATACACTGTGCATCCACTTAGTCAGACTCGATCGCGTAGTCTGCAACTGCGCAACGAACTTTCGGGATAACCCTGCACTCCAGGATCAATCCAAGCTCATTCTGCGCACTTCGCTCGCACTCTCCGCAAACTATCACTCTTTCAATTTGCCGACAAATAAGACAGATGTTGGTTTCGAAGGAAACACCATCGTTATCCAACGTACGGAGGAAACGGACACAGTCTTCTTTTGCAAGCCACCTAGCAGCCGTACTGATTTTACAAACATTTGTCAGAAATATTTGCTCGATTAATGCTGCATTCTGATTGGTACCTTTCGCAAAAGCATGGTCCACCTGCGACATGGTGATCTCCCCTTGATAGTGAAATGAGAGTGTGCGGTCTCAATGTTCATATTCTAGAATGTCGATAAAATTTTACTCGTGTGATGTCAAGCTATCCAAATACATGTCTCAATAGATGAAAATATGTAATCCTCACCAAATATTTTTCAGCCATTGCTGAGACTAGCCAATGCTCTGGTCATATTACTTAATGTTTATGTTGTCAGCTAGTGCGTGGTTCAATTGTGACAAAATGACTTGCCCCTTGTAAGTCATAGATATAGAATGAGAGAAGTGCAGTCTAAGAGTTTGCGTTCTACAATGTAAAACATAATTTGCCGGAAGCGCCCTCAGCTTTACAATGCGGTGTCGAGCTATGTACACCCACGCCTTGATAGACGATGTTATGTAATCGACATCAGGTCATAGCGAGCTACCTTCTATTCAGTGATGCAGGTGGTGCTGACGGAGTACGAAGTATTGTAAAATCTGAGACCAAATTTGCCAGTGACGTGGATCTGGTGATAGGCTGCCGCGCCTCTCGTGGAATTTGACAGTGCTGATTGCCTTTTGACAACATCTGGAGGTATCAAGATATTAAGTGAATGATGCGCAGGAGAGGAATGAGTAGAATGATGATGGAAAGGATGCTCGCAAAGTGGAGGCTGCACGAGAGACATGATTCACGAGTTAGTGTTCAGAACTCCGACTTCATACACAGACCCTGAAATCGTTGCCGTCAATCAGTCTCTTGCACGTTTTGGTGGAGCTATGAAACCAGGAGCATACCTTGTGGATGCTTATTCAATCTTGCGCTTCGTCCCAGGATACCTGAGTCAGCTGGTGGACGCGGTGCGAAGACAGATACGGTTCGTTGTTTTGGTGTGATAACAAATTTCCTCACTCATCACTATCAATTTGACCTTCGAAGTTCGCGCGGAAGTCCAAGTCACTTCCGCACACCTAACGGAGTCTGGCACTAACCCAAAGCTTCAACGTTGGCTGCGAATGCATGGACTCCGTCCCGCATCTTTCGCATTATGTTTGATGCACGAATGCAAACCCTTGTTTTACTGATTCATTGTGCCCCAGTACCGCACGTGTCTTCAGCTTCCTGCCTCAAACCGGTCAGTTCTTTCTCCGGACTATGGGCATAACCAGCAGTACTTTACTCAACACAGCTGGTGACCAACGTACTCCAGCAAACAAGTCTCCGTGCGCCTGCAACCACAGTGAAATTGGCCCTGCCAGGTCACACGGTCACCTATCCTATCACTAGACTCTATTTCCTCGCCCCCGACTGTCTATTCGGTGCGTCGATCGAGCTGTGATTCGCGATTTGCTGTTAGAGACCGTTTGTTTGTAAGGTACCGTGACTATTTTGTACTTATAACAACAACACATCCCATCGATGACACTGATCTGTGCCAACACAGGATGGACCTGCACGGGAACAACGGGTTTCACTCTTACAAGATAGATGCCTACTGAAACACAATGCCATCGAGATGAGCCTTCTGGCGTGTTGCAGGTTGATTGTCTCCCATGTGCAATTTCCCCCGATGGTGTCGCACAAGTATTCAACATCTATCAATCACGAATCAGGATGTATCTGGCAGTACAATACATCACCATGACATCAAGTGCATGGTGCATTGAACATAGTGAGCTTTGCATCGGATTCGCTCTATGCTTACCATCTCTTTGTTCATCATTTTGATGTAATCATGATAGCCCAATGATTCAAGCGTACCAGGCGACGGATGAGGTGAGATATATTGGCACTCTGTCGCGGTTTCTTGTCTGGGTTCCGGAGAATGACCCTTGTTCCATAAGAGTACTCGGAGGGCTGTTACGCCTCGGGCTCAGCCAACGATGCCGAAGAGTTTGTACATACTTGTTTTGCGTACATCATACTTCGACCTGTGTTATGTTGATGACTACATGATTTCATAGGGAACTCCTCGATTTTTGAAAACTCGCAGCAAAAACACCCCAAACATCACGTTGGAAATGAGTTGCCGACATCATCAACAACTGGAACTTTAGTAGTGGCATGTGGAATACCAATTTGGACATCAAAATCTACTTTGATTACTGAGGGCTTCGTTTTGATTTCGCAGCGTTTCACCCAATCAAGGGTCTTGAGGCGGGATCAAACATCCATCTTCGTTATGCTGATTTTGGCGATACGAGGGCCGAACGGTGGTATATTTAGCAGAGACGCTGTTGTCATACACCACTGACATTCCCCACTCGCTCACCCATCCTTCGAACATGACCTACGTCTCAAATGATGCCAGTTGGTGGCCGACAATCAATTTGAATATTTTTTTCAGCTATTGGATGGGTTCGTCGCATCCGGATGTCTAGATCCAACGTTGACATGTAGTTTCGCAGTTGCAGCGGGCATCGTGGTGGTATACGATTGGGGTGAGCAGGACAGTGTTCGAAAATCGCTGATTTTCTTATGATATTTCCAGTCTTAACACTCGGACAAGAGGTACGTCGATGTTATTGCCGCAGCAGCCAACTCGCTAAGAATGGTATCATAGATTGAACTCATCTGGGTGAGTGACAAGAATCCGTATCAGAAGAAAACAAGAGCATGCAATGAATTCACGACAGAAACAACGCCGGTCTCTCATGACCATGTTGTATTTAATTGTTAGTACCTCATGTTGTGCTTTAGCGTGGTGGGCAACTTGTGCTGACTCCAAATGTTCTAGATACGCTATATTGGAATATTGTATTCTATGTATGTGTCGAGATCAACTTTTCACTGTGCTAATAGTTAATCTCTGACAACTAGTGTCAATGTTCTGAGTATGTTTCATTTGCGCTGTGTTACATTTTTCTGACCGGCGAGACACAGACACCATGCCATCGGTATCGCTAACAGATGCAGTAAGTATTCTGCAACCAAATCATTCCCATCTAATCAATACGCTCATATGTAGGGGTGAGTGAGATTCCAAGCATTGAACTGGGTTCAACATAATGACTCAATAGATGTAAGTCGGACTCTTTGATACCAGTGCGAGGGCGTTCACTAATTGGGAGTTTTAGGCACTATCACGTACCACGCACTGAATGGCACAAATGTGACCTTGACTGCCGTGTTGGGTAGTAAGTTACCCAGGTGCAATACCTCTGTGATATGGACCTGACTAGCACACGACGCAAGTCATCATGATTGCTCGGTTGCATGCCATGTATCAGGGATCTAGAACGATGCTTATGTTCCTTGTCGTCATCTTCCTCGCTGTAAACATAGCCTGCGGAGTAATGGCGGCAATAGGACTCAACGATACTGTACTGGGTAAGCCTTACTTGTTGACTTGAAGAACACGGCTCATTGGACAAACACCAGAGGAGTTCATAATCTCTGATATATATATATGTCATTATGTATATGAAGGGGAGGAGCAGCTTCTGTTTTCATTGATTTGGATGCTCAACACTGCTTGGGAGGTCCTCGCACTGTGTCTTTCAGTTTGGGTTGCTGTGAAACACTTCCGTGAGCTGCGACGACTTGGCCCATCGACAGGATCGACCATCGGGGACTGTTTCAGAGTGCTCATACAATCCCACGTTCTTTATTTTGCAAGGTGAGCTTGTAATGTGAACGCGGTTATATTTTTGAGCTCAAGTTCCGCACATGTTAGCTTTGTTGGTGTCTCTTGCCTCCAGTTTGCTGTTCTCTCTCCAGAAATCTCGGTGCGCTGACCTGTTGCTGATATCTGCATGTAACCACTGCTCATCATTTTTGTAGGCCTCAAATTCTATTGGAGCTCAGATACTCATTGGTACTCTTCAAATTTTATCAGTCGTGCAGATGTTTGTGCTGGGACCACGCCTCATCCTGAGCGTTCGAGAATACCATGCTAAACTCGTGGCACACTCCACCGCAGAAACTAGCATGAATTCGATTGTTCTCGAGGAGCATGTACATGTATCGACTAGCAGTACTGTGTAGGGAAATGCTTGCCCAGTGGTCTGCAGGGAGGACAACCTTGGTGGAGGATCCGTCGTGGTATTTATTTAACATATGGTGTTGTTGCTCGAAACATCCTTAGTAGATATAAAAGAATCCAACGTCCATTGAAATGCAGGTTATACAAGATATAATGACTATGTACACGATCATCAATCTACACCAAAAGCACCTCTAGTCTCATCAGGGTACTGTTTTACTTTACAGCCACCGCGGCCTGAGTCTCACAAACCTGGTCCTCACGCTTCCATCAAAGCCTGAGCTGCCTTTCTTGCATTAGCTTTCAGGCCCTCGACCTGTAACTCCATGTTGCGAATCTTTTCTCGTGCTGCGCGGAGCTCACTATTGAGCCGATCGACTTCAGCTTCTAACACAGTGGTCTTGCCCTACACATAGCTTAAGCGTCAAACTTCAAGATCGATACCAAGAGAACGTACTTCATCATCAACTTGCGTTGGCGGAGTGAGGATAACAGGAGACTCTGAGATAGTAGGCGAGGCGGGTCGAGGCACTGGTGCCGACTCGGATCTCAACAGGACTGGTGTCTGTGCTACATGTGTAGGCATGGTAACAGCTTTAGTGACAGGCGGAGGTGCACTGAACGCAGTAGGTGCGGGTACATGTGTCGGTGCAGGAGCAGGCGCCGAGGGCGTGAATGATGATTGTGCACCATTGAACACAGCACCATTCTCGAGACTAACGAGCTTTAATGGAGCAGTCTTTCCAGCAAAAAATTCGCTTGCTGAGAGAGAAGACTCTGACGAGGCCGCAGCTGGGTAAATGTCGGATTGGAATGAGTCCGCCTGGTGACACTGTCAGTGAAGCTATCGTAAGTCTTTCAAGAAATATTTACTTTGCGAGGCACGATGAAAGCGATAGGTTCCACGGATGAGCCTGACACCTTGTACGCACGGGCAATCTCGCAATCCGACACGTTGAGGGCACGACGAGGGAGGAAACAGATTCCCCGCTGGGGATCCGGAGATTTGTGTTCTGCTAGTGCGAATAGCGAGTCACTTTCGTATTCGTAATACCGGATATTTCCATCGCTGTTGGCTTTAGATTAACCACGAATAACAAACACATTCAATTCCACCTTACCCTTTGCCAGCTAGAAGTAATGATGTGAGAAAAGACAAGTCCTAAGCACATGCGAGGCGCTCACCCAGGAAAAGAATGCCATTGTCACTCCAGAAAGGCATGACGACACCAGCAGACTGATCGATAGTCATCGTCTTAACACTTCCAAGACCTCCAGCTTCCCAGATGGAGACTTGACGATCACTCATCTTGCTAAAACCAGTAGTCGCAATCTTGTCAAGATCGCCCATCCACACGACACGAGCGCCCTTGATACCACCATGTGCCTCAGTGATGCGAACAGCTTCGCCTCCAACGCGAGGATCAAATAGACGAAGTTTTTTGTCTCTGCAGGTCGTCGCCATGAGTGTACCGGTAGGATTGAAGGCGAGACACTGAATGGTATCGGTGTGTCCGGTGAGAACAGAACGTGGGCGATCAGTATCAGCAAGATCCCAAAGCTTAACTGTGTGTTCGCTGGAAGCACTGGCGAGGACGTTAGACGCGGTTGGGTGGAAGAGAACCTGGCCGATCTTGCGTGGTGATGCATCGATCCGGGCGACAGGGTCAAAGTCTTCCGGTACCCAATGATCCTGGCCCCAGTCTTCAAAAGCGGAAGACTCGACCTTCCAGATCATGACCTTTCCATCTTCACCGCCAGAGGCAACGATAGAGTCGTTATGTGGGGACCAATCGGTGTCGAGGACGGGGGCGGTGTGACTGCGCGCGAGGGGAATAACATCAGGAAGTTTGTGCGGGAAATTTGGGACAGCTGCAAAAGGGGAGGGGAGGGGAAGTATTGCAAATGCGCCACCTCCGGATGCATTCCAGTTAACGCTGATGTATCGCTGGGGTGGTATGTCAGAGAAGGACGGACGTGAAGAAGGAAAGTGGTCACCCCAGAGGCAGAGACAAGATTCGTATCCCATGCGCTACCGGAGACCTTCACATTGTCATATCCATGTTCTTTCTTTGCTGCCTGTCCGAAGACATGGCTGTGGGAGACGCGATCGTCGATCAGTCTCTCGGTGTGCTGCAATCTTGGGCATGTACTCACCGATACTTAGATGCACGAACAAATCGAGACATTGTCCGCAGTTATCTGCAAACGACGAATATTTGACAGATGAAGAGAACCCGTGTCCTATGCTGTAGCAACCTATGCCCCGCGGCTCTCGCCAATTAACAGTGTGTTTCGCACAGATGCTGGCAGTTACTACTAAGATTCAGAATCACCGAAGAGGGGTTTACGGCGTGCGAAAGTTATGCGGGAAGGGGGGTCGTACACTACCCCAGCTAGACCATTTATCCGCCCGAAAGGCTTATTATGTAAGTAAGGACGCCCTATTATGAATCGATTCAGGCATAACGGATCGGAACGCTTGTATATAGTGTCCTCCATATAAGTACGCCTCTTGATTTTGAGCGATATATACTACGTGAGGGTACGTATCAACTACGACATGAACACGGCATAGTAGGGTTTCACTGGGTTTGAACATTTCTCGACTAAGCTTCTATATATGGTAGAATCAAGTGTCTCCATACGATAATAATACTACGTGATGGTACGACGTTATCAACTACGGCGCAAACTCATTCGAACACGGTATAGTGGGGTTTCACTTTGTTTTTCACTTCTCGACTAAGCTTCTATATATAGTATAATCAAGTGACCTCCATATAAGTACGCCTCTTGAGCTTATACTACGTGAGGGTACGTATCTGATGTATCTACTAGCTATATATGTAACTAATGGTTTCACTCTGACTCACTCAATTGTTGAATCGTCAGTTTGCAGCAAGCCGTCGATAGTATAATAAGGTAACTCACATCATGCCTCGACCATAATCCCTTCCCATGCTCTTCACTCTAGGAATATCATGCATTATTGCCCTGCTTGTCGCTTTGCGTCTGACTCGCAGACATGTCTCCCCTTTCCCTCTGCTACCTGGTCCTCGTCCCTTACCATTTTTGGGTAACGCGCTGCAATTGGATACTAAACGTCCTTGGCTCACATATACTGCGTGGGAAAAGACATATGGTTAGTAGCTCTTTGCCAACCTCCTGGATTGAATTTCATGCCTGATCGTAGGAAAAATCTTCCGCACCCGTGTATTTGGGATCGACATGATCATTATAAACTCCGAAACCATCGCCCAGGAGTTGCTGGAAAAGCGTTCTGCAAATTACTCTAACCGTCCCGTTCTTCGCACCAACGAATTGTATGCATTACCGGCTTCCATTCAACTTGTTCTTCATCTACTGACGATGCAGAGCTGGAATAACTTTCAATACTGTAATGCTTCCGTATGGGGAAACTTTACGACGACATCGCAGGATATTCCATCAAGTCCTTAGGGCCGAAGTTTCAATCTCGTACCACGAGATATACTCTCGCCATGCAAATGAACTAGTCATCGATCTCTTAGGTGCCACTAGGGACTCACTGCAGCATCACACTGAAGCGTTCGTACCTAATTCAAGGATGCCGTTGTGGCGTATGGTTCAGTTGACGATCAATCCTTGTGACAGATACTCGGGATCCCTGATCATGACCGTGACATACGGACATCTCGCCAATAAAGGCTTATTATCTTCCCGTGCGCACGAAATGCTTGATATTATAACACAGGTTCTCTCTCCCGAAAAGGCTGTCATGTTCACAGCCTTTCCTTTCCGTGAGTGCCTCTGTCGACGACACGATCTTGAACATTCAGCATGAGGTTGCAGTCGAAAAGCTGCCGTCTTGGTGCTTTGGTGGAGCATTTGCCCTGATGGGACGTTGTAAAGAATTGTGTCAACAAGTTTTGAACGAGCCCTTTAACGAAGCGAAGGCACAGATAGTACGTTCGCGCAGACTTGTGGATGAAGGCTTCGCCTGATCTGTTTGCGTGAAGGCAGATGGTACTGCTTCGCGCTCATTAGTTGCTGACTTTCTCAGTCAAGCTCACGACGACGCTGACGAAGACATTATGAAGGCTGTTGCGTTGATGGGATATATGGGTAGGAATTTGTTTTTACCAAGACGGAGCTCATCTATTGACGAAAATACGGCATCTTACTAGGTGGCATGGAAACCGTGAGTTGCTACTTACTTGAAACATTTCTGATTCTTACTTTGATGTCTCGCAGACTGCATCCGTATTGCGGGCATTCCTGCTGGCCATGATGCTCAATCCTGACATCCAATCCCGTGCTCGTGCAGAAATTGACCAAGCTGTGGGGCATGACAGCATGCCGTGCCTTGATGACAGGGCGTCACTGCCATACCTTGATGCCATTCTCCGCGAGGTCCTAAGATGGCATCCTCCCACCCCCTTAGGTTAGTCGGTGGTAATATAGCTTTGTGTTTGCATGGCTGACCCCTTGCACAGGCATCGCACATCAGACATCAAATGACGATGTTTACGACGGGTACTTTATACCCAAAGGTTCGAAGTCGTACGCATCAAGGTTGTCGTTGACTGACATATAGTTCGATCAGGTGCAATGGTAATGGTTAATCAGTGGTATGTCCGGCTGGAGTGCATGTAATGGGTTGAGCTGAGCATTGCTCAGGGCACTGTCTCGAGATGAAGACATATTTCCCGATGCATCACGCTTCGATCCTAGCCGCCATCTGACCGTCGATGGGAAACTGAAGAACTCTGTCGTCAACCATTTTGCCTTTGGTCATGGCAGGTGAATATTCCAACCTTACTATCATCTTCAATCATCCACTGACCCTTGCAGGCGTATTTGTCCTGGTAGGCTGATTCATCGCTGATTTGGCAGTGTTATAACAAATGCCTTTGATAGGTCGTTGGTTTGCAGATAATGGTCTGTGGAGTGCAGCTGCTGCCATACTCGCCGTCTTGCGCATCGATCATGCCAAAGACTCGAACGGAGACAGGATTGAGGTGAAGCCAGAGTTCACCACTGGTGTAGTCACGTAAGTGACCCAGTATGTATCCAATAACCTGCAACTGACTCTGCCGAAGTCACCCTGAACCATTTCACTTCTCGTTTGAAGTCGTGAACGCAACGAGAGAAGCACACATCCGAGCGATGATGAATTCGAAGTAGACTTGGTTTGTACTCGAGGTGGTCTGACATATGATATGGTGTAAAGTGTACTGTATGGCACGGTTTTACGGTCTCTGCTTTTGTCTGTCTTTGATGAACAAGAAATTTGCTTTCGAACAAATTGACTCTTCATAAACTAGACCCGTTTCCAAAATCTCGTGAACCGGCGCAACCAAGCTGCATACCATTGATCGATTCACAGGCCCTTCCCGTTGGTCCGCCTCTATCGATGGATAGTAATCCATGCACTCGTACTACAGCATACATATATTGAGTCATTCACGATCTGAGTCGTTAAAAATCTACTATAAGTCTCATCCTCCAGTTACTTGTTTCTCGACTTCATAATTCTCACAAGTCTCGTCCCATGCAACAGCACTCCGATTCAGCTAGTACCAAATAACACAGGATGCACAAAGATAAGTAACAACGGTATCAAAAAGCATCCCAGTCCATTAATGGTAACAATAAGTTTGAGAGGTATACTACATATTTTTCCAAGATCAGAATGCCAAACGCGATAATCTGGTATCCCAAACCTTATGCCTGTGGAATGAACTTAAGCATGACCCACACGATAAGAGCGCTGAGGCCCAGCATAAGCAACATTGCGCCAACGACATAGGCGGCAAGCTCCCATGGAAAGAAGTCCTGAGGTAAGGGTGCGTTCCTTGGATCTGCGGCAAGACGCTCGGCTACCCTTTTCTCCTCTGCTCTGAAGACGGCTGTTCTCTTGTCTGCAGAGTCGTATGTCGACCCCCTTTCGCTGAGTATGACGAACGAGGGGAAATTTTGTTCATACCATTGTTCGATCTGAATAATGATGTTTGGTCATAGACTAACAATACCAGGGTGCGCATGAAGTACCTTGCAGCACATCACTGAAATTTTGAGGAAATTTGGATCATGCGGTTTTGCCTTGTGGTGAATCTTCCGTGCGTACTCCCGGAAGATTAGGGCAACTTCTCTGGTATTTGTTGACCGCATGATAAGCTGCGAAATATCATCAGCATACCTAAATGAATTATAGGTGAATATCACTTACTTCAGCAGCCTCCGCTTTTCGTATCTTAATGTTTCGCTGGAACATTTCTGGATTCATGAAGCAAAGCGCCAATGTGGCCATTGCCATGGAAACGGGGACTGCGCAGAACACGAACACGCTCTGGTTTTTTAGCAAGCGCAGGTAGTCCAAAGAGTCGCATGCGTGTCGCAGAGCATCAAGAACCATGCCGCTTTGTATCCATGTAGCATGCTCAACATCGCCCTTCTCGTACATATCTTTCATTTCGTTAAAGCCGTATTTAGCCCAAATTTCTCGAGGCCAAAAGAAACGTCTCTCCTCTACGTCTTCCCGGAAATCACGGATGATATTGGTCTTTTGGAGGAGAAGACCCATGGAGTTTGCTAGCTCAAGTTGATCGCAGAGGAAAGACGCTTCCTTGCCTGAGGCTGACCAAATGCGAGTAAGGCCTTCACCTACGAGGCCTGCGACGTAATGACAGTAGAGGTCGTAGTCCGCAATAGTCTCGAGGTAAACAGTGCCGTTGGTTGCGGCTTTATGTGCATAATCTGCCATGCCATTCTCCATTTTCTGACAAATGTCAAGAATGACAGTCTTGTATCTGCGGTAGGTGTTAGATAGAAGAGCGCGACTGAAGATATGGACGTACTCGGGTGCTAGTCTGTTGACTTCTTCTACGATAATGTGGTATTCGAGGAGCAGGTGTCGATCTTTCTCATCAGGGCCGTTCTCTGTAAAGTTCCAGCCAGGCGTTACTGTCAACTCGTGGAATTGTCGGAGTATTGGCTGCTTCTTCTCGTCGGGGATAGTCATGTCATCTTCAATCGTATCCAGGCCGCGCATGATGAGGTAGTACATGCAAATCTGGAAAGTCAAGGGTCATTCATGTAGATAGGTTGGAAGGAATGATTAGCTGATTAAAACTGAACAAAAAACACGGGCAGAGACCCATGCAAAGAAGAAACACAAAAGAGGCAAAGTCCTTACCGTTCTTGCAAGGTCGCCCTCAAGCTCCTTGATGACAGCTGCAAAACTTCTGCTTGTCAGGTCAAGAAATTCCCAGCAGCGGCGCATGGAGGTGCGATCCCAGCCTGACGTGGGGTGCTCTTGTTGAGCCGTGATGTCGCGTTTCGTCTCATGGTAAAGGTAGAACTGGACAAGAGTTCTGAACTCAAGAGGGTGTGTCAAGAGGAGACCTAGCATTGAGGTTAATTTTCCCATAGTTGCAGATGTCGGTTCGTTTGGAAGTAGTGGTGTTGAATAAAAAGAGAGCACTTGCCAGCTGTCGCTTCCCCACCTGATGTGAACGCGGTTGAACCACAAAAACGTCGCCTGGCGCTAATGAAATGAATTGCCCACACGGAAGTTTCCGGGCCGTGGGGTAAAGCACCTGCCTATGGTACTTGCTCATAATCTTCACTACTTATTAACAAGTCTAGTAGCATTGCATCTATAGAAACTAGCCAATTGAAACCTCTACGTTTCTCAAACTCCATCAATGCAAAGCGGGAGAGATGATTGGCGGAAGGACCGCAAGAAATGTAGAATCTCATGAATATGATACGTTCACATGGGAACATCTTACCTAGCTAGTACTATCATCATCAACATATAGCCTAAAATATATCACCAGCGTTCATCGGACTCCAGCCAACAAGTTATAGATCATGGACGATATAGCCCATCCTCCAGCTCGTCTGCAAGCCGCTTCATCAGTCCCAATCTCCTCCAGACACGCTCTTTCTCGCGTCAATAATTTTCTCGACGATTTTCAAGCTCGTAGTACACCCTCCAAGGGTAGTGATACTTCAATCACTGCCCAACTCCAGAAGCTGAGTAAAGCGCTTGAACAGGAGTGCATCCGACAATCAAAATGATCTTGTCACGAGGTGAGCTGATATTACCCATGGTATATGGTAACGCGGACAAAGCCACTGACCCATACATAGATTTGGGACCAGTGTATGGGAGATGGTCGAAAAGTGCCAACCTTAGCCTCACGTAGACTAGAAGGAGATGTTTGAAGCACACAGCGAGGCCATAGATCAAATTCAGTTTTTCATGCGTATAGCATGCATTCACGTCCCGCGCAGGTCCGACGTACCAAGGCCCAGTGGTACTTACATCAAGATCGCAAATACCGGTGATAAATCTGTCAGATTTGACACCTATACCTGACCATCGAACTAGAGCCCCCCTTTGTTACTGTCACGGGCTCCCTTCTTGGCGTACATTGGCCCTTGATATTCGCCAGCAAGAACTCACCGGTCCACTGATGAAGATGCACCAGTACGGTAGAACGACACGGCCCTCCTTGATATTTGTAAGTGTTCTCGTTGTTTCGCGCTTATCAATCGGTAGCACCTGTTGTACAAAGAACAATGAATGCATCACACTAATGACTTTTGTTTATCTTTCTCGGTATTCTTAGATGCTATGATAAAAATCAAGGCAAGCAGTATTTCTTGCAGTCTACTCGTTTCGTGTCTATAACGATATCTCAATCTACAGATTTCAAGCCTAATCATGGTGCGTGATCATCATTCTCTTGAGTCGCTCATTCACTTACGCCATAGATTAAACCAGAGTATTGGATATGGAGTGGCTGTCGGCGTGTTATCCAATATTTCGATCGAGTTCAAATTCTGGATTCACTTGTAGGACTCGAGTCGGGTTCTTCTTTACCTTCGTCATGCTATGCTTGACTGCGAGGCTCAGGCAATCCAACTTCTCCCGAACCACCCCAAGTTCATCTGAAGAGCTCACGGTTCGTCGCATCATGCTTGTGCACGTCATATAATGATACTCCTTCTAGAGTGCTCCCCGTAGTGTCAAGGTGTGTCGGTCTTTCTAGCCATATAGGACTGTAGCCGATTTACCCACGTTAGCCCCAGGTTTAGCCCCAGGTTAGTGTGCTGCGACATGTACGTCATCTTCGTCCGCGCATCATGATCAGTATCAGCGCCTGGACATGGAGCGCAACTCTTCTTCAATCTAGCACTGCAGCTTATACATTTGGTATATATCACAACATGTGCTTGAGTAATGCCCGCTGATCGTGCCTAGTTATACTTTTTCAAGTTTTGATTGATCAAATTTCCTGTAGGTGGTACGGTGCGGGCGGTTCTATCCAAGTACCGATGTCTAGAATGGTGACTGCCAAAGTCAATATGAACCCGAGCAGTACTCATACGTTCTTGGAGGTATGTACGTGTCAATGCACGTGAGACTGGCCTGTCGAATCTTCTATAGATTGTCAAAGCTCGCTTCGGTGTCGTAGCTCATATCGTATTTACCACTTGTGCGTTCTTGTTGTGCGCGGATCTCTCTTAGGTGAGTTTGCCGCGTGTTGAGATGGTTACTGACGCGTGTTTCAGTGGGAGGTGCTGCTACTGTGAATGCCTCACCGGCATGAATATACTTGCTGCATATTTTCTATTGCCAATCGGCATCGTGGTCTATGTCGTTTTCGGTGGATTGCGTGCCACTTTTATGTGTGATTGAACACAAGCCGTCATTTCATTTACACCTTCATCGTCCACACATAGTAGGTGAAGCCCTTATGTCACAGGGATGTGGTACTGAGAATCTGCGCAAATAAAGTGGGTTATCGTCGGAGATTGCTAGCTTGGCTCGAATATATGACTTGCTCACACAAGCTGTAATTGATGTGCCTGTCCCCAGCATGCAAATGGAAATTATATGGTCCATGAAGTCAAATCAGGTGGATGGCATTGGCTGATTTACTTTGTCACATCTTTCCGTGTTCATTCCTCTCAGGGTATTGTCTTCGGAGCGCGATTCGCCGCCGTGTTTTGTGATCAGGATGTTATATTATAGATTTACCTCGTGTTTAGTCTTCTGGCATGGCGCGCAGGCTACTGGCAAAGGGTAAATAATATATATCTGCACTACAATCATGAACTAATGCATTCATCAACCTCAAGGCAATCGCAAGTCACCCTCAAAGGAATAACTAAAGTTTATGTATTTACATCCCTTCATCCGCCGAATGATGCAACACTCACCACAATGTCACAGATGCCCTTGGTGGTTCCTCTTAGTTTACCGTTCCTTGGGCTTTCGGATCATGCCTCGGTTTGAATGCCCGGGCGCTTCAAAGCAATGTAAGGTTTCGTACGCCGCCTTCTCAACGCCAAGTTTACGTACGTTACTTGATCCTTCGTTTCCGACATACCCATTCTTTCTGTCAGACAAGTGCGGGACTCGCCACACCGGCTGCGGCTGTAGTGCTGATGGGGAAAGGTGGAGCTGTGGCGCTATTGTTGGTGGTTTTGTGAGTCACATACAAAAAAACTAAAAAACCTCGATGTTAACGTTAATCATATGTGTTTTCTGCAGTATGACCGTGACGTTTGTGGTTACCGCGGGGCAATTGCGGTATTGAGTATTGGGCAAGTTTGGCCCATGCACAAATTTCTGCGCAAACACTCACTCAATGTAAGGTCGTACGAGTAAGACCTGAATGCCATTACATTAGCCAATGTCATGACTCATTTAAATGTAGCATCCACCGTACCTACCGGCATTCGCAGGCGACGGGTGCGGTGATTGTTAATATATCACACTACGCGATTTGTGGATGGGCAATATGGATGGGGTGCTGGGCGACCATAGTAAATACTTTTTTCAGTCACTCACGGGAAATGTATTGACTTGCGGCATAGCTCCACCAAGCGAACAAACGTCGACCTGGTTTGGGTGAGAACATTCCCTGACATTATTGCATCGAGACTAAACCGGATTGCCGTAGATGCACTATGTTCAGTGCGTGGACCAATGTGACAAAATCACTCAACACGCTTACTCTTCGTGGGGTGGCGCAGGTGAATAGTTCTCTATAGTCCTGCAGTCATCCCTATCATCCTCAGGGTATGCCCGCCGGGCTTTCGTATGGCTCTATTCTGGGGCTAATCCTCGGGATGCTGGCATGAATGATCGGCTGCTGGAAGATTAATGGAGAGCATTTTTCGGTTCCGTCTGCAAAGATCATCGTCACAGACTCACAATGACAAGTAATTCTATGTTGCAGGCGCCATCACCATAGCTAACCGTGCATTGCCAATATCCGCTGTATGCATGCAGTGGTCTTACGTGTTTTATATTCTCGGGGCTCATTACCGTCTTTGTGTCTCTGTCTCTGTTGAGTAATCGGTCAGTCGCAACGCGCCTGCATGCAAGTACTGATGGTTGTGTCAGAACCTGATAATATTACTGATAATTATAATTTCGAACGGACTCAATACTGGACAATTAGGAAAATAACGACCCCGATCCGGATGTGGCCCATCTGCCGAGAAGAAAAAATGCCGTCAGATTCCGAGGTACTGAGTCATCAGCAATATCTCACTGTCATCCTTATTGGTTAGTTCCACCCCTTGCCCCGCCATGCAGACTCTCATCTAGACCCTGCTTACGCCGCCAGTCCCATTGGTCATGTTTTTCACGAATTACGTTACACATTTTGGGTGTCACAGTATCAATCAAACCAGATGCGCGAACTTCAGCTGATAATGGCGGTGAAGCGTGTGGGTTTTCACGAGTCACTGGGGACCTTCATTCTTTCCTTCTGAGAGTCACGGAAGGAGATCTTGAAGAGCCTTCAATGATCAAATTCGTGGGCAATCAATCGATTAATTGGCCCTGTATCGTTGCGTAGTGGAATACTATCCTGATTGCCGACCCTGGGCCATTGCGGTGACTGGAGACATCATTTTTGCCGCATGTCCTCGACAGTTCAAGCATGTTCATCCGCCGACTCAGACCCCACATTGTGTGCGCTAGCATTACAACATCAAGCCGGACAGGCCGACTCGGAAGGGGTAGAAACTATAATTTTCAAGGGCAGGAATCACTGTTGTAAGCAGCAAATGGCATATCCTTTGGAAATCCCAAAGCTAATTAGTAATAGCTGATCAGCACAGTCACGTCGTGACTCGAACTTAAAGTAAGTAAAGTTTCACGGTTTTAGTACATAGTTTAACCCCAACCTGCAAGCCTTGGGCTTAGCCGACTGGATCGGATAATTAGATATTAAAAACATGAGGTTCTTCGGCTTCAAGCTTCAAGTCTAGCGCGCGCACTTATGGCATGCCACTAGTCGGCGGACCGACAGGGTCAGGGCCCATTCACGAACACATATATCTTCACCAATTACTTGATAGTTCGACCGTCCAACTTTACAGTGAGGCAGTTTCTGACTTTTGCCACTTTTCTATCCTTCCTTTCTCAACTTTAGTCGCTCCTTTACTGACGTTACCGGTGCATGCTTGCGCAAGTGATGTTGCCTTCCGCCATCGATCCTGTTGCACGCAACATTGCTATACTAACAAGTGCGTTCCGATCGCTGTCTGGACATTCTTTGATTTAGACTCATCAGCGACATTGACTGCGTTCATGGGCCTCGAGTACCTTTGGTTTATAAAGGAAGAAATTCGGCTAGTCTGGCCGTGAGTATTTGTTTGTGGATTGATAAACGAATATTGACGAGCATTTTTATGGCGAACAGGCGATTTTTGAAGACCACAGAAGCCAAAGTATACGTGGTGATCAGATATGCTGGTTTAGCTGGATCAAGGTGGGCAGTTCGGCAGCTCAAGGTCGCATGTTCACCCCTGTCGCTAGCTTCAACATCTGGTTTGCATTTAGAATGCTCTCGGGAGTTCCCAATGGTCCGTTCGCTTGCAGAGCATGGTACTGGTACCAGACCACGATGACCCAGTGTCTGGTGTTATCTGTGGAGTCATTACTCATGCTGCGGGGTACGTGGCTTTCGGTCTTACTCTGGGTGACTGCTTATTCGCCCCCATTGCAGTGAACAAGATGTATGGAAAGGGCAAATCTATCCGTGCACTCTTGATCATCTTCGGTGGCGCACAGTTTGCTGCCATGGCAGCCAATGCTCGATTGGTTGTAATTGGCACTCGCTATTCCCCCACTTGTGTCATAATCTCGCCTTATCACAGTAGGATCTATGTCGGGTGAGGATTTTCTCACCCCTTGTATATCTGATCGCCGAGTTGAGAACCAGCGTCTCAATCATTGTAACTTTCATGTTCATCCTTTCTACAATGCTATGGAGATTCTTCGGGAACTCATCCGGCTGGTCAGAAGCTCCTCGTGCTTGGCTCAAGCTTGCGGTCCGCGACGGTAGCTGCACGACCATTGCGATATTGGGTAGGTTTAGTGTACTCATTTGTTCGTATGCTCACCATTCCAGCGATCTTCATCTTTATGTTTCTCTGCAACACGCGCGTCATCGACACACAAATGAGTGGAAACATCATCTTTTAGTAAGTCTTGCATGTACCGCAGGTTTCTTTCCTCACTGAATTTCATTAGCGTACTGTTATCTTGCCTTTGGTTTGCTGTTGAGTGCAAGATCTTAAGCAGTCGTTCTCTTCCTCATTCTCTTTCTCAGGCTGGACGCATTGTTCTGCATGAGGCCAAATTCCATGAAATTCAAGAATCCCAGAAGGGTGACATTAATGATCAAAGTCGGTGGACTCTGACGATCGAGGTGGACCTTGATGACATTAGACCTTTTGATGATTCCGATGCATGTCCAACGGGTCCCTCCGGCTTGGGGGTCGAGTCGACTGAAGTGTCTACCCCGTTCGACTCTATGTCAAATGCAGGAACGAGGGATATCGCTGACAAACACCTTTGCGGGGAGGACAATATGCAGCTGTCGAGTTGCGCACCTACATTCATACCTATCGAAAAATGCATCAGTGGTGTTTAGGAAGTGAAGCAAATCCATTCGTTTTAGTACATATAGTTTACGTATCACTAATGGTTTCACATTGCCAGGCATATGGTGCCACCCTTGATGAGAGTACTGTCAGAGAGTCACCCAGGTTCCGGCGGCTACTACTCAGTAGTATGCGATTTCGTACCCACGCGCTCCCAGCTGACTTACGGTAATGCATAGATATTGTGTCCGAAGAAGTATACGGCACATCTTAAACGATGTGAGCTTCGAAATATTGGTGTGCCTTGCGCAGTCTGAAGTACGCGCCGTGTCACTGTCTCCCGTGTCTGGTGCATGGACGAACTTGGCATGCCTGGCAGACGCATTAATCCAGCCCCAGAAGTCAGGAAAGGATAGTTTGTCCTTACATAAAGCTTAAGGGGTGGCCTGGGCTGCATCATCACTTTTTCGTTTTTATGATCCGATCCAGTACGTGGTTTCTCATGTCGTTTTCAATCCTACCGTTGAAGCCTCTACTATACATATCAGCAGCCTCATCCACCACTTTAACTCTCTTGCAGATGAAGTTCCATATTCTCGGCTCTTCATGCAATTCATTCAACCCAAGCTTCGCATCACCGAGTCAAAAAAAAGGGTCTATTGGTCATCGGCATAATGGAATTGGTCGGAGAAGGATGCGCACATTCGGCTGCGCTCATTCGGCTGCGATGTATTGGCCGGGACGGATTCCAACTGAGTTAGTGAGTGTATAAGACATTCTCTCTATGGTATTCGAATCGTCCTATAGTGACTATGCGCCGAAGCCTCCCGTCGCATTTTCTCCCCTTTAATTTACGTCTTATTCATTGCGGTTCTCGATGGTTCGCCGAAAAGCGGGATCAAGGTCAGTCGTCTATGAGATCTGGGCTGGATTGGGTATGTTTTCATTGGAAGGCAACTCACACCTCGTGCAGCAGGCCACTTTCTCCGACATATTTGCTGCCATTCGAGAAGTTACTGTTCACGCCATCGTCATGCTCTTTGCCAAGGTATGACAGTTTCAGGATGTAAAGTCTGTCTTTAATGATGACCTGTACAGCTATCTGACTGCATAGTGATATAATTACCTCGTCACCTCGTCCGCCCCAAATTGGACTAGAAGCCTTCATCTGTACCAATAGGTGGTACCAAGCCTGAGTTCTAGTTCATCTATTCGGTGCGGCGCAAAATGATCATGTTGTGCACGATTTTTGGGCGGGCCTCAAGGCGTTGATGGCAACTACAGACGATTGCATTGACTAATGCCAAAGTATAACATCGTCCCTGTCACTTCTCGCCTGGTCCTCACGTCATCTTGAGTTCACCCATCCTCTTAGCTTTGTAAATCGTTAACTTACAGGAGTCTTAGAACTTAAATTTGACTATTCATTCGACTGATGAGCCAACTCATTCTACGCGAGAAAAGATCAACAACACGCCGTGCGGTATACGGTGGCATTGAAGGTTACAGGAGCAGTGGCGAAGAATAAGGTGATGGACGGTGCTGGTGTACGTTGAGACAGGCAATGGGAGTGAAGACGAGGCCTGTGTACTGATCGAATCGTGGTCCGTACCTCGCAACCCTTAATCCTTTTCCTGCCATCCAATTGTCAACCAATCATCGAAGATATCTTCAAGGAGAACGAGCCTATCATCTCACTAGATCCATCTGGTACGTCGTGCCTAATATTCTCAATGAAACTGAAGGGTGATCTTTCGTATCACTTGTTGCTTTGCTCGTCCTTCGCCCCGTCCGTTTCCTCATTTCCATTTGTTCTTGAAGTTTCGCATGTTCTTCCATACCTTATATCCTTGTATGCATCATGATGCTCTTGTCACCATACATATGTTGTACTGTACGCAATGAACTACGTTCTTTCCCAGTGACCCAGTTCTCTCAACATAGGAGATGCACTTTTCAACTCGTTCTCGCAACCACGGCATCTTGTACGGTCCGACCGTTTCCGGAACTAGCGGACTTTCAACTTGAGTTATCCTGCGTTCGGCGATAGTTATGTCTCCTGTTTTCAACCTTGTTTATTCTACCATCGCAGTCTTGTAACCAGCAATCTATCTTATTCCCTTCTACGGGATCGTCATCAGAGCTATAACAACGGACTTAGGGTGTTGCTGACATATCTTCGGAATTAAATAACAGATATTGCAGGAAAGCCCATGTTCCATCTCTCGAGGTGATGCGAAAGCAAGGTCGCGTCGTTCTTTTAATACGTCAACGAAAAACTGCATGATTGGTTCGTCGGGAAAACGCGGAAAGATGCATGTGGTGCCGCTGAGGAGGGATACCATGTGTTCTATCATGATTTGCACTTCGCAATACTCACTCGTGTGTAGAAAATGGCTCCACATAACATTCAGGCATTCCAAAACGATGGGTTCAGCTGCGCCAAGGATTTGTCCCATCACAGAATAAAATCTTGTTAGTTGTTTGTGCTGAGACGCGGTGAGTGCCTTTTGTATGACCTCTATCAAAATAAATTGATACATATCATACAACGTTTTCCTGCTCAACATAATCATGGGACGTAACAAGTCTGTAGGACCGGGGCGCCTTAACGTATCTGCAGGCAAGACGTGCTCACTGGAAAATGCCATCAGCATTTTCAGCGAGGGTTGTGAATTCTCTGTCCCAAAAATTTGCAAGCCCTTCTAGCTCCTTCGATATGTAAGTACGGATGTCGCGCTCTGTAGTGGATGATAAAACGACGTTCATGGACATCCGCCAAATACGCTGTCAAATACGCTGAACACCTGCAAGTTCAGCTTCGATGTCCCGAAGGGGATGAGAAGTGAAGATAACCCAGAAGTTGGCTGGGAGTTCGGTGATTTGTTTAACACTTAGTTTTCCCGCAAGAATTTGGAGAAGGCGGAGCTAAGTCTCGACTTTGCCGCTCTGGTCTAGTGCGTCTATCACGATGACGATATGATTAACCCTGAGAGCTTTCCCAGTGGTTCCATGAGAAACTTGTCCCACTGCTGGATATCCACTGTGATCCTGAGCCAACTCGCATCTTTGACTGCCGCCCACCTCATCTCCGAGTCCAAATCACGGTCGTCCGCGATGGTAGAAAAAATCCTTTCTTGACGACAGTCAGCATCTCGTGGGTGATCAAAGCAGTAACATGAACCGAGCCATCCCAGAACGTTGAACCAGTCAGTGATCGTGTTGGCAATGGTTGATCTGCCCTTGCTTGCAGGCCAGATAGCCAGGACACACACTGAACATCGTTTCCGGTGCTGTTGACCCAGCCTGTGATCTCGGAGATGATTTCCGTGCGCATCCCTGGTAGGCATTGTTTCCCTGTATCTCGTCCTGCGCCACCCGCACACGCCATACTTAAGCTTTGTTCGGAGTCAATTCGGAGTGATATTATGATAAAGGGGAATACAAGGGAAATGCTCTGTTCTGGCTAATCCTATATCGATTCTCTGCAATACACGATGTATGGCTTGCTTCTAGGCAGATTTTTCACGTTGCCCCACGTTTGAGAATCTTGTCAGACTCGGAAGCGAAGTATAGGACCGAGGTGGGACGAGTTATCTGATATGCCAGGTGCCGGTATGTTTGCCCTTTCATATCTTGTGTCACTGATCAGTACCGTCACGTTTCTAGTATTTTGATGTTTCTATGTAGAGGTTATTCTATCCCCGTCTGTATAGTTGTAAAAGGCAACTGATTCAGACTAGGACGAATTAGTTCGTCGACACGTTCAGAATGATCCCGGTTCGATTGTACTTCAAACAAAGTCTTGAGACACCACCATACGTTGTTTGTACAGTCTCTATCTGCATTGACCGTTTCCCTGACTCCCAACTGGCGTTTGTGGCACTGTCAGTTGTTATTTGGGCCACAGTGATGTCGCAAGGAACCCCCATAGAACAGGCAGAACTAGCAAGATGGCCGCCGTCCGGGCTTCACACAATTGTAAACCGCCTCGAGGCCTAGCTAGTTAGGAACGTTTACATAATTAAGTGTACCCAAACGTAGCGCATATCGCCGAATCAGAAACACTGGCACTTGCAATGGGTCAATGACACAAAAACATGGAACTCTGCTCCGCGGTTTACATCTAAATCACACCAAGACATAGCGTGGGAGTGCCATCTTATCTCGCTCAGCAACATCAACTGCAGTTAAACGTGTCTTCTTGCAGGGTCGGCAGCTCCTTCAGTTTACTCACAATCGACTCGTACCATCCGTGCTCTTCTCTTCTTCGAAGCCTGGGGCAGAAGTGTTCTTCTACTAGTAGCGATGCTTGTAGGACCAAAAACGGACCATTCGCGGTGTTTTCCGTGAGTCCGTGACATTGATGGGTTGGTGTGTACCTCCAGGCCTGCAGCGCCATCTCCCTGAGGATAATAAGACATGGGTTTGAAGGCGTCGCTTTCTCAGGCTTCTCAGCCCCCGCCGCCATTCTCTATACAAGTCTGTACAGTTTTATTATCTTGTGTCTTGGGCTGACACCAACTACATTTTTTTCCGGCAGTCTCAGATTCCAAGCTAAGAGCGCTAGTGGAAGGTACGCGTTTCAGTTTCCTCGTTCACAGTTATCCGTCCACTTAATTAAGAACTACAATCAGAAAATTCGCAGGTTAGTTCGTAGTCATTCCCATCACTGTTCTAATCGATTGCTTCTAGGTTGACGAGACAAGACTATTACTCGTAATTCAAGCCTAGTCCCGTTCCCCCTCATCTCGATGCATCTCGATGCACTTTGATACTATTTTCGACATGTTCCTGCTTACTTCGTTGTTTCTGTGCTTTGTAAATGCGCTAATTGAACTGTTTCGTATCCAGGATCATGACTCATCGGTGCTTTTGTCATAAACCACTAAAATAAACATTTCTCAACTAGCCCAGCTACTTTCAACACAGTCAGACATTACTGGGTTCCACCTTCCGGTATTAACGTGTATAACAGATTCCCGCAACTCGGTGTCCCTGAACTTAAATGCATCGCTCTGATATGATTTATGTGCACTACACATGTGCTATAAATATGTATCGGATGATCATCAGTCACGTCAGGTAAGAATAGTAAGATCTGCACGTTGTCTGTCGTGAATACTTTTGAACTGTTCTACTCACTGGCTTGGCGCAGATATTACCCAAAGAGAGACGATCTATGTGACAAGGCTTTTCTCTGATAAATACCAGGTGAGCCTCACCTATCATACTTGTCCATCCTGCCATGCTCTCTTCTTACGACATACTCATCGTTGGTGCCGGTGTAGCAGGCCCAGCTCTTGCCCATGCTCTTGCCACAAAGACATGTGATAACCGTCGTGCTCCTTTGCGGATAGCTCTACTTGAGCGTTCCTTGTCGAAGCCAGACCGCATCGTCGCCGAATTGCTCCAGCCTGGCGGCGTCACCGCGCTCAAGCAGCTTGGTCTGGAGTCATGCCTCGAGGATCTTGGCTCTGTTTCTTTGTTAGGCTATCACGTTCTGCGAGGAGAGCAGGGCATTTGCGCCTCGTTCCCTGAAGGCCATGACGCGCGAGCTTTTGAGCATGGAGCGTTTGTCATGGCCTTGCGCGACCGCGCACGGCAGGCGCCCAATGTCGACGTGATCGAGATCACAGTACTCGGTCTCATCGAGAACGAGGACACGCATCGCGTAATAGGTGTTCGTGCCTCCAAAGCAGGTGGTCAGCCAGAGTCATATTTTGCTGACCTCGTCATTGTCGCGGACGGCTCCACATCCAAGTTCAGAACTGCCGTCCTCGGAAGCATGCTATATGAGCCTTCACATAGGGGTTACTTGGCAGGTCTGATTTTGAAAGACCTGAAGCTGGCAGTGCCCCAGTATGCCACTATGATTGTACTGAAACGCGCTGGACCGGTCGTCCTTTTTGAGCTCCCCAACAATGAGCATCGGATGCTGGTCGAATTGAAGGAGTCGCCGCCAGATCTCAAGGTTCGTAATTCTGCCTTTTTGTCCGGTCGTGATTGCCCCCACTTACCATCAATATTGCAGGAGCATATACTGCACGACATCGTTCCTCAGCTTCCATCGTCGATCCGCGCACCTATTCTCAATGCTCTAGAAACGTCGCGTGTACGACGAGCACCGCATTATTATCTTCCACCCACAAAGCAGGGAGGACGTAGCAAGGCAGGCGTGTTTCTGCTGGGAGATTCATTGAATATGCGTCACCCGCTAACTGCGGGTGGAATGACGGTCGCCTTGAATGACGTAGTCATTCTCTCTGATCTTCTGGCCCACGTCGAGAGCTTTGGCAACTGGGATGAAATCTCAGCTGTCCTCCGGAAGTGGCACTACATGAGAAAACCACTCGCATCCACCATCAATACCATGAGCATGAGCTGGGCTGGGATATTTGCCGCCCATGGTACGTCAATACTAGCCGTCGAATGCTTGGAGGCTTATGATCGTAGGCGAGGCGTTTGACATTATGCAGGAAGGAGCATTCAAATTTTTCGGGAAAGGTGCCAAGTATTCCGACGAACCCATGTCATTAGCAGCCGGGTCAGTAATAAATACATCGATAATTGTCACGATTGTGCTGATCTGGTTCTGGAATCCCCAGGATCCTGAAATCTCCGTCACTGCTGGCACGTAATTCGATCGCCATAGCGGTATACTCCATCTGGGTGTTGTTCACCCATCCTAGACCTGGGAATAAATCTGCTCCGCAATTTTACGAATACCCGTTGTTTTTGGTTAAAGCGCTGAACATCGTAAGATCATTTAATAAGTATTTTGGAACATATTGATTGATTCCCATGGTATAGATATGGACTATAGGTATCGTGATGGGGCCGGTGATGTGGGCAGAAATGTGATCTTGCGATGTAGACGTATGAAATCAGTTTACAACCAATATTATGCCTCATGCATCATGTACTGCATCAGCTATGATTGATTTATTCTTCTGACTCGACTTCCCGCAACTGGCATAAAGCTATCGATTAATAACCGATATAGGGCCTTGATATGGAAATTCAGGTCAGGGCCCGCAGAGTTCCGCTCGACTGGTTCATTGAGTACTTGGTCGGTGATTAATTGATTGACCACCTTCATCGTATTCCATGCCCTACCCTCGTCACGAATGGGCCCGAAGAGGGAGCTCAGGAATACGTAATTGCTCCTTTCATCGAGAAAATACCTAAAGTTATGTAGGTGGGTCAGGTTTGTAGCATCATCATCCTTCTCAGCTCTGTAGAGCATCTTTGGCTTTCGTTCTCCCTAGCGTGTCTTTGGTCTTCGCGCTCCCTAGAGCGTCCTTGGTCTTCGTGCTTCCTAGAGCGCCTTTGGTCTTCGTTCCTTCCAGAGCGTCTTTGGCCCTCATCCTCTCCAGAGCGCAGGGATAGAGCCGGGTCCAGCACACGGTGGCCGGTGGGGGTTTTTGTGTTCTTTCTAGTCTATTCAAGTTGTGCGACACTGTAACCGTGACAACAGGTCGTCGTTCTCTGGAAATACGGAGTCCTTCATCGCGGTGTCAGTCTTAGCAGTCTCATGGTATACAGGACTTCAGATGGTCGGACAATTCGCGTCCTCGACCATTATCGACTTGAGATATCCCTCATGATGGCTAGGACCCCAAAGAAATTTATTATCACGCTTGAACTACTCATGCGATGGGAGGTTGGCAGATGGCAGAACTCCAGCTTCTTGAACGCGCCGCGGGCCCAGGTGTCGTCGCGCTTCCGACGTGGCAAACGGTATCGTACCAATATCAATTCTCTTAGCGTGGGTATATCGCACTGGCAGCCTTCCATGCCTGCGGCCTGGCCCACGTCCCACTATTCTTGTAATCATGTATATTTTTTCCCAATTACCGACGCCGCAATGCAACGGTTCATACCAACAATCTGTTGAGTTGGCACAGTCTCTTTCGGACACCTCATCAGCGGGTTGGATTGTGTTACAGAATGCTACAGAGCGCTCTGTAGCACTCTGTAATGAATTACGTTTCCCTGATGCTTGTATCAAGAAGGAGCAGGTGTCGTCTTTCTAGTACATGGCCTGGCTGGGGGATGTTGGAGTCCGAGGCCGAAAGATCCGAGTCGAGGGAAGCCGAAGGATCCGAGATAGGTACGAGGGGGAGATGATAGGTACGAGCTCAAGCCGAAATGGACATAGGCGAGCGATGCATGACATCGGCTCGCGTCCTAGAATATTTTCAGTCTCTCTTTTATATATTCAAGTTCCTGACGCACTCACTATAAGACCAGTAGCAGTATCGTATACGCATCTCAGTTTCGTCCAAGACACTGAGATGTACGTTCTAAAAAGTCACCTAGAGTTTTATCATGTCTAACGTTAGCTGTAGCTTTTGTCGTTCTAGGTAGACGCACCGTTAATAGAGTTTCGTCCAAGACACTGAGATCTTTTGTCGTTCTAGACTCCTCGTTGTTCCCGCGCTCGTTATAAACGCCTTTAGGGGAGACCAGTCATCTAGTGAGCTTTGTGGTGTTCGCATCCAGCAGGCCGTTCAAACAAAATTTCTTCCTTGATCTGTTCGGAAAATCTGGCGATGGGCCCTAGCGGAGACGTATGCAATGCCGGATTCTCTGTTATGCCACAGTACTCATGTACTGAGGCAGCAGGTTCACATGGCATTGCTGCTATTCAATTGTTGTCGTACGTCCTTTGAAGGCTATATGGATTTTGCATTCGTCGCACGTCCTATCGGTGCACATGAGCACATACTTCTAGTGTAAATGGACTGTCAGCCTCATTCATGCAATCAGACAGAAACTTCCCTCATAGTCATGCGATCATTCTCCGCCTTTTTGTTTGCAGTTCTCATCACGGCCAGCAGGTCTACCTCATGGGCCTCGGTCACCATCCCATTGACAAAGCTTGAGCGTACTGGGTCGTACCTTCAAGGCTCTCCACACGCTGATGGTGCCCGAGCGTCGTTCTTAGAGACAACCAGTGGCCCAAAGACTATCCCGGCCACAAACGTGGTATACATACAGTACACCATGAGCGTTGGTGTCGGCAGTCCCCCCACCTACTACGATTTAACGGCGAGCCTTGGGATGCACAGGTGACCAGTCCCATTAGCTGTTGACTGATGATGCCATGAGTATCATTCTATGTCTCTTTACTGCTGTGTTGACTTCAAGCGCTAACATGCATTAGGTAGGCGCCACTGTGACGGAACTCCGGGAAACGCCAGGAAGTCGAAGGACTATAAATTTCATCCGTATACCGTTTGTCAATAGAAAATCGAAAACGCTGTGTTTATCGCGGACATGCAGGTGAGTGATGCATGCACCCCAAGACTTGCTAATTGCAAGTAGTACAGGACACTCATCACATCAAAGACCCGACATCACAAAATACCGTTAGAGATGTCAAAGTTACCGTGACTCTGGGTCGGAGTCCGAAGAGAAGCGCGCGGTTTATCACTGGCTTCGAAGCCTGAGACTTGCAGGCGATTTGAAGGCGAGACCCAACCTGTCACAAGTAACTTTTACTCCACCTGGAGGACAGCGTTACACAAGTTGATATATGCAAATTGCAATGAGATAAGTCACACGGCAACGTCAAGTACAACCTTCGATTGGAATCCGCGGGAGTCAGGTGTACCATCTTCTTTCTCGAGCTATTTTCATTATCAGTACTTAGCTAGGGATTCATATACACTAGCAGTAGCCACACCGCCGCATTATGTGCATAACAGTCATAAAATGTCGCACGCAGTCCTCACATAAGTCATCGCACAAATAATGAAGAGTGGAGTATTCCCGGTGTCTACAGTGTTATCTGACACCGAGGGGAGTTAATATCTACATATAAAACAAAATACAACGCAACCACGATAAGATGGTGAATATGAAAAGACTATGTACACTTCAGATCAGTAGATAACATTGAGAGCGATAAGACCCAGTTAAACGTTACACCGAGAATCCGAGAATAGTCAATGTAGTACACAAAGAACATTTCCAGAGGAGGTATAGTTCCGGGTGTAGTATGTTTGGGTCCTGCATATTTTCCACGCATCTTTATTTTTTACGTTTAGGAGCTACGAAGAGGCGTCAGGGTTCAGCAGGTCACAGAAAGATCGATCGGATGCTTACCGCCTTCTTTCGTAGACGAAGTTGCCTTCCTCTTCGTGCCCCCCTTGGTTTCCGGCGACGATTTGGTGCCCTTTTTTCCGGACGATTTGGAGTTGTGACCTGAAAGGGCACCCAGCTCATCGACGCATTTAGGGCAGAACCATTCACCTTCTGGAATGGCCTCCAGAGGAGGATCAAGGCAACCCAGGTGATACGGATGGTCGCACTATTGATCCAAACTCGTAAACACTGTCATCAAAAGTTAAGATGGCTATAACCAACCTTGTCACATTCCAAAGCAGGATCGTCGTCCCCGTTATCCTTGTCGCAGACTATACAGAGTTCAGGGGCGTCGACCTCAAGGGGATGACGTGGAAGATCAGATAATTTAGCACTTGGTTTTGCCAAAAACAAGGTGGTGTGTTGACCGGCTGCCACGCTAGATGGGGTCACATAAACACTGTACCAACCTGCGAGCAGAGAATGCTTCACCTTATAACCTCAATCCCGGCTAGAGGCTGGTGGGAAGTGGGTTTTGTGGCACTTTTTGGTTCATCGGGTCCTAGGCCGAGTTCACCTTGCAGTCCTCATTCAGGCTAAATCAGTCATGCAGATTCTTCTTTTACTTACCGTAGGACGCATTTTGCCCCCAAGCAACTGTCATGACACCACCGTCGTCATCAGTCGTGAGAGCAAAATGGGTCACTCCACCGCAACTGCCGCCAGATATTTTGCAACCCCTGAAGAAAAGTACCATATTCGTAAATCAACAAGCAAAGCAAGAAGCAGAAATCTTACATTAGATCTTGGATAAACCTAAATGAGGAGTATGGTGAGCCAGAGGATCCTACCCAAGTTAGCTAAGTGAAGGTATAAATGAACCGAGCTGACAGTTAATGCACACCTTCGCCGCTATTCTTCCACTGCAAAAGGATCAGAAATAATACACGACTGTCTGACATTTACGGACCTTTCCGGCCATCCAATACAATTGTTGCTTGTCTAGAACCACGGTATTCGAAGGGCCGGCGATGATATGAGCGCCCATTGTTATTTCATTCGGTCCGGCAAACTAAGTTAAGCTATTTCAACGCTAGTTCACGAGGGACAACAGAAGCAACACATACATTTGGAACTACTTTAGGGATGAGGACGTCCTGTTGGTTGCCCAGACCAAGCCGACAGTAGCCGTTATAACCCCACACGTACACGAGGCTAATATCACTTGAGTGACGTATGACTGAGTCAGATGGTACCTACCCTTGGGAATCGAGGGCTACACTGTGCTGCGGTCCGCACGCGATGTCTATGATAGTCTTATCGTCAAGTCCTTTCACGAGTACTTTATCAACAGATCAGTTAGTGATGTTGCCAAATGAGTGTCGAAGCTCACCAGGCTCCGTCTCAATGTCAAACGCTGTCTTGTTTCCGGTAATAATATGTTCCCCGGTCCTACCATTTCCCAACTGTCCCTTCTCCCCGCTGCCAAAAGAAAAGACTGAGGGGCGTCAGCTAGCAGAGGAACGGAATATGTTAAGGGGTACGTACCTTTGCCATCATCGGTAAGTATAATGGAAAACGTTATGCCCACTGCTGCCTTGATGACGTGCAGTCTTTCACTTTCACCATCGAGAAAAGGCCCTTCAATGGCTTCGAACGCGGGAATCTGCGCAGCGACTGGATGTCCACACTGACATACCCCAGCCAGTCAACCTACACAACAAAAATCGCGAACTAAAAGCACGACTCACCTGACCCAAGTTATTCGCACCCGCAGACCAGACCTGTCCATCGTCGCCTACTAACAAGGAATGACTACGTCCACATGCCGCTTGCACGAATCTAGTGCCTTCTTCTGCACCCAAGTCCGTCGGAAGCACGCGTCGCGGAGTGTCTTCGGATATTGATATCGCGTCCTCTCCTGACACGCCAAGCGCAGAAGATGCATTCCGCCCAAACATCCACGCTGCGCCATCCACGTCGAGAAGAATAAAGTGACACCCGCAACATGACGCGTGTATGGAAGCAATTTTGATATTGCTGAGAGAACGGAGGATATGGGGCTCGAGGAGGTCTGGTCTGGGATATAGAAAACTGTTTTTGAGTTGATGTAGCTATGCTGGCTGGGGAACGACGCACGCATCAGGATTGCCTTCTCCTTTTCCACCACGTTCTTTCCTCCCCAGTTTCGGCCTGTGAAAAGCGCACAACATCCATTCATAAATACCCGAACGCAAATGACTAGTTTGTCGCTCTGGACTCGCTCACCAGTCCGTCCCACCGCAAATTAGTACTGTGCGCAAAAGTTCAACTTCTGTTCAGGGAAATGCGACGTAGCATTTACCTCTTCCCCAGTTTGGGTCTTGTGCATCTGTAGATGTGGATGTTTTAGCCATAATTCTTGGAGGTTGGTTGCTGTGAAGAATTATGCTCAGCAGGCGCCAGCCAGTCCAAGCGTTTGGGAGATTTGATTGCTGCTTTCGGATTCGCTCTAGCGCTCTAACTACGATGCACGACGAAGGACCCCCTCCTTCATAATAAACGACTCGAGAACAAGAGACTATCGCATAATGACAATATTTAATATTTGGTCAACCTCAGATCTGAAACTTCCAAGACAACCACCGACCGATCCGTGCCGATCACTCATAAGACCCAATGAGAACTAGCCAAGCCGTGTCATTTAAGTTAGAAACCAAAGCTTCCAACTCAAAATACTCACGAATCGTAGTTCCGCTGCGCTTGATTTGGTACTAACGTACTCAGGTCAGCAGTACATTAAACCCGGTCGCGTGATGCCCTCACCTCAAAGTCATCTCCCTCGAGAATGATCGCATCACCATGAACTAGGGTCATGGAAAGTTCCAAGGGCGCTGGCTTGCTCTTTTTGCCACCAGTAGAACCCTTCCCCTTTCTGGCTGCCTTGGCATCACCTACATTACCTGACGGTCCAGATGCCTCCCCCAAAGCAAGGCTCGCTGGGTCAGGTTGATTCGTGACGTCAGGGTCACCGCCAGTTTGGCGGCAATCGTCTGGCACAATTACTGCTGCCGACCCAAGAGTTTCCGAACAACCATCATCCGCCAGCTGTGACGCACTTAATATCCGCTCGCTATCAATCTCCATGCAGTCCTCCGCACTTTCAATGGGGATCTCCGTAAAACCACGTTTGGGTACTAGATTCATGACGACTTCGGCACCTAGACAAATGATGGTGACAACGTGGCTCTTCGCGTTAAAAACGGCACCCTAATCGCTTTTGAGGGGGAAAAACAGTATCGAGTGTCCTTTCTGGCTTACCCGTTTCGAGCCCGGAGTGACCCATGCCTGAATCATGATATGGTTAATGTTGGCATCATCGACTTCGCCGTACGCTTGCATATAGTGAAGCAAGATATCCTGGATGTCGAAGACAAGTCTAGGTATTTCAGGTTGTCCGGCTGGATCCCCGGAGCAGATATTTCCGTGATCAAGTTTCGTAGACCAGGTAAAATAAGGGCCTGAGACCAAAAATTCGCACGTTTTAGAAGTCAAGCAACAAGGATACATACTATGTAGGTCACTGCGGGAAAGGATAACATCTTTCTGTATGTCGAGGAGTAGTTTTGTTGCATCCTGTTGCAATATCTCTTGGTTACCGGTGAAGATGTGTTGTACTCTCACACCACTGTTGACTTGATACGTCAAATTCCGCATCGTGTCGTCCCACGAAGAATCAATTTTGCCAACTGACGAAGGTGCACAATCGAGAGGATCCCGTATGGGCAAACGATGGTGTGGTCCTCGAAGTGCTTGTAGCGGATCAATGTGGCAAATCAGGGCATCAGCATTGGTCGTTGCTTTTCCCCGCTCCAATTTACGCTGCCGCCATAATCAGTAAGGTTCGATAATGCTAGTTGCGGGAAACAATCACTTTGCACGTGGAACTCTGGCAGATCTGGTGTCGAAAACACCTCTGCGCATTAAGCATCCCGCAGTCTCTGCAGTACCAGCCTCTTGGAAAACACTCGCTGGGTTTGAAGCTCGCCAGGAGGTCCAAAGGCAGAAAGCTGAAATAGAGGGTGTTCATGTCTCTGGATGTTTTCAGTGAGCCAGCCTCCTTTTCGGCAGGATCAATCCACCATGGGTGCGACTTCTCATTGATATTTTCCAACAACCCTTCTTCACCTCCCGGTGCCCATTCCAAGGTAAGGCGCCATCGTACGCGTTCGCACTGCTGAGCCTTGGAAATAGCTACGACTGTGTTGTTTATATCTACCTGCAGGAAGATCAACAAACGTGACCAGTAAAACGAGCAAAAAACTGACGTTCAGGTCAGATATGACAAATAAACCCAAGCAACAGCATGCGTACTCGGGAGCCAGTTGCAGTGGTAGGAGCCCGCTTTCTCGAGATACGAAAACAAGTAAGGGAGTTTGGTCCATGCGACACTGATCTAAGGTTTCAATCTCAGATGGCCTTTGTTCAGGTATTCGGGGTTGGATTTGAGGAGCCGAAGAAGACACCATTGGTATATCGTCTTCTGGAACAAGAGGTGGAGACAACACCGTTGGCGATAGTGGATCTAGCACCGGCACTGGAGCTAACGTGGGTGACTGTGGCATAGCAATGGTATCGGATGGCAACACTTTTCGTAATATAAGTTACAGAACAAAAAGAATTCGAACGAGCCCACCTTCGGATCCTACAGCCAGAGGTGTGGTGAACGATGAGAAATTGAACTGGAGATGGTCGCTTTTGATAGGGGTGAAGGAGGGCACTGCATCCTTGACAGACTCGCCTTCTTCCACCTAGATCTGAAATCAGGACGCAAGCCTCACAAATATGACGAGTTCTAACCTGTGCTACCAGATCACTGTTATCGGGGGGCCTCTTGTCGTGCGTTATGACATGCGAATCGCTACGTACAAGTACTTCGGGTCCGTATCGATAATTCCATTCCCTATATTTGACACCACCCGATCAGTGAACAATGGGGTAAAACAGAAGGAACTGACAAAACGACTTCCAGAGTGTTTTTGTCTCTCCAGGAATGCTCGGGGTGGGGATGTTCTAGGAACAATGCGGGCATTTCAAACTGCCGCCATGAAATACCCGTAAGAGACTTCGTGAGTTCAGGGAATATCGAAGCAATTTCTGCGCGAGACTGGGTATCCAGTTAGACTCGATTTGCATTCATTATGCCGAGGTACTTCACATTTGCCCAGACTCGAGGCGTGTGAGGTGTGCAAGGAAGGGTATCGACTGTGGGGACAGCTGTACAGCTGTCAATCGCACACTTGATCTTTGGAGGCCTAACAAAAGTCCAAACCGGCGCTGTAGTGACCGCGGCATCTATTCAGACGCGTAAATGTGCACGAATGGGAAACCCTGATAAGATACTAACCGCTCCTGGTTTCCGGGTTGACTGTAAGTGGTGGGTTCTGAAGAGGCTTACCATCGTCCTTGTTCTTGTTCTCCTTGCATTTGGAAGTTTTTTTTGGCGCTCTTGAAGAGCTCGGATGGGTTAATTTCTGTTTCTTGGGTGACGGAGGATTTGAAACTTGGTTGGATCTTGAAGCTGATATCCTCTTGGAGGGTGGCGCCGTAGGGGTTTGGGACATTCCAGATATTGGCGGGGATATAGGGGTTGGTGCATGTTTTTTACCCTTGGCCACCTTGGGCAAGGGAAGCTTCTGATAGCCTGGTTGACTGACATGACAAGGTCGCTCAGTCTTGGTGCACCGATCGCAGGGCAAAAGACGCGAACAAGTTTTCTTTATCGAACGACAATGGACGCAGGAATAAGAAACAACAGATACATATTCCCCGGAGGGTGTTTCACGAAGCTCGAAAATGGCGCGAGGATGAATGGCTTCGTGGTAGGTTGTCGGATCGGGGGGAATGATCGGTCGACGAACTGATGGATGCCAGGCTCGTACGAAATCTGGCACATCATGATCTGCGTCCATATCGACGTCCGACATCTTCGAGCATGAAGAGAGTTAGGGCTTGGTCAGGAAGTAGTAACTAGTATATAGTACTTACTTCAAAGTTGGTTACTCTGGAAGTGGCAAGTCGATAAGGCGTTTAAACTTTATCCAAGTCATAACTCCGCGAATCACAAATCCAAACGTGTCAGCTGTGTTGGTTTGTGACGTTCACCCTGAGGCTCGGAGTCGCAATGGGCAAAAAACCAAATCTCACCGGTTTATCTCGTTTCCTGCCACAAGACTTTCTTAATTCAAACGCTACTAGCCTCTCAGAAAATCCACACAATCAGAGCAGACCTGCGAAGAAACGCAAAACGGATACCCATGTTCCTGTTCGCACAAAATATGATGCCACCGCCCTTGTTCCTCACTACACCACCACTCACGAGGTTCCAGAAAACCTTCAGAAATGTCCGTCATGCCGCGACTTAATATTTCAAAGGCCCTTTGATTCAATCCCAGCTGCTATCTCTCAGATTTCTCGCAACGAAAACGTTACTTTTCTTTATACGACCAAGGATGTTTATTGGATGAAGAAGGCTGGTATAGCGTGACACCTGAAAACATTGCCGTACAAATTGCAGATCGCTGTCGATGCGATACGATCCTCGATCCTTTCTGTGGTGTCGGAGGAAATGCGATCGCTTTTGCAAAAACCTGCGAGCATGGTGAGAGGCCCGTTCTATCGCTCACCCAGTCCTGCTAATTTCATTAGTCATTGCTCTGGACATCTCCCCAACACGGCTCGCTTTGGCTCGCCATAATGCTGCTATCTACGGTGTTGCAGACCGCATCGAGTTTATCCTTGCAGACTATATCTCATTTGCAAACGCATATCTTTCACGACCCCACTCAACGCGCAATATTGACGTTGTCTTCTTGAGTCCCCCTTGGGGTGGCCCAGGATACATCTCTCCCTCTGAAAACAATGTCACTGCCGACAATAACGCGGACTTCCAGGATGAACTGGAGGCACACTCACAATATAGCCTCTCAAGGATACAGCCGATTCACGGGGCTGATTTATTTCGCCTGACGAAGCGGATTTCAGATAATATTGCTTACTTCCTCCCCAGAAACACGGACTTGAATGAAATATCTGCCCTGGGCCTGCTCGAAAAAGACGAAGGCGTCACCCCCGATGACAAGCCTCGAATGATTGAAGTGGAGGAAGAATGGATGGGGTCGAAGTTGAAAGCTCTGACGTGTTATTTTGGTGGTTTAGTTGCTGGGCAAGAGCATGTATTCTGACTTCACATCACCAGAACTGGTGTAACACATCTTTCAAAATATCCTTGGCTGTGTACTCCTGTCGATGTATCAGAGTAAGTTGTGCGAAGTGAAGTGAAGTGAAGTGCATTACACTTGATTCATCGAAGCCCACGAGCTGAAGAAATTTGCGTTCGACCTACGCTAAGTCCAAACTATACGTATAAGCTAAGATTTCACTGAAAATGTTGTGCAAGCTCATGACGATGCACAGGCCCATCCACTATCACTTTTGAGGGCGATGTATTCCTCTAGTTCCTCATGTCTGTCGTCTCCTCTGGTACCAATGAGGCTCTTCAGGGGACAATTTGACCGTGCCAAGAATGGCTTGAACTTCTCATGAGGTCATGATGATCCCACATGGTCAACCTCAAAGTACGCTTGAACTTTCTAGGGAGGGAGAGAGCATCTAACAGGTTAGGAAATGTACCAGGGATCCCAGCTGACGTCTATGCATACACAACAGGTGAGATACCACGCATTAGATGCTAATTTATTATCCTAGAAGACTTCATATTCTAGAAGCAAAAACACTATGATCTTCCTCTGGGCCACGCTGCCACCGGTTCACATAAGCATCTTCCTGGTGATTCTTCCATCATCATGGATCATGGTATAGCCGCTGCTTGTGATATAACCGTTCTCCGGGTTGCTGGGCCCGACTGGCCCTGAGGACAATTTCGGCCTTGAGACAGCTGAAGTACTTCCATAACCGTTCACGGCTTCCTCTGAACCTCTGCTTTGGCTTTATGTTTCGATATAACGAGCCTAAGTTCGGACAACCATATCAATGAATGTAAGACATATAATGATACTCATGACATCAGTCAACAGCTAATGGGACTGGTCACCTGTGCATCCCACGGCTCGCCGGCATGTCCCAGATTCGAAACTCCCATATGCACCTGCATCTCCTGCTCCTACCTTCGTGCCGTACAGGCACATAATTTACGCAGTTGTCGTGGCTAAGGAGGGTCCCTTCAATAGATCGTGCTCCATAGATGACCCACCACCACATTGGAACCCTCTATGGCATCGTCCGTATCTCCATTTATCGATTCTATTAGACTTGTTATTCCCCAGTGATACGTAGTTCGCGCTTGGCAACTCAAGGCAAGTATGTCGAGAAGGTGTGATTACTAGTCCCAAAATATCAATCTCCATTCTCACTAAAACACCAGCTGACTCACGTGTACGCAAAGCCAACGCGGTTGTGATCGGCGTCAAACACAACATAATACTTCTCCATGAACTTCTGACCGAGGATGAAATCTAAGCCTCTCCCGCTGTCAGCACCGAGCTTAGTAATGACGCCGTATTGTACACCAGTCTCGATGCCCCAAATGGCGTTCTCGTTCAATGGGATGAGTTGTGCAGCTGTATCCATGCTGAACGCGCGACCGTTGATTGTGAAGTTAAGGGGTTGCATGCCTGCGACGGAGGAAGGGGGGATGACAATAAGGCCAGTGTTGCTAACATCGAGGTAGGCTCCGGGAATGGCTTGTAAGTACCTGGAAAAGAAATCATCCGCAAGCAGGACCACTGCGATAATGTGGAGTTGGGTGGTGCGAGTGATATCGAGTCAAATAATACGCACGAGTTGTGCCCGAATCGACTATGCCGGCGGTTGACTGAGGAATAACAGTGTGTGTGCCATATGTCACGTCAGTTACGTTGATGCCCCAGAAGTGGGCTGCTGAGAGAGTCTTGGTGACTGGAGCGTAGGTTATATTACCGGTGTACTGGCGGGTATATCAGGAATTTCCATAGCGAAATATGACATCGTACGCACAAAAGCAGGATCAATGCCACCATATGTAATCGCTCCATCTGTTCGATCGACTAAATGGGTTACATACAAGTCAGATACGATAAACACATACTGGTGTCATTAGAAGTCGTTGCCGGCGCGAATGAAATACCAAAAATCTGTTGTTTGATCAGACCCTGCTTCAAAGCGTTATCCATGATGGTTGGAGTCAAGGCGCCAGTGTCAGGAGACAGTTTTCCCCGCGTGAGATCAACTGGTCCAACGCCAATTATGCCGTCGACGCCGTCAAAATATGCGAATTCAAGAGCATCACCGATGGATTGATTCGTGATGGCGAAGCCAGCTGCGAGAGTCACCGTGTCATTGTCTGATCGGTTAAGCCATATCAGTTCATATATAAGTACTCTAAGTGCTGAGGAAGACAAACATTCGATACCACTGAAAAAGCCAGTTCCATAGGCGACAGTGACATTCTGTCCAGTGGGGACACTGGTTGATGTACGGACATATTTTTTTCCTGTTCTACACATCACCCATCAGTCATTCAAGTCGCAAGGGCAATTCTCTACAAAAACACTGACCCAACAAATGTGTTAGAACTCCCCGTGTCAATAATTAAATCGTAGTAGGTGGGGGGACTGCCGACACCAACGCTCATGGTGTACTGTATGTATACCACGTTTGTGGCCGGGATAGTCTTTGGGCCACTGGTTGTCTCTAAGAACGACGCTCGGGCACCATCAGCGTGTGGAGAGCCTTGAAGGTACGACCCAGTACGCTCAAGCTTTGTCAATGGGATGGTGACCGAGGCCCATGAGGTAGACCTGCTGGCCGTGATAATGACTGCAAACAAAAAGGCGGAGAACGATCGCATGACTATGAGGGAGGTTTCTGCCTGTTTGCATGAATGATGGGGCTGACAATCCATTTATACCAGAAGTATGTGCTCATGGGCACCGATAGGACGTGCGACGAATGCAAGCCCCATATAGCCTTCAAAGGACGTACTAATTGAATAGCAGCAATATTTGCCATGCGAACCTATTGCAGCAGTACATGGGCACTGTGGCACAACAGATAATCCGGCATTGCATAGTCTCCGCTAGGGCCCATCGCCAGATTTGCAGAACAGATTAAGGAAGAAAATAGTTTGAACGGCCTGCTGGATGCAAACACCACAAAGCTCACAAGGTGACTGGTCTCCCCTAGCCAGGCCGTATACTAGTTCTTGATACAAGGTGTCCAAAAGAGACTGGAATGATTATACTCTGCCAACATAACAGATTGTTGATATGAATCGTTGCATTGCAGCGCCGGTAATTGGAAAAAATGTACATGATTACATGAAGAATAGTGGGACATGGACCAGGCCGTAGGCGTGGAAGGCTGCCAGTGCAATATACCCACGCTAAGAGAATCGACATTGGTATGATACCGTTTGCTACGTCGGAAGCGCGACGACACCTGGGCCCGCGGCGCTTTCAAGAAGCTGGAGTTCTGCCAGGTTCTGCCAACCTCCCATCGCGCGTGAGTAGAATCAAGCGTGATGAATTTCTTTGGGCTCCTGGCCATCATGAGGAATATGTCAAGGACACCGATTGTTCACCGGCACCGGCCACCATGTGCGCAGGATCTCGTCCCCAGTTTCATGATTGACTCGGAGTGACGCATTCCGAATGAGAAATCTACAATTGTGCTTATATAAGCGAGGCCGACGTTTCTAACCGCCTATGCAGCTCATTTTTTCCATTCTAGCCTCTAGGCATTAACCGGAGTTCTCGTGATCTTGAATGATCATGCACACGCGTGACGCTTCACATATTTTTTCTCTACCAGAAAGAAGAAAATTGTGGTACTCGCTAGGATCTAGAAGGTCCTAGCCAGCTGCGGCGTCGTTGGAATGTCAGGAGCGAGAAAGATAGATATATTCAATGATCAAGATGTGTCAGATGTTCCAAACTCATGTTTGTGTGAAACATTACTAACGGACCGTACTAACTACTCTAGAGTAGTACGTACAAAAATTGGTAGATATGTACAGAAAGCAAGACTCTTCCTTCCATTCTGGTCTGACTAGGCAGACTAGTACTATTATATACACACAACAGCAGAAGTCAAAAACGTTTCGAGTAGGAAAAAAGGAGAAACATGATGCGCGTTCTGCGGAAAAAAAGCAGCTCCACACAAAGCAAGGCATAGACGATGATGTAATTTTCTGTAATGGTAGTCATCGCAATGAGAATCGTGCATCGCAGGCAAGAAGTGAAACGGTCTTACATACAGAAATAGCTGTGGATTTCACAATGGTCGCTTCGGAACCAGCTTGACAATTCTGTTCTGCTTGACGATATGCGCATCCTTCCCGAAATAGCGGGCGGACTCGAAGGACCACTGCAGCGGACCGACAATCCAGTTCTGCAGTCCTTCGACGTACTTAGCCACATCCTTGTCGACTTCTTCTCCCCAAGAGGGGAGGACAGCACGGTTTTCTTCGAACCGTTGTAGGGAGATATTGCATAGCTGGGCACAGTAGTCAACAGCGCCTTGCAGGTCGAGACCTTGTTTGACCATGAGCACAGCAACTAAATTATGCGTGCTATGGTGAGATTGCTCCATGTTATAGGATAAAATATCCTGTCAGCAGCGATGTCAGTAGTGCCCCAACTTCGACGACAGAATGAGGTATTACATTTGACCAAGAAACGAAGTCATTGGTGGCCTCCTCCAGCGCCATGATGACTGGATGCGAGACTACTTCGTCGGGAAGATCAATATGACAGACGAATTCGATCAAAGCAAAGCAAGCCTTGCAGCCGCTCAAGTCGCGCCTCAATTCGATGTAAGATTCAACATCATCGATATGCCCCTTGACGCGGTTCTCCACCTCCTTGGCCGCAGAGATAAACCACAAGTCCATTGTATGAATAAAGCGCTCTGTGCAGCCAGGACCGCCAGTCTCCTTAAAGCGACCGAAGTATCTTAACATCGTGATATGGTTAGAACGTGTGCGCGATAAGAAAAAATAGAATAGACATACGATTTGCACATCTTTCCACTATATCTTTCCGTCTGGAAGTTGACGGGATCGCGGTACGCAGATACGCAGCAGTCACGTACTCCCCATGCATCATTGACATCGGGTGACCTTTCGATCTCGAGCCAGTCATCCATTTTGAATGACCAGCCCAGGAAGTCCGCGCAGACTTTGAGATGGAAAGCATCCGCATCAGGGTAACAAGATGAAGCGAAGTAACCTGGGCGCAATATCGTAGTGTATTTGGTAACATCGGGCTCTACTAGATGGCCTTCGCTACAAAGCCATTGTGCAGAAGCGCGAGATACCTGATCACAGTGAGGGTTTAGTCGCATAGGGTAGCGGCAATCGCTAAAGAAGTCAGGTAAAATGAACTCCGTGGGCTCGGAGTCAGGAGAAGTGACGGTGCAAGTTGCGGTAGAAGCCATGGAGGTTGTCGGAGTCGTGAAAGTCGAGATGAGGGAATGGAGAAATCAGACACCCAAGTTATGAGACAAAGACTCTGGAATATGTTACTCTTTATACTGATGCCAATATTGCTGGCGGGTGTATCGTGTTGGCTTGGACCATCGTGTAATTTTGGAAATGAGGGTCCACCGATCAGATTGAAAGAAAGCGGGGGTGTAGACTCACCTGTTCTATGTGTCACCTACTCGAATTATAGCAAGGTTTGAATCGCGCTTCTCTAAACAGGGTGAAACATTACTGAGGGTCGCCTATCCCTGTAGCTTTGATGTCGCTAACAACAATGTGAGACTCAAATTCCATGCGCTATTCCATAGGTAGGATGTACAAATGGTGAGACTTTTCTCGTACGCGGTATCTTGTTTGTGACGGTTCCGTATAAGTAGATCTCTTCTATGAATATGGCAGGGCGCTTACTTCAAGCCTTTTCCTTCTGCATTCCCCTTCCGAAAGCCAGTCGTAACATAGATAGTCAAGATGACCAAATGCCGAACACGAAGACAACGAACTTCGTACATCTGATCATTGACGGTCATTCACCTGTATGTAAATTGGGGTCGACGGACCAATCTGAGATCTTGCGTGGGCGTCATGATTCATGATACCATATGTGGATTACCAGAAAGTCATCTACAACGGATCTGCTGGGCGAGCCAATATAGACAACGACTGAGTACATGTCAACTTGCGCGTTCCAGCGCAGAATGCAGATTTGTGCGTAGATCAGTCGAGGAAGGGTAGAATTGGTTTGTTCGGTTCCGCCACAGCCCGGAGACTACCGCGCGGTCAAAATGCTTATAGGCATCCAGCGCGTCTATCACAGTATCTGTTATAGCAACACAACACAATGGCCATAAGACACGGAGCTGGTATACCAGTCGCCCGGATCTGTCGTGTGCGATAACCCATCGATATCAATTCTGAGACTCCGCGAATGATCCAGGTTAGCGCGTTCGCGAATTCTGTCGCTCAACTGATGATGCGTTAGTCACATCAACATTCAAAAATACATGATAAGAATCACATTACTCATCAGAAAAGTTCCTTGTCAAGCCTGCTTTAGTCGCAAGTTGGGAGAAATGGTACTAAGAACAACTTGACAGCATTCTGAAGTAAGACATGACTTCCGAACTTTATTAGATCTTGGTGAGTGTTACGTACCGCACTAGTGACATAGCCTGTACTGGTTATGCCATTGTGTGTGCATATATGGTTGAACGTTGAGTACTCGAGTAACGTTTGATAGTTGATGCGTGTAAGGCCGTCGGGACTCGGGAGTCCATATGGTTTTGACCACGTGACAATGACGCGTCACCGGGTGAACGCATCTTTCCTGTGATCATCCTCACATTCAACGTGCACCATATTATCTCCGTTTTCTCTTTCGATTTCATCCTTCCCATCGTACTCTTCTGATTCGATTTCCCAAACATTATACGGTTATGAGCAAGGTGCCGATTAGGAGCCTGCCGGAGAGTCAGCACTACTGAGCGTGGCACCGTTGGGTTTGCCGTTCTATTCGAAGTTTCGAGCTCCTCGTACAATGTTTCACATCGCAAATCCCTACCATTTACTTATTATCGTTAGCCTATTATCTCATCGCTCCCCGTTACATAATTAATAGCCGTAGCTCATGTTCGTTTGTCCGCCCACCTCCAGCGTCCAATCCGAGCTTAACGCTCGGACATAGCCCAATGCCTTCACACTCGACCTCGTTCATCCTCATCGTAACAGTCGAAGTTGGAGATTGTTGCTGCTGCTGTCGTGAGTCTGCATCGGGATCTTGATCATCCACTGACCACCTTTCCGAAGATGGCTCGTGTCACACTGACTGATTGGACGTGTATGCTTAATAGTTGTCATTACCATTTACCACAGTCATCCTTTCATCGGTCCTTTATTCGCACAAGGTGGCACCTCCCAAGGACATGGATTTTGGCGCATCAAACCAACCCTACCCCGTCCTTGGTGACCATAAAATGCAGTTCATATGATTTGCGATGTACTTCCCGATGCTCTTCCCCACGTCTGTAGTATGCGACCGGCATGTTCGTTGTACCGGTGGCTGTCTTCCATCATTGCTTCGCTGTCTCATTCTCCATCAATATCGTGGACTTCTGCTCGCACAGACGGTAGTAGACGCCACAATGTCTGACTGATGATTTTGTACATCAAATCATGGCCACTTCGGTGCAACATCATAACAGCCGTCTTCCTTCTGCACCACTGGCTACTTTTGCAATGGATAACTACACTGTCCATGTACCTGTTTACGGGTTTATTGAGTATGACTTATCTTGCTTTATTAATATTATTTCTTGCCTTGAGGATGCTTATGCATCTTGCGACTCTCTCTGCCCAACCCAAGCCTTACCTCTACTGCCTGACTTCCTGTATACACGGGCATTTAACTTGTTATCTGCCGCTGTACACAGGTTGTGTGCCTGATCTTCACAACTGACACTCCGCAAATGCGACATATCGTCTATTTCGCAATACGCTGCCTTTGTATCAGTCTGGTTGTGATGCATTTGAGAGCACCCATCATATTTTTGCTCTCTGCCCGGCCTTTCAGGCTATCGGTCTTGCACACGTGCAACTTTACCACGAAACCTCGAGAACAAACTAGTGACCATATCTGGAGGTCTTCGCTAGAGTTGCACGGCGCTTGTTTTCTGATGACGCGGGGCTTTGACCATGGTATCAAATGCGTTTTGTTATGTGGGTGCATTACCCCCACTTGCGAATATTGCGGTTGACATCAGAACTCGAGTGGGTATCTCACCCCTACCATCTGATATCTAGGGCCTGACATGGGTCGACCCGGGTCATACCCGGGTGCTACCCGCAGGTAAAATGAGAAATAGAGTCATGCCCGTACCCGTCCCGGGTCAAGTGGTACGGGTACGGGTCGACCGCGGGTTGTACCTGCGGGTGTGTGGGTCACCCGCGGGTACATGATATATCTTAGCATTGGGTGAATAGTACAAAGACACTTAGTAGGATTAGTCGCTATTGAACTCTGCAACGTCTCAATCATAGTCACTCCCAGCATCCTCGCAAGCTTTACCCTTTCCCTTGTTCCGTTTCATGTGTTCACTAAGTATTTGAGTGGCAATTTTATCGTCCAAAAACGGAGTCTTGTACCATGAACCGATAGCCATCTGAGCTTTGAAGGCCTGTGAACTGATGCCGTGTTGTAGGTGATTGACCTGCAAACGACCGCAGGAAAATGCTCGTTCGGCGTCTACAGAAGATGCTAGTCCCGAGGGTTAGAGGGTGCCATACCAATGATACCATCCACAGACTCAAAATCTCTCTCTTATATTAGCATTGTCAGTTGAAAATATTGAATTCGGGTGGTTAGCCCGATAGTTATGAGGCTGAAGATGCAAGTTCGGAGTAGTTGTCAAAGTCGGCATGTCATTTGACGTCGGCTACAACTAGTGATGTGCACGGCTCGGCTTGAGGCCCTGGGCCGGCCCAAGCCGGGCCCAAATAAGCCGGGCCCAGCCCAGGCCTAAGTCACGGCCTGAGGAAGGCTTGGGCCTGGGCTTGAGTTTCGAAAAGCCTGAGCCGGCGGCCTAAGCCGTGGCTTTGGCATGTTCAGTGGCACTCACCGGAGGTACGTTTCCCGACTCTATTTTTGTCTTTCTAAGCTTCTGACTTCCATCACTTTATCAGCTTCAACTCAGATGGTCCTGCACTGTCCAACATATCCAGCAATTCACCCTCCTTCAAGGCCTTATCTCTTGTCTGTTGCTACGGAAAAGCCACGGTGAGCTGCCAGCACTATGTCCTGTGCTTTGCGAGTTTGACATAACTCACTCTACCAGGTTTCAGTTGCGCAAATCGATATTTTTAGTAAATTTAAAGCCTTTTGTGCTTCGCCTTCACAAGTGTCTGCGTGATTGCGCACCCAGTACTATCTTTCAATCGATTTATGTTGGTACGTGTCCCTCTAACATCCCTACCTGCTACCCACCCATGACAAACACAGATGCCGAGCACCGTGTTGCACGTCCCGTGCGCAAAACGAAACCTACAGCCACCCTTCTTCAGCATGCCGAGCAGGCAGCACTGCCATCCCAAACCAAGGCAATTAACGAGTTCCACGCTGCGGAGGCTGCTAAATGTGCTGCTGAACATACCTCCACTTCATCCACTACCGAAATCACGCAATCTCCACCCACCTCTCCCATACCATCAGCGCCGTCTGTGAAATGTGCGCTACGACACGATCTTCTGTTCCGGGAGCCTCAACCATCATCTCTCGTTGAGTTGGATTACCTGGACGACAATGACGAAGAAGCGGAAGCGGACGCAGAGACTGGTGATGTTGTGGATGGAGAAGAAGCTTGGGACATGATGCTTTTGGGTGATGATGCCGAGGACGTGTCGGATGTTGAGATGGACGTTTAGATACGTTGTATTCACGCTGTTGCTTGTTACTACTAGCCTACACTAATGAGCATCTGTTGGCTTCCAAAAGCCGCGGCCTGGTTGGGCCCAAGCCCCGGCTTTGGGCTGGCTTGGGCTCACGGCCTAGGCTCTGAATTTTTGTGAGCCTAAGCCCTTCGAAGCCGAGCCTAAGCCGGGCCGGAACATCACTAGCTACAACAGTACTTGATGGCAATAGATATTAATGTACCTGGTAGACACAAAGGCTAAAGTTCGACCAAATACTAGTAGTGACCTGCGGGCACCCGCGGGTAGCTCGAAATTTGGATGTTGCTGCCCGTACCCGCCCGGGTAATACACCCAAGCCAACCCGTGACCCGTAGCACCCGACCCGCACGCTACCCGCAGGTTCCACCCGGGCGGGTACCCGGGCACTCTCTACCCATGTCAGGCCCTACTGATATGTAACGGTCACTCAGAGATCGTGCTCGTCACTGACTGCTTCTCACCCTTGTCTAAAACGTATTGGACTCATTTATTCCTATAGCTACAGCTACTCTACTATATGCTCGGCCGACGTACTTACTACCCGGTTCTGTCCCCACTGCCTCTCTTTACCGTTATCACCCGAGCTTCAGTAGTATAAAAGCAGAGTCCATTCGTAGTCGTACAGTAGTGTTTTCTGGACCCAAATATCAGACTTTTATCCTGTTATTTCCCAAGAACGTTCTTCTCTTGTGCCATTGACTTCGAGCTTCGCGAGCTAAATAGTCACTGTCACATCTTTTTTAACATCCAAAAGTCTACCCACTTTTCCATAACAAACCTTCGATAAAACTCCTCGTCCCTGGAACGATTACGGTTAGGCCCACCGTAAAGTACCACGACGAAACAAAACCATACCATGTCTTCGCACTACAACCTTCGATCCCAACGTTCCGCAACGCTGAATGCTGAACAAACGATCCCTGGGACTCTAGTTGAGTCTCCTTTAACTGAAGTTAGCACTAACGATGCAACCCCAACCCCGTCCCCTACCGAGAGATCCTTCTCGCGTCTGGGTGACTCTGTTCTCAGACCCGCTCGCTCCTATAGCGACGTGGTACGAACGAGGTCCGATACGCCCCAGCCAGAGGCGGGAGTGCATTCGGCTAGCGTCGATAGCGCAATAACTGGTCGACGTCAGTCGACCGGTGTAGTAGAAAATTGGAATGACGAACCTGTTAATAACCCGTTCGTCACTACCAGTGAATCCTCGGCAGAGTCAGAGACTGGAACACCATGGCAAACGGTCAAGGACCGCCGAATTAAGTCTAGACGGACAGCTAAAAGCAAGCCCAAGACAAAGGGTCAGATAGAACCCGACTTAGTGAGAGAAGCAGAAAAATATCTCACCCAAGAAGAGAAACAACGTATCTCTGATAGGAGACGCCTTGAAGAAAGGGCTCACGTAAGTGATCAAACGTCGTCCTCACCTGACGAAGGCCCATCTAAAGGAAAGGGTGCGGACCCCCGGAATTGGGGCAATGCAAACCTAGATGGATCCGAAGTAGACCTGGAGGCTCAGAGAGAAGCGTTAGCCACTTGGACAAGATCCAAGGAGTGGGCACAGGAAAACCCACGGGAGCAGACAGATTCTGAAGAGGACAGGAGGGATCCTGTCCAGGCGGCCATCAGGGCCACTGAGAAAAGGATCACTGAACAATTCGAACATCAGATCCATCAGCTAAAAGAGCGGCTGAGGGAGGCCGATAAACTCACCAGGGATAAGACTAAGGTGCTTCCGAGCCGGTCCACCGTTCGGAAAACGAGCGATAAGGAAAATCGTCACCCGGTAAGAGAGATGGTCGAGAAGGCTGCTAGTCAGCCTGCCAGGAAACATGGATTACGGGAGACCCCTCCCGCTATGGATGCAGCCGCCCAGATAGCCCCAAAAAGTTACCTGGGCCGGGCATTTGAGAGCATGACCCAGAAGAAGGGGAAGGGGGCTAAACCCACCCGAGTGCGTTTCCCAGACGACTCATCGAGTGACTCTTCCGATTCCTCCACCACCACTCAATCTTCATCAAGTGAACTGTCGAGTGAGAGCGAGGACAGCTCATCCAGTTCCTGCGATAGAGGAAAACGTGCCTCTAAAAAACGGCGTAAGACCAAGAAACGCAAAACTAAACGAAAGACTACCCTGAAACCCATCCCCCCAAAGGAGTACGATGGTTCGGTCGACCCACGGGCGTTTCACCATTTCATAACAGAGGGAACTGCGTATGTGGAGGACGGCAACGTACCACAGGGGAGACGAGTGTTCGTGCTATCATACTACCTTAAAGGAAAAGCACATGACTTCTATGTCCGGCAGGTGTCAGACCGGCCGGGGGAATGGAGACTCAAGGAATTCTTCACGGAGTTATTCAATTATTGTTTCCCGCTTGACTTCCGTACGAAACAGCGTAAGAAACTGTACCGATGCTACCAGGGCGACCAGCGAGTCCGAGATTACCTATCAGAACTCAACGAACTATGGATGATGATTGGGAACGTACCCGAAAGAGAGAAGGTAGTCAAATTCTGGTTCGGCCTGAGTGCCAGTATCCAGAATGAGCTCTACAAGATGCAGCTAAACCCGGAAGTGTCCTCGTTGAGCGAGGTCCAACGCATCGCCGAGATAATCGAGCTGGCCGAGTCTGCCGTTTCCAACGGTCGCGGCCGTGAAGAAGGACCCAAGGCCCCTAAAAAACAGGGCAAGGATCCTAAAGGTCACGGGCAGCCGAAAGGCGAGGCACCCCGAGGATCCGACAAGGGGAACCATGGCCAGAGGGACAAGCAGTCATCAGGCTCGAGTCGCAGGGATAGAGTACATCGACCTGCACAGAATAAGCGCTCAGAACGTCCTAAAGACGAAAAGATGAGCCGCGAGGAGCACGACCGTCTTGTATCAGAAGGACGATGTTTTATCTGCAAAGAGGCAGGACACATGTCCCGTCAGTGTCCTAAACGGATCACAGTGCCGTCGACTCACAAGGATAAGTCACCCGGAGTGCCTAACTACGCCATGCACATAGAAACGGGGCTGGACGGAGAACGTCAGGCTCTCGAAGACAGCACCGAATTGATCACCGAGATTCCTCTGAACGTCGCGCTCCTGCAGTACGAAATACCTAAGAAACCGGTCTACCGAACGTGGGGAGTGGCTGATGAGCCTATAGGTGATCCGTTAGCGCGCCGTGCTGAGGAGATACTAAGACAGAGCGCACCTTATCCGGGGGACGACTTGACAAGTGAAGAAACCTTTGCTAAGGACAGGTTCTTGATCTATCGGATATCAGCCGTCCGTCACATCATAATGGACCATGGAACTCACCTGAAGGAAGAGTTAGAGATTCCTTCCTTCCTGCTGCGTAACCCAGCATTCTTCGTGGGTGACTGGTATGCAAATCGCCTGGCTGAGGACTGCGAAGTACCTAAGTCCATGAGGCGCTGTATGCAACGCCGTAAGCCGATGGGAGACCCTATAGCTGATCGTGTCGAGGAGATATTGAACCGGGAAACTCGGTTTCCGGGAGAACCAATTGAAGATCGGTTCATCTGCCATCGAACAGCCTATGGCGATGACATCATCTACGAGATATTGGATCAAGAACTAAACTATGTGCTGAGGGCGGAGGATCATTTCCTCTGTAATGAGAAGTTGAATGTAGCTCACTGGTACGCGAAGCACCTGTTAAAGGGCTACAAGCGACTGAACACGCTGATGCTAAGCAAAGAGTTGGAGTGGGAGAATCACCACCTCCGGTCGTTGGAGACTGGTGATCTCAGTCCAATGGAGTGCGCGCTGGAAGGTGTAGTACATCAGCTCTACGCGATCCCAGACATGCAGTTCGAAGGGACGGCTCACCATTTCCAGTTAGTCGAACTGAATGGTCAGCAGGTAGCGCCAGGGAAGTACCCTGCCATACAACGTAACTCGGCGATAGCCCGAGACTTCAAACGACTCATCCCCAAGCCTGTCGTCGTGGTGGCCCATGTGAACGGCTGCCCGGTCCGAGCCCTTATCGACACAGGATCGCTGGCCGACTTCATGTCTTCCACACTAGCGGATCAGCTGAAGGTGAAACGGATACCTCTAGAGAAGCCACTCACCATCCAGCTGGCCGTGCAAGGGTCGCGCTCCAAGGTGAACTTCGGGGTTAAGGTGCAGCTAGCTTATCAGCACATTAAGGAAGAAAGATTCTTTGATATCATAAACTTACAGAATTATGATTTAATCCTGGGGACGCCATTCCTCTTCCAACATCAAGTTACGGTCGGCCTGAACCCGTCCCGGGTGATGGTAGGTAGCGACCGCGCATTACCGGTCAAGGGCGAACAGGTAGCTGTCCTGGAATCGAGGGCGGCAGGGGCCGTCGAGGAAGATCTGACCCGTGCACGTCAACAGCTTTGCGAGCTGGCCCGGCCACTGTGTGCCAAGGCCAGCACCACCGGTTTGCCCCCTTTAAGGGCGATCAATCATACAATTCCCTTGATAGATCCGGAGAAGACTTACCGTTGGAGGCCTTCTCGTTGCCCAGAGCCCCTGCGTCCGCAATGGGGGGAGAAGCGACAAGCTTACCTAGCGTCAGGCCGCTGGCGTATGACGAGTGCCGGCAACACCGTGCCCATGTTATTCATCCGGAAGCCGGGCACGGATAAACTACGCACCGTATTCGACTTGCGGGAGCGCAACGCTAATACGCGCAAGTTATCATCTCCCCTACCGGACATTGATGGGATCCTTCGCCGGGTCGCGAGGAGACAGTACCGGTCCATCATAGACGGACAAGACGCCTATGAACAGATAAGGATAGTGCCCGAGCACGTCGAGCGCACAACGGTCACTACCCCCGACGGAAACATGGTTAGTACTGTGCTACAGCAGGGGGACTGTAACGCACCCGCTACATACCAAGCCCTTATGAACCACCTATTCGGCGAGTTCATAGGCCGGTGGATGGACGTCTACCTCGACGACATCATAATATACTCTGAAACGTTAGCGGAGCACATGGAGCACGTGAGAACCGTCCTACGGATCTTAGAAAGAGAGAGACTTTACCTCAGCGAGAGTAAGTTGCAGTTCCTATGCAAGGAACTTAAGATCTTGGGCAGGGTCGTGGACGACGACGGGATCCGTATGGACCCCGCCAAGGTAGACAAAATCCTCGCCTGGAAGACACCTACCAACCGCGACGCACTCAGGAGTTTCCTGGGTGCTGTCGGGTTCCTGGCAGATGACATACACCGGGTCAGAGTCCCGATGGGCACGCTTGCCGAGGTTACGGGTGACACGGTGCCATTCCATTGGGACTTCACCCAGCAGAGAGCTTTCGACGAAGTTAAACAATATGTCGTGACTTGTGCGAAACACTCACGGGTTCCACTGGACTACTCCGCCGACGCGGACCCCATATGGCTGATGTCCGACGCAAGTGGTAAAGGCATTGCTTGCGTGATCGCCCAGGGTGTCGAATGGAAAACAGCCCGGGTGGCTGCATTCTACAGCGCCAAACTGAACCCAGCGCAGCAGAACTACCCCGTTCATGAGCAGGAGATGCTGGCTGGTGTTGAGGGGATGCTGCGGCACCGGGACATCCTACAAGGGGCACGGTTCACCTGGTTGACCGACCACAAGGGGTTGATCCACTTACTGCAACAGCGAGACCTGTCCGGACGACAGGCTAGATGGTTGGAAAAGCTGGGGGAGTTCGATTTCACCGTCAGATATCTGCCGGGGATCGAAAACGTCTTACCTGACGCGTTGTCCAGGATGTATTCCTTCGATGCACCAGGTACAGTGCGGGCTCCCAGCGAGTTCACATCCCATGATGAAGGGAGCACGGGAACGACGGGCGGCACGCTGCCCAGCCTGATATCCATGCCAGTACTGGTGGGTATGGAAGCCAGAGCACTGGATCCCCCCAGGCGGAGTTCACGTCTGGCAAGTTCTGGCGCTGACCAGGGGACGATGGTCATCCCCACTGAGGCGGTCAGTAGCGTCCGGCGAGGACGCGATATTATCAGTAGCGAACCTGCCAGTAGCGACCGACGAGGACGCGGTACTACCAGTAGTGACCCTGCCGGTGGCACCCAACAAGGACGCGTTACTATCCCTAGCGACCGACGAGGACGCGTTACTAAGGTTCGGGAAGTGCCTTCACCTGCAGAGACAGGGCGGCCGGAGACGGCAGCCGAGTTCGCGAGGCGAATGGCTCCCCATTTCGTCCTTAGAGGCCCTAAGGAACGAAAGGAAGGGGGGGATGCTGGACAGAAGACCAATCAGCAGTCGCCTCTAGACGTGGGCTGCACCAACGAGCCCGGTGAGGATGCACCAAACATGACGAGGTTCCCGGCGGTTTATCCGGACGAAGATGAGCTGATAGTTGGTATCAGGAATCAGTACGCCAGGGACCCGTTCTTCAGACAGATTTTGGACTCACCAACGGAATACCGGAATTTCCAAGTAGATGAAGGCCTCATCCACCTGCGTCTGAAAGACAAAACATTATTATGCGTACCAGACGTGAAAATACAAGAACGCACCGTCCGGGAGATAGTCATATCCCAAGCTCATTCCTTACTAGCCCACCTAGGCGCCTCGAAGACGTTGACCTACCTACACGACCACGTATGGTGGAAGACAATGGTGAACGACGTCAACGCATATTGTGCGTCGTGCATGACCTGCAAGAGAAGTAAACCGTCCAATCAGAAACCATACGGTCTGCTAAATCCCTTACCTGTCCCCACAAGACCCTGGGAGTCGATAGGAATGGATTTCATCGGTCCGTTACCAATGTCTAAGGATCGCAATGGTGAATATGATGCCATAACGGTGATCATAGAATTGCTCACTGGGATGGTGCATCTCGTGCCCAGTAGAGTCAACTACACGGCCAAGGAGGTGGCAGAACTTGTGTTTGCCGAGGTATACAAACATCATGGCCTACCTCGAGCAATTGTAAGCGATCGCGATGTGCTGTTCACAAGCACGTTCTGGACTCACATGAACAAGTTGCTGGGCATTAACCAGCGAATGTCGAGCGCCTACCACCCTGAGTCCGACGGGTCCACAGAGCGGGTGAATCGGACCATCGGGCAGATGGTCAGAGCCATAATTTCCCCCACCCAAACGGACTGGGTAACGAAACTGCCGGCCATAGAGTTTGCCATCAATACGTCAAGCTCTGAGTCAACAAAAGAGTCACCTTTCATGCTGAACATGGGCCACATGCCCCGGGCCATGGTTTGGAACAATCCGTCCAAGGACGAATATCCCAGTGTGCGTGTCTACCTGCAGAAGATGAAGAGCGCTACCATGAAGGCGCATGACTCAATAATAGAGGCCCGTGTGAAACAAACGCGGAACGCAAACCGAAGACGTCAGCTATGTCCGTTTAAGGAAGGAGATTTGGCCTACGTGTCAACAAAGAACATGTCCTTACCCAAGGGCCTAGCTCGAAAGTTCTCTCCAAAGTACATCGGACCCTACAAGCTGACACGCGACTATGGCAACAACTCATTTATGCTGGAGCTGCCGAACCAACTAAGGCAACGAGGTATTCATCCTGTCTTCCACTCGTCGTTGCTACGCATCCATATCCCTAACGATGATCGATTGTTTCCTGGACGGACTGACTCACAGGTATTCGACTTCGGAGATCTACCCGACCGCGAGTGGACGGTTGACAAGATCCTGTCCCACTCCGGCACGAAGGAAGGGGCGTTGTTTGAGGTAAAGTGGCGAGCGGGCGATGTGACCTGGCTGCCATATGAGCAGATTTCTCACCTAGCTGCTCTGGCCGAGTACCTGGACTTACTAGGTGTTCCTGACATTCGGAACTTAACGGACGGTGAAGGGAGTCCTCCTAACGACGACCCTCGATCATATTTGGGGCACGTTTCGCTAGAGGACCGAGCTGACTTAAATACAGCCTCAGCTCCCTCATATCCCACCAACCGTCCTAGCACCCACATCACCCCTTCACATCTCAACACCAACCAACCCACCTCGGCCTCTCATCTATCCTGGTTTGAGGACGGTGAAATCAGCTTATTCGCCATGTCCCACGCCCCCGACGAATCCCAGCTTCTCTACTTCTCGGCGTACGGCCGGGACGTACTAGTTGGCAACCCCGAAAACGAGGACGATACTCACCTTGTGACGCGCGAGCAGTTCAGGCTCTTCGTCGCCTACTCTCACGCTCTACGCAACAAACCCCCCCACGCTCGACCCCCTAGCCCCCTGGGCTATGAGTTCTTCGCCCACGCTTTCAATAGCGAGGGGTTGCAGTCCACGGCATCGTACCTTGATGAGTCCGGCGCGGTGGTGAGCATCGGGTCTGCCCTAGAGGCCACGGACGTCATCAGCGACGAAGAAGATAGTGAGATCACCGTGTCCACCTCCCGTATGGAGCAGATGGAGAAGATGGTGTGGCACACTGCGATCAGCGCCACCCATCAACGAGAGAAGATAGAGCAGAGACGCGCCGGTCAGAGGAAGGAGCGCAACTTCGGGCGTAAGCAGACGCAGAAGCTCAATAAAAGGGGGCTGGGGAGGGTTCGAAAACAAGCCGACCTGCCCACTACATACCCGGTGACGGGTTCCTCCTCCGTGGCGCCCCCCGAGGAGGCTATGGCCGAGATGGACTGACGTCCTTAGGTCAGAGAAGGCGAGGGAGACGTAGGTCACCCTGGAGGGGGAGATGTAACGGTCACTCAGAGATCGTGCTCGTCACTGACTGCTTCTCACCCTTGTCTAAAACGTATTGGACTCATTTATTCCTATAGCTACAGCTACTCTACTATATGCTCGGCCGACGTACTTACTACCCGGTTCTGTCCCCACTGCCTCTCTTTACCGTTATCACCCGAGCTTCAGTAGTATAAAAGCAGAGTCCATTCGTAGTCGTACAGTAGTGTTTTCTGGACCCAAATATCAGACTTTTATCCTGTTATTTCCCGAGAACGTTCTTCTCTTGTGCCATTGACTTCGAGCTTCGCGAGCTAAATAGTCACTGTCACATCACCCAAGCCAACCCGTGACCCGTAGCACCCGACCCGCACGCTACCCGCAGGTTCCACCCGGGCGGGTACCCGGGCACTCTCTACCCATGTCAGGCCCTACTGATATCTCGGGCTACAATTCATTGGTAATATGGGTACGACTAAAACACGGTGGTCTATTCACGTCAGATACCAAACAATAACATAGACACTAGAGCAGCATTCAAAACATGGACGTGATGTCGAGAACGAGCAAAACCAGCAGCAAGAATAGTAACGACAAAGCTTGAAAGATGCAGAAACTGAAGGACATAGAGATACGCTGTAAAACTGGATGGCTATGAGTGAGATGTTGGTAACAAATGCAGCAGGTAATTAATTTGGAACAGTAAATAGGTAACGGGGTTATTGATGCACGAGAGCGAGTGCGCAACCAGGCGCAATGTCCAAACAAGCGGCACTTATCGAAGCGCGTTCAGCTTTCCTTCATCTCTTCATCGATGGTGCTTCCAAAATAACACTTATGAGCAGGGGTGGAGGAGATACCAGGCGACATATTGGATGAGAAGTGCATCGCAGAATCAGGGCTGAGTAATCCGGAAGTGTTAGGACCGGATACAAAATAATTCATGAGGGGTTGGCAAGGAACAGGTATGATGAGCGCGGGAGGCGCGAGAGTACGCGTGTATTTTGCGGATGGTAATGGTGATGGCGGTGGAAGTGGAGGAAGAGGGGCAGTAGGAGGCGGAGCGAGTGGGACGGTCCGCTTGACTGCACGACGCAGGCTGCACAACATGAATATTAGAAGACATACAATTACAGGCATTGAAGCCACTCACCGCAGTGGAGGGCCTGCATTCAGACTGCCACTCCTTAATCTTCCGAAAAGACTGCTGGATTCTGAAGCGTTCTCTGCGACGCTGCCTGCACGACTCCGGGTGGGAGACATGATGCCAGTGCGCTGAAGCGCGCTGCCCGCATTTCGGGTCGGGGATTTGATAAGAGCCATCGGATTCGCGCCAATATTCATGCTACTGCGACGCCTGCGCATGCGAGAACGGTCAGCATTCGCAGTGGGTATTGCAACAACGTTATTTGAGTTGCCACCGGGTGTGGGCGTCACGCTCAGATCGCGATCGACAGGGTGCATAGGACTGGATGGCATTGGCATGGGCGAGGAGGGTGGTGCAGGAGTTGTTGCTCTTGGATGGTAAGGCGCGAGAAGGCCAGAAGAAAAGAAGGCAGAATAGGTGACCATCGTTAAAATCGAAAAGGTCTGTCTGAATTGAAGATGTTGGTCAAAGAACAAGTTGAACCAAACCGAATTTGAACTTCTTCTCGATAAGGATATTATACAAGGGACGTTGATTTTCATTTCGCTAGAAAGTTCTGCCTTATTGTCACCGGTACCTCTCAGGCTAGCGAAAACTGAGTACTGAAGTGAGATCTGCTGCATCTGCACTGCACAGGAGTAATCGATGCCAACAGCATAATTCACCTGTCCGATATCGCAAGCTTGCACTACTAGCTAGCAGCTAAGTCGTAACGTAACCTACATTTAAATGATATTATGTAAAAACGGAAAGGTTGCCCAACCCTTTTGACACCTTTGCTACACGGCAAAACAAGGCCGACTAGCTCAGTTGGTTAGAGCGTCGTGCTAATACGGTTCATTGATAAAAGTGTTTATGGTACAATTTCACGCTCTTATCGATGGACTTGATACGCGAAGGTCTTGGGTTCGATCCCCACGTTGGCCAATCTTTTTGTAGACTCTTGTTGCCTTCAGCACCGTCTAACTTGGTTCTAGGCGTTCGTGAATACTCTTTTGAACGTCACAGGGACGACAGACCTTTAGTTGAATGTTCGACAGGCTAGTGATGCCCAGTGAGGTTGTGGCCTGCCAGTATAGGGTACAGGCTGTATTACGTCATCTGCCGCATTCTTACTACGCTCTGCGATCCATCAACACGATTGCTCGTGTGTTAACCGAGCCAACATGTTCTTTATCGTGAGTACCTCTCTCCGAGAGATCCATCACCATTCAATCCGTCATAACCAAACTTCAATGCTCAGAAAGAGTTGACGCATACAATTCTCCTCCATCCGTCATATTTTGGCCCTCGGATGCTCCAGTTCCTCGAGTCAAAACTGTACTCAGACGTAGAAGGAACATGTTCAGGCGCATTCGGGTACATTATTGCTGTCGTCTCCATCCTGGATATCGGAAAAGGCATGGTACTGAGCGGAAGTGGCCAGGCCGAATTTATCACCCGCTATCGTGCAATAGTCTTCAAGCCATTCAAAGGAGAAGTGGTCGATGGGGTCGTGAATAACGTTAACAAGGTGCTCCATACCTTGTTATTTTTCCTCGATCCGTACTGAATAGCGCGTAGATGGGCTTCTTTGCTGACGTCGGGCCATTGACAGTTTTCGTGTCTCACCAAGTGAGTTTGAATGCTGCTCCGTCCTGCCTCGCTCAACATCTCGCACCATTCCTAGCTGATACATCCTGACATGAAATTTGATCCGACCTCAAATCCACCATCCTTTGCATCAGAGGACCAGGTATCGTCCATTTATGTATGGTCCCCCTAATGTCCCTACCTTGTCTCGAACAGATCATCGAGAAGAATACTCGTGTACGGCTAAAAATTGTGGGAACGCGCGTCGATGCTACCGAAATTGTGAGTCTTTTAATTTTAGTACGACTACAACTGTTAACACAAGGTAGTTCGCCATCGGAACGATCAAGGAAGATCATCTTGGTGTTATAGACTAGTCAAAAGATCGAATTTGGACGATCACCTTATGTATACCTGCTATCACTGTATTCGCTGTGTTATTTACTGCAAAGTACTAATGTCATCCTCTTAGTCCAATTCATGCGCTTGATTAAGTACCATTGGACGAAGCCATGATAAATAAGAACCAGAATACATAGGAAAGCGATTGGCTACGATCTACAAGGACAAGTATGAGCTATTAATATATAGTCGAGGTAGTCTCGTCTAAGTATGACCTGTGCCCTGCTCATTCCTCATCCTCAAAACGCAAGACCTGCGCATCCTCGTCTACAGGTACATCCCTATATCCACGCCTCGCGCGGTAGCCCATCGATACAGATTCCAGGCTTGACGCTATATATTCGAACGCGATGCCCGCAAGTCCGAGAAGGAACCATGGCACAGATGCCAGCGTAGCCATCGCACCAGACCCTGACCCATGCGAATAGTCGCCTCCGGGTAAACGGATCGTCCTGTGTGTCAACAATAAGCATACAACGCACACGTGAAGTAGATTTCACTTGCCCTCTCGCCATTCCGCTCTTGCTGTACCACCACCATGCGACAAGCGCTGTGATCGCAAAGGGGAATAAAATCACCATCATCCAGAATATCGCGCTGTGGCCATTAATACCAGGGCACAAGTGTTGCGTGCCTCGGTCTATGCGGTCGCCGCCCTCACAACTAGAGTAGTCCACCTTGCGGTACGCCGTGGGTTCATACCAGTAGTCTTCCCCATTGCGACATGAATCATCGGGCGGTCGTGCTGTCATCCCCGGTACAAGAACGCATTGGCCTTCCCCATTGTGGACATAGTTGAATTCGCTGTTTTTTCGTGCCCAGATTTAAATTAGTTCTGAGCAGGTGGTATTATATCCGTGACTCACCACTCAAAGTCCTCCACCGCACATGTACAATTCCGTACAATGTTGTCTAGTGCCTTGGGCGTGTCTCCAACAACACAGTTCACATCCCGTTTGCGGCGATGGTAGAGCGTCTGTATGTGATATAGGTGACAAAGGAAAACATAAGTTTGGGCGACTTACCTGTCGACCGAACAAGCAAAGTGAGTCTCTTTCTTCACTGGGGCTCCATAGCTCAAAGTCATCGTGTCCAGGTTTTTCCGCATCCATGAGGCCTGGAAGAGTGAGTTCAACATCAATCATCGAGTACAAGAGCACCAAACTCACATCTTCGATGCGTGAGAGATGAGAAGTCTAAGTGTACGATCACCGAGCCAGCCGTCGCGGGATAACGACCCAGGAGCATAAACTTCCGGCTCGTATCCTCTGGCACCGTCATGATATCCCTCACTCTGATCTTCTCAGTCGTGAATTTGAATTCTCGCCAAGTGAGACCTTCATCTGTGGTAAACAGGACATGGTCCGTCGGTTCCTCATCATTCACGATCACGATGATAGACCCTGAATCGCCGAACTCCCAGAGATGGGCGTCCTTGTGAACTTCTTCCCATGTGAACCCGCCATCCCGGGACAGGAAGGTATCGCTCTCAGTGTAGGCGGCGAGCGATTCACCCACGTTCCCGACTGCCATCACCACGCCGACGATGGATGGGCTGCTATATGTCGCCCGGGCATCGAAGCGTTCTGTATATCCGTGAACGTGGAGTGCACAGCCCTACATACGACAAAATAAGTCAATTGACAACGATGATCAAAAAAGCACGACATACCACTGATGTACAAGGGTACTTCACACCCAGTGAATCTACTGAAGGGGGTAGAAGGGGCTTCCAAGTGCCACCTGACACAACAAGCAACCGTCAACGAGAGGCAAAAGATACCCATAAAAAGGCATACCGTCATTATGCGTAATCCTCGTCTGCAGAACCTTGTGTCCCGTGAGTGCAGCCTCCGCAGGATTGGCTACTATGTTGATAATCGCAATGCCATCCAACCCCGCGAGCTTCTCAAAGTCGACAAAGCCGCCATTGTTCCTATTCACGTTATCGATGGACAGCCCAAAGTATGTTCCATTGGAGTTGGATTTCAGGATGTTGCCCCATGGCGTTGGAAATTCGTTCATGGTCATGTGTAGGAAGATGGATTTAGTGCTTGACTCGAGGACAGTGTACGCCTAGAAAATATCATTAGCAATTCCAGCGTTTGTATGGCTAGGGCGAACTGCCTACGTGAGAATCTGGATGCATGCCGGGAGGGAAGTTCCCAGAAGCAAACGTACGTCCATCAAGTGAGACCTGGAGATTAAGCGTGCCCCTCATCGGGAGGTACTGCAAGTACACAAGCAATCAATCAACAGTCCACGCACAGAACAACCAAAAAAACTCACCTCAGCCACGATTAAAAACTCTGAAAACTTAGTGAACCCCACAACATGGTCAAAAAGCTTCGTCTTCTTCGCATAATAGTCTGTGCCAGACACAAGTTGCAACGCATTCTCTTTCCCGAAAAACACCTGCGAGCCCTGTTTGTCCGCATATGACTCGCATAGGATCTGAGATGAATCGATCCGCAGATCTTCATCGCGTGCCCAGTCACAGTTGACGACATAGTCCTCCACCAACCGCCAATCCCGCCCATTGTTCCATGTGTACTGGGCCTGCGCGCGACAGGTTTCATACCCTGATTGGCAGTCCACATTACCGATCCAGATGAGATACTCGGACCTAGGCTGGAAGCGGACCACTTGGGCCCCGAACGTGTTGGGAGGAGAAGGCGCTTCGGAAGGGTGCCAGTAGCGGCCAGTGTCTGTTGTATAGTAGAACCTCTTGGAGTCGGTGATAAGGTATGCGCGGTCGTCGGTGTGTGTGTGCATATAGAACACTAGGAAACGCTCCTCTGGGAACTTTTGTTCCCATGTGTAACCCTCGTTACTAGATTGCCATATTGTGAAGTCGGCAAGACGGACAAGGACGGTCTATGGAGGCAGACGTGAGCTGAGGTATTGATATGGTACGATGTACAGGACGCTCACCTTCGAGTCCTTGAAAAACTCGCTCTGTACAATATCACTAGCAAATGGATGCTACAATATTGTAAGTTTCCATACTGAGAAAAAAAGCAAGAACAGAGACACACAGTCTGGTAAACAATCGCTCCTTCGACAGGTTCAGCTGTAAATGACACATGAGACACAAATCTTTCATCACCTCTGAGGCACTCACCTCCGGAACAGTCTTTAGACATGGGCTCGTCCATGCGAGAGCCACCTTCACACTTGTTCCCAGGGATCTTGCGATATCCCGATGAACCCATGTACGTTTCGCCGGGCGTCCCAAGGGTACACTGGGTACTGGGTATGCGCTCTGGGCCCGAAGGCACACATTTACCATCACTCCGCACATAGTTATAGTCACTAGAACGCATGAGCAATTGTGATGGGCAGAGTAACCAGGAACAACGTACCACTCATAATCATGTTCCTCGCATGGGCACTTATCATCATGAACTTCCGGATCATGGAACTTCTCACCCATGTAGCAATCCGCGCCAGCCTTGCGCCTGGTGTACCATTGCTGCGAAGTATATTAGTAAGACCACTCTCATGACAAGGTTTACATCTCAGTAACAAACCTTGGCACCCATGATGCACTCTGATTTGGTATTGGCTCTTGCATACCATGATTCCTTGTCGTTAGGACCACACTGTGGGCGCCCAAGGGCAGCGAAGTCGAGGTAGATGGCAGCGTTACGGCCTTCATTGGACTGTGGGGACTGCCGCACGACCTGGCCAAGGAGGAGGAACTTCTGAGACGTTGAATCCGATACCGTCGTCAGGCCCTTGGCACGGAATCGGATCTCAATATTGTATGTGTTCCTATAGGGCAAGACGTTTCAGTAAGATCGCATATATGCACACGCAGCGAGAGGCAGGGCGGAAAGGCATACCAGGTCTGGCCCATGTCCGTGGAGTACATGATAGAGTTGGTAGGTTCTTCGTCGTCGACGACGACGATGACACTTCCAGAATCGCCAAATTCGTATTGACACGCGCCTTCGCGGACCATAGTCCATGTCAGGCCGGCGTCCTTGCTCATGTAGGTATTGCTCTCATCGTATGGCGCAAGAGCTTTTCCAACGGAACCCACGCCCATGACGAAGCCAGGAGCGGGGGACGAGAAAACGGGGCCATAGTTGTGCATGTCTGTTACTGAGTGCAAGTGCAGCGAACATGATTCGGAGGAGCAGGTACCGCTAGGAGCGGCAAGGGAATTCCATGAGCTACCTGCGAAGACGTAAGATCAGTTTAAAATCAAAGAAGGAACATCGTTCCTCACCGTCATCAAATGTGATGACCGACCGTAATTGCTTGGCTGCCATCTTCCTCTCAACATCTTGCGCATTAGCGACGACGTTGGCAATACCAACACCCTCAACGCCATATATGGTCTCGTAGTCGACATACCCCATCATGTTTCTGTTCGTGTTCATCAAGCTCTCCACAAAGTAGGTGCCGTTGGAGTTGCTGACAAACAGGGTACCGACAGTGGTTATGTCGTGCAAGACTACATCTACTGCTAGAGAGTGAACTGTAGATTCGACAATAGTGTATGCGTTCTCCCGCAAGCGAGCCTGGGAGGCATGTGGGAAATGTGCCTTGGCCCATTCTTTGGTGTCCACAGTAACATATAACAGCATGTCACCCTCGCTGCCAGGTGTCAAGTCCTTGAGCGCAACCACGGCAAACTTGGACACGATTGCGAATGCCACGACACCCTTGGCATTCTTGCCGATGCCAAGGTCTTCGTTCTGCTTGGTGGCAAAAAAGTCTGTGCTGGAGTACAGACGACTGCTTGCGATGTTGTGTGAGCCAGCCGTAGCGGAGGTGTCATAAGCGACGCAGTAGATGAGGTCCTCGTGAGCGTCATGTTTGAAATCCTTACTACTGTGAGCGAATTGGCAACGGGAGACGTCCTCTAGGAGAAGTTGTGGTGATGAAACAAATCCATCTTTGGTGTAGTATGTCTGTAGAGATTTGAATGCAAGTAATATATAAATGTCAATAAGTGCGCACCACGTCTTTACATTGTTCTCCCCAGGGAATTTGGTCACATTTGGTGGCCTGGAAGAGGGTGTACTCCGACTTTTTGGGATCCGAGTGAAATGAGAGCGGTTTTTGGATATAACCCACTAGCTCGGGGACCTCGAACGTGCGCCATGACTTTCCGCGGTCGTCTGTGCGGTAATGCGTGTAGGAGTTTGTTAATACGAATGCCTATAGATAGAATTCGGTCAGATCAAAAGCCACGTCAGTGTATTCGAGGCAGATGAAATATACTAGAAATGAGAGTATGGGCGGTAACGCACCACGCGGTTGTTGAATGGGTGCTCCATAAACATTGCAGCCTCCCCAGGTGGTATGTCATCTGCGCGTTTCCAGGTCTTGCCTTCGTCTTGAGAGACATGTATATCCCCAAAATTAGCATCATGGTATATCACACTCTACAGGATAAAGTGAATTGTTATTAAGTGAACCCTGAGGTAGATATGGATGCCTCACAGTCGTATCGTCGAAAAAGAACAACCGAGTTGGTGGGTTGTTGAAGTAGCTTATGGCATGTTCTGGATCAGCAGCAGACGTGTAACCAAAATAAAGAAGAAAAGCAAGGGTTGACCATATAAAAGCGGCTGTCCTGTGCCAAGGAGCCATGCAGGACGTTGTGGATGAAGAAATGTGTAGTGCACGTTGTATGTTACGTGCACAGCTCAGCAGTTCCCTTGCTCCCGCAGCCCGCGCCAAAGTGACGGCTGTCATTCACAGCCACACACCGGCTGTACCTTTTCGGGCGACTATAGTCTAGACCTCATCTTAGAAGAAGACAATTTGTTCCTCCTAATGAGGCTATAAAATCATTCATTCTTATAGGATGTGTTCTCTTATTGCATACATGACCCTATAGATGAGTTCAAACAGGTATCAAAAGGGAGCCTAACCACGATCTCTTTCCAAATCTTCAGGTCCGAAACTAAACGGAAGTAATTCCTCAAGAGTAGATTCTCGCACTCCATCTTCTTTCTCCAAGTAGGAAGATGCAGCCAATAGGATGGGCATGTCGAGAGGACAAAATTCGCGAATTACTTGACGACAGATCCCACAAGGCGCAATTGGCGAGGCAACGTCGCTAGTAGGTAATTGGTGTAAGATTTGGAGCGAGGATAATAATGACATACGTTGTGACAGCGAGCGCCACAAACTTACGATGGCCTTCACTCTGATATCGAGATATTTAGTTACAGATCAAGCCCTACGAACGCTACCAGATAAGGTGGACGCACTACTGCTTTCACGAATGCAGTGCGCTCTGCACAAATAGTACCACCTGTGTATGGTAGCAGGACTGATGAGTAGCAAGAGCCAAGTAAAGACCGTATTCACCGTATGAGGCGTTCTCGATATTAGAACCTTTGATGATTTCGCCATCCTCAGTGAGAAGAGCTGCTCCCACACGGAATTTGGAGTAAGGCACGTATGCGAATGTCTTTGCTATCAAGATACTTATGAACAGTGCGCTCTTTCAGGTTCTGTTTTTAGGGCGATAGACTCGTACCTTCAACTGCTGCTTGGAGGAGGCGGTCACGGTTTGAAGCTACGATATCTGTCATGAATAATTCGTTGGTTGGTATAATTCAAACCAGGGGATTGACGATCCGATAACTATCGCAGCACGCGAATCCGATCCGAAGTTACGATCAGTCACTCGTCACTCGTCACACACTCTAGTCACTAACCGCCAACTTGAAGCAGGGGTGTATCTTGGGGCCTCACGCCTGCTGGCAAATTGGTGGCATTAATATGGAAGACGTTGGAGGCGTTCCAGAAGCTGATTCATACCGACGGGCACTCAGACTGGGCCATGGTAGTAAGTAACACATTCTAGACTCAGAGCGATGTGCTGGTGGTGTGGTTCTTTTTCTAACTCATCCTGGCGTGTATCCATGCACATCGACTCATTTTCCTATGTGGAAGCCGAGGAATTGACATTTTATGAGAAGATACTTCCTGCGCGGAGATCGTAGGATATGGTTAAGATGAGGTGAATTTGCTGCACGTACCCGCGGATTCCGGAAGCAGGTTTTAATTGGCTTTTTTTACAGTCACTAGTCTCAATCGATATCGGACGCGACAAGGATCACACTTCCGAACATTCAATCATATGATCACTGGTCACGCAAAATACAAGAGGAAGCGCATTCTTTGTGAATTCGAATCCCGGGATCTCTCAACCATCTCGGCCGTCCTGGTTCTCGATCTCAAGTCTTGGTGTTGTCACATAACGCATTGCATCTTATTTATGATTACTACATTCCAGACCTTGAAACGCCATCTACCAGGTTCCCAAATGTCGACCGATCTGCCATGCACAAAGACCACAGTATCCGCGTCATCGTTTCGGACGTTTTTTCTCCATGTGCAAGCATGATTGGAGGGTTCGCGTATCTACAGGAGCAGCCCACATTGTCCGATGCTGATGAGAAAGTCACTTCACGCTGATAGTACAAAACACTATCAACATGAGTACGGCATAATTTACCAGTATCGACCGTTGACATCCGACACCACCCTACATCAGTTGCCAATCGATGACTTTTGCCAATTGCAAAGCCCGTGCCGGACTGTGAGTAGGTGCGAGTCAGAAGGATCTATGTCTATTAACGATATGTGACGCTGTACATGAGGCATGAATATTAAAATATCTACTGAATTAATCCAAGTCGTAAAGGACATCGTTACATCTCTGCCCACAACACCGGCCCCATCACCATGCCCATAGTCCATATCTATAACATGAAAATCAGTCAACATGTGCCAAAATGCGCATTAGATGACCTTACGACGTTCAGTGCTTTAACAAAAAGCATCGGGTATTCGTAAATTGGCGGAGCATATTTACTTCCAGCTCTGGGATGGGTGAACAACACCCAAATGGAGTAAAGCGCTATGGCAAGAGAACTACGTGCCAGCCGTAAGGGAGACTTAGCGATCCTAGGAATTCCGGAACCAGGTAAGCGCGATCGTGACAAGTTATCGATATATTACTGACCCAGCTGCTAATGCCATCGGTTCCTCGGAATATTCGGGACCCTTGCCGAAAAACTTGAATGCTCCATCCTGCATAATGTCAAACGCCTCGCCTACGCACATGGACAATCATGAGCCTTCGGGCATTCGACAGTTAATATCGGCGTACCTTCTGCTGCGAATAGGCCAGCCCAACTCATGCTCATGGTATTGATAGTGGATGCGAGCGGTTTTCTCAAATGGTGCCACTTCCGGAGGACGGCCGAGACCTCATTCCAGTTTCCAAAGCTCTCGATGTCGGCCAGAAGATCAGAAAGGATGACTGCGTCATTCAAGGCGACCGTCATTCCACCCGCAGTTAGCGGGTGGCGCATGTTTAATGAATCTCCCATTAGAAGAGCGCCTGCCTTGCTAGATTCTCCTTGCTTCATCGAAGGAAGGTAATAATGTGGGGCTCGTCGCAAACGCGACGTTTCCAAAGCATTGAGAATGGGCGCGCGTAACGATGCCGGAAGCTGAGGTACAACGTCGCGCAATATATGCTCCTGCAATATTGATAGTGAGAGGAGGTTTCACGATCACACAAGACGGAATTACAGACCTTGAGATCTGGCGGTGGCTCCTTGAACTCAACCAGCATCCGGCACTCATTGTTGGGGAGTTCATAAAGAACGACCGGTCCAGCGCGTTTCAGGACAATCATAGTGGCACACTTGGCCACTGGCAGCGTCAAGTCTTTGACGATCAGACCTGCCAAGTAACCCATTTGCGAAGGCTCATACGGCATGTGCCCGAGAACGGCAGTTCTGAACTTGGACAAGCCGCCGTCCGCGACAACGACGAGGTCAGCGAAATATGCCTCTGGCTGACCACCCGTTTTGCAGGCGCTGACACCTATTATGCGATTGGTATCCTCGTTCTCGAGCAGAGCGGTTACTGTGGTCTCGATGAACTCGACATTGGGCGCCCGCCGTGCGCGGTCCCGCAAGGCCATGACAAATGCGCCATGTTCAAAAGCTCGCGCTTCATGGCCTTCAGGGAATGGAGCGTAAATGCCATTATCAGCCCCTCGCATAACGTAAAAACCTGACAGGGGAGAAGAGTCAAAGGCCCCAAGGCATGACTCCAGACCAAGCTGCTTGAGTGACATAACGCCGCCAGGCTGGAGCAGTTCGGCGACCATGCGGTCTGGCTTCGCCATAGACCGCTCGAGTACTGCTATACGAAGAGGAGTACTACGCTTGCCATACGTCTTCGTGGCAAGAGCATGGGCAAGGGCCGGCCCTGCGATACCGGCACCAATGATGAGCACGTCGTATGATGAAGAGGGCATGGCGGGTTGAACAATCGGGACGGGCTACGCTCACCTGGTATTTATCTGAAAACAAGTCTAGCGCAAATCGTTTCGCTTCGGCTACATGAGATGGTCCAAACATATTCGCACCGGATAATTGGCAAATCTTACCCTGAAGATCGTTCGACACGAGTTGGAGAGTCTAGTGCAAGCCGAATACTGTCTCAATCGGTTGCAGTGTATTCGTGATAGATTTTGTGACGTACCGTTTCCATTTGTAACACGTTCTTAGAAATACGAGATCCGATCACTAAAGCCGTAATTCACTTCCGAGTTGGTCCACTACTAGTAGTAAGTCATTCTCTTATCAGCGGCACATACTCGGTGCTAACTCGTTTCAGAGAACATAGGATAGTAAGCTCGTGCACACTATGCTCTTTCTGGTACCGGTGCGCCAAAATGCATGATACGATCAGGCTGAAATTATTCGGAGATTGTGAACTACTAGACCAAATTTTTGACTGCATCCCTGATAGTGAATGGAGTGCTCCGAGCCTCCGACTAGTCTGAATCGGTGATGCCGACGCAAATTGGGTGTGAACTTGAAAGGTATGATTGTATCGCCGTCTTTACGTGTGATCGACTTACTAGTCGCGTCAACATTTGATTTCAACGTCCAAGCCCGATTTACACGGCTCCAGCGCCAGTACACAGGCATATCGAGGATATCATATCAGGCTGGTTCCTGTGGATGTTCGGTTTTGCCACATCTTCAAAGCGCATTTCTTGATCTCTGCCATCACTTTCTTTCATTATACTCAGGGCGGTGGCGCTGCGAGCCCTGTAGTTTATGGCACGATAATGCCGGCAGGGTCACCTAGTACCTCACGGGTAACATCGTGACCGAGAGTTGGAATCTTCAAGGGTACAGGTATACACGGTGGTTTGTGGAAAATAGCAGATACATTAGCAAGACGAACGCGTTGACAATAATCAGATAAATAGACTACTTTTACTTTTCGTCCTCCCAGCTTCGACTTCTGTTTGACTCCCTATAAGAAGGTTACTTCTGCTTCTGCACCAGGCTCTGAGACGGACATGAATTGTTGGTGTGAGTCGAGCCACCGGCCCTACAAGAAGACACGTTCAACCGCAGTTGAACGAGATAATAAGTACTGACTGATTAGAATAAGATTCGAGGGTAACATACCTGGGACAGACAGATATTAGACTAGCCGCATCCGATGAAACGTTGGATAAGTACTTAAGTTGTTTTGCCGCAGTGGTGTCCGAGTCACCGAGTCATGGGGTCTGAAGCAGCTGGGGGGAAGGAACACGAACGAACGGGAGGAGATTCTCTAGTCGAAGTGGCCAGACTGTCCCCTTACGAAATTTCGTCACCTTGCTCAGGGTCCCGCTGATCATCCCATCCGGTTAGTATAGGCTGTAACCTGTTAGCATTCCGAGATAGATTGGCGCCCAGAAACCGGCGTGTTGCCACTCAACTGACGTTATATTTAGTAAAGGCTGGACCTCGCAAACTGTGTCGGAGAAAGGTACGGCACTTTTTCTCGTGTTCATTGTCCTACTCGCGGCCTTTGCACAAAGCACTTTTTTCAAACCTAGTGCCCTTGACAGTCCAATGCTGCTCTCGCTCTCAAGTTCGGTACAGGAGAGGAAAATGAGGGTACAGCTCGGAAGATGTAGAAGCCAGTATAGGGAAGCGCTGCCGATGGAGCGACTGCAATCGAGGTCCGTCTGTCGGTGCTGAGCGCTGAGCACTGATGTTCGTAGGCTGTAAGAAGGTACGCACGAGGCTGGTGAACATACCGAGCGGTGGTTGGAGTCTTGATAGGCTGTTCAGGCCCAGGGACCGCCGATCTATGTACTTCGGAACGGTAACATACACCCTATTCGCTTGGCTATAACTTGGCTATCTGATAAGTAGCGTGTTCTAAATTAAACTTGCCCTCTAATTATACTTTCGAAGTGCTTCGACTCCTCCTAAATATTAACCGCAAACTGTCAAGACAGATGCTGCTGTGCTGTGGGGTTAGATATCAGATAACGGAAATAGGTATACCCGATAGTAGCCGATACACTCTGTTTTGGGGTGTTAGCTTGCGCATCCGTCCATGCAGCGCTCACCGTCACTCAACATACCCTTCACCGCCTACTGACTCATTCTTTTCCCCTCTCCTCCCGTACCTCTACTGTCTTCCTCTACCTCCTCACTATTCTTCCTTTTCGATGTCTTGCTCGTCATTTCTCTGTCCTCCCTTTTTGAATATCATCGGGACTTCACAATCGCCATGATTCCTTTTTCGTGCCCATGATTTCGCTGGATATGAGGCGTCGGGATACTTCTCGGAATGCGTTGAGGCGTGAATAGATAGCAATTGCATAATATATCTTCTCGCATCTGGCGCGGTTCTCTGCACGGTAACAAACATTGACAAGGACAAGAGTGTGACGGTACTAATAACAAGGCCTCGAATACCTCCGAGTCGTCAGCCGCAAATTTGCCTCTGACCTGCCCGAGTAGTAGGAACAGCGGCGTTGATGATGAATAGGACAACGTCAACGTGAACCGCAACGACGATTTGTCTACACAGTAGTCGCCACCTAAAGCTTGAACCTCAATATACAACTGAGTCCGGTTGTTCATTACCCATCTCTTTACGTTCCTGAATACCTGCCATCCACGCTCATCTAATTCCCAAGTCAAGTGCATCAGTGCATGCGCCCTCTACTACATCAAACTCCACTCGTGCGTCACACCTACGACTCCTTATTATCCGTGCCAAGCCTTGATCGATCTGATCCCCAGATTAGCAGCGTTCCCAAATTAAATAAAATCCGCACAATCCATCTAAGGCTTAATGTCGACGGTCCCTAGGGATCTCTGAACGCCGTCGCGGTATAATGGCCGTCTAGAATGATGAGGTCAGCAAAATGTCACTCTGGTTCAAGACTGACCACCTGCTTGCAAGGCACGAACATCGCCTTATCACGCACCGTGTGCTTCATTAATCAACCTTGTTATGGGGCTCCATCAATCACGACGGCGTCGGGTGCCCTGTAGTCACAAGGCCATGGCAAATGATTTGTGACCGAAAGCTCCATCCTAGTCAAGGTAATCATGTTGATGATATCATGATACCGTGACAACACTGAATTCATCAGCGAGAAAAGATCGAGGGTGCCTGACGTTCAGTGTTGGTATAAGTAATCTACCACGAAGTAGTAGGTACTTTTGAGTTGCCTACTACTTGGTAGTAGGTTACGGACGAGACCGAACGAACCTAAGAGTTGCTGTGGTGTGACGCCCTCGCCGATCACTTCATCATGATGTGAGTCAGTATCAGTGATAAAGTCCGAGGGCGTTGATACCGAACCATGCCGTTCCGAAGTAGAACGTTCTGGTGCTCCCTCACGCCATTGTCTTGGGCTTCTCTGGAGCCAAACGCGGAGTAGGTTTCAACTCCACCTTTTCTGGACCTGTTCCATTAAAATTCTGGCACATCAAGCATTCATATCGCATTCTACAGCCCTCTACGCCCAGATGCCAGTGATGACTTCCTGTAGGCAACATACTGCGGACTATCATTATGAAGCGCTGCAAATCAAGAGAAAGGGAAGTAAACGACGAAGAATCTGAACTCAAATACCAGGTTCTCATACTCCATAGACACTAGACTGACGGGCCGCCATTCATGTCGGTAAGTTCCGCTCGGACGTTAAGTGCTATATACTTGCTAGTCACTGGCCGCCGCATCACTGATCGGACATAAGCTCAGAGATTCGGCTCATCACACAGCATCCAAACCTGTGCGTGTAGAAACAAGATGACTGATGCCTATACCTCGGAGGGATCTGCGAAGTGCAGGAGCGATAACATTGGATGGCGCTAGAACGACGAAGATAAAATGATGTGACACAGCGGATATTGCTGGTGTAAGTAGTCTTCGTATGAAATGGTCTGGGGCTTGTAAATTTCAAATGGTAACGAAACGGCGGCCCCTATCGCAGTTAGTGTACATGTAGCACAGATGAAGTTGCATATCATGCGGTGTTAGACCAGAGAGATCAACGTTCTCATTTTTAATATTGAAGCTTGAAGTTGCATGTGCATGCGGTGTTAGACCAGAGAGATGAACGTCCTCGTTTTTAATACTAAACAGCCTAGGGGAATCCCAGTATTGCATAGATAATAAGTTGTGCGGAAGAAATGAAAATATGTTGGCCTCGGACCTCGGGACTATCAGAATTCTTAGAATTGACCTCTATGAATATTCGAGGCAAACATACTAGGGTCTGATTGGGCTTAAATTAGAGCCGTACGTGCGCTGAATCCTAGCCTAGGGATTGCAGCTGAAATTAGGAAAAACTTCAACAGAAACGACAAACTCAATTCTAATGTTGCAGGGCTGGTTAGTGTGGGGTCCGAAAAGTCTCGGCAAAGTTGGAAAAGTATTTTGTTTAAGTTTGCTTCAGAATGGGGCGACCAAATTTTGCGACCGCATGGTACGTACTACGCCTGGCCAGAGTCGTGTTACAACACGTTAACGTTATCTTTATCTGATTAGGATGCTACGTTTCGCGCTGAATATTCTTCCTTGTGTTATTTTCGCCGCTTGGTAATACCCGGGTCCATGTTATCGCGGTGCCGAGGCGCACATTCAATTACGTAACCATTGAGTTGATGGCATCACGTGAACAGACCTCACCAGTGCGAAGAGACCGTACCCAACACCGTGACCATGTCGGACTACATAGGCCCTCGAGCAAGCAGAACTTGAACCTGTTGAACAACCAGAAATGCATCAAACCTCCTTGAACAAGCCCCATGATGGCATCACATGTACTTATGTTTTGCCTACCAATGGCGACCGGTTCCCGGTTCCAACCGACAATAAACACTTGTCGGCAAAAAAAATCGTACGTTTGCACCAGCAGCTAGCGCTCAAACTCGGTGCGAGTTCAGCGTTCAACGTCCGACATTTATTAAATATTGCTTTCTCCTCTGAGTCATGTTTGGCGCGTGCCGCCACTGACCGGAACGGTGACTCTCGGAGTCGGGAGGTCTGGACAGGCCGAATTAAACCTTCTAGGTCACTGCATTCTGAGTTCATCATGATGACACAGTAGACATGGAGCTGCGAACGGGCCACGTACGATCGAATACTAGTACGTCAGTTTATGTTGTCTACTGATCGATCCACCTGGATCACACTCACTCGCATTCTTCGTCTTGCAAACTTATCACCATGCCCTTCACGGCAAGAGCATTGTTCGACCTCACTGGTTACTAGGCTTCCCCTCGCGGTACTAGTAAGATGATATAATTCATGTGATGTAGCTTAGGGTTGCTTGGGCTGTCGGCAGCCTACCGTGTGGCGTTGCGTACGAGCGACGTTGCGAAACACACCTTGTTCTATGCATTGCTAGGCCTACTGGTACACAGCGCAGGCTGTGTCACATCTATATATCGTAAGGACGGAGCATTTGATCCTGCGGAACCGATTCGCGTCGACACCATGTGCATGCTCCAGAATAAGCACGCGTTCACTTGTGAAAGGTGAGCTTGAACAAATCCGGGTCAGTGCCCATAAGACTTTGCATTTATGATGACTCCTGCCAGATTGGCTGTTGAACATCTTGGACCTTCATCCGCTAATATAACCCGGAGGACGGCGGCATGGATGATGTAAGGTGAAGAGAAAGAGCCCTGTCGTTTCTAACCTCGCCCGAGTAAATGTGCAAGGGTATATTGTAAGCAGACTATCCATCAACTACTATGTACTACCTATTTTACACGAGTCAAATGAAAATCCCGGAACGCATAGGATTTGTCGATAGTTCGAGTGAAGGAAAAAGTGCAACGTATTCCGCCCTCTGTCCATTCGTTATCACCACTCCACCACTAAAGAGCAGGCTCTCCAGGCGACACTGCGACCGTGTCAAAAACGCCTTGAAATCTTCGTGAGGCCATTGGCCTGTATTACGAGCCTCGAACGCACGTAGATTGGGGAGTGTGATGGCTTTGAATTTATCGATCGAGTCCACATGCAAATTTCCAGATATGCGAAAGGTTTGAAGTTTGGGATGGATGAATGCTTTCGAGGTCTGGATTGCCGTGAATTTTCCAACTATCGTCAAGGACGAGAGATTGGGACACCGACGGAGCAACTGCGCAAAGGGATTTGGGCCGTCTAGGATGAGCTCGAGATTTGTGAGACCGGCCCATGAGAGAGGTTTGAAGGAAGATAACACGTGGACGGTAAGCGCCACGTTCTTTAGCTTGAGACTGCGCACGTTGGGCGGCAATTGTCCGATAGATTCTGAAACAGCGAGCACGGGATAAAAACCGTGTATAACGAACTCATTTAGTCCGCCGAAGTCTGCGGCCGCCAGTGGACAGCAGATACCGGAGAATATCCTAACAGTCAGCGACGATACTTGATTGACATATGGCCGGAGCAGGCTCTGTAACTCCGTCAAGTTATCGTCGTAGCACTCGAGTGTCAACGACAGCTGACGTCCTCGTGATCGCTTGAGGCAGGAGTCATAGCACAAAGCTCTCTTCTGCCAGTCACCGTACCCGGCGTTGAATTGTAGCCTGCGCCATAGATCCGGTATGTCCAGAGCAACCTCCCGCCATCGTCGACATACTGCGGTCAACAGCATGGGAGCCCGACGTGGCACAGGCTTCCAGTTTCCTTCTGGGATGCAGCACAGGAAAATTTGTGCGAGGATTTCCGTGGGCAAGCGCGATGAATAATTCTTGGACCGCACAATCGTGAACTGCATTTCGTTACGTTGCCGGCGACGATAGTTGACACCGTTTTGGCTCGAGACCTCTTGCCCGACTACATCCGACAGCGATTGCTGAAGTGAATGATTATTAGTATATTCGGATGCCAACACCCCGAAAACCGAGCACTTACAATACTCTGCAGGGTACTAATAATACCTGAGATGGCTGATAAATTGGCGTTTGTTTGCATATTGACGCGAATGAGATTGAGATTGAGATCAGAAGTGGGGTGATTTTGAGGTTTCGTCAACCGTCGCATCCTATTTAAATTGCAACATTTCGCAAACCACATGTCCACGACGTCCACACCAAATTGCCATTGTAGTGGCTCATAGCAGGTCTTAGGTAAGATATCAACCATCCATGTTGCAAAGGGAGTCAATGGGAACGTTTGTGGAATCTGTGGGAGGGTGACCTCGCTCACCGGTAGCCTTCGACACATTTGGTCGGCATTATTTGGGCCATCCGAAACTTTTTCTTTTCATGTGAACGACAACTGAGGCCTGAGGGTTATAGAATTTATCGAGTTGTGCGCCCCCATTTGTAACTTTGAGTTTTTTGGTTGCCATCTGCAAAAATTGTTACGGACACTGCTTACGAACGTTTACGACTTTAGCTACATTTGGTTCTAGCCTCGTCTAGCTCGGGTCGATGTCATGAGATCTCATCGGGCTGGACCGAGCGTCAGCTCGGGGTGGGACGCAGGCAGATGGATCCGCTGGACAGTGGAGGGTAGTAGGACAACTGCTTACGGATCCGATCATGCCTAATGACTCGATAGCTAGTTTCACGCGATGAACAGGAGCAAACAATGGGATGATAATTAAAAGATCGGTAGTACGAAACAATGGAAAAAAAAGGAAACTACGGAGTATTGACAAACAGAATCTTTGTGAAACTAAAGGGAGTGGCGGGTGGGTGAAAGAACAGATGTCTGTTCGATTGGGAGCAGTACTAGCAGGTGCGACGAACTCGACGTCGCGTATAGAAGAAAACGGGTGAGGAGAAAGAATGGCGCCACTGCTCAGCTGAATGGTGCCGGGATATTCCGGCAGGCTGGTACTTGAACATGGATTTTGCATCAGTGAGGAAAGTAGAAGACGATAGCATCATGGTTTCTTACGCCGCCCCTGTTGGCGGCCTGCCGTGTGGCGTTGCGTATGAGCGACGATGCGAACAACACCTTGTTCTATGCATTGCTAGGCCTAGTACGGGTGCACAGCGCAGGCTGTGTCATAAATTTAATGACTTTGATCGCAAAGTTGGTACATCTCACTGGGTTTATCATGACCATCACCTGTCTCTTGACGCTGTTCTACATGGAATAGAACATTCGAAGGGCCGACCAACCAGGCAATCCTTCTGACAGTTCTCGCTGCCGCCATCTTTGACATGTTTACGACCGCTGGTACAACGGCGTGAATGACTTGTTCTTAATAAATCCCAACATCTCTCTGAATGTTTTAGCGCCATGCTGGTGTTGTTGGTCTCCCTGCTTGAAGCAGGGCCTAATCCCGCTGATGAAACGATGGATATATTGGCCTTCTCTGTTCCTCCGAGTTGGTACGGTCAAAAAAATTTAAAATTAACACATCAACTTACTTGGTTCCAACGTTTTCCTCCTCAGGCTGACTTGGCCATCCCATTCACTTAGGTTGTAACGACGGGTCGGTTCAATTGGGGCACGATACTGAACATCGCAATTGTGTCTTGTTGGTAAGCGACGGGGTGTGTTTTGAATTGTTGACAATGCCCCCGTAGTTCATGCACGTGCCACGTCAGGTGACTCGACGGAAGGTTTTGCGGCATCTTCAAGCTTGTCATGTTAAAAATGACGAGGAGCAGGCCAGAGTCAGGTTCACGGCAATCCGTCTTGGCCAAGGCACTCGTCCTGCATTGTGTCTATTTGATATAGCCTTCGTTGCATGCCTTTGTATACTGGGTACTCGAACAGCAAGCATCCCCATTCTACTGTTACGCCGTTCCCGTCGTGTCTTTGGCACGTTGGAGACGCCAGCCTCCCACTACAACGTGTGGTCATTTGACCATAATGATACCACACATAGCTAGAAGAAATCACAGATATCCACGTGCGTTAATTTGAATGTTCGTTTGTATTCTAGGCCGGCCGTTATGGCGCGGCTATGGTCTGCACTGGATTGGTCGTGGACCACTACTTCAAACTTGCATCACTCAACGTTTGAGGAATGAGCATGCACTTCTATCTCACTAGATGATCTCGGGGCTTTATCTGTTCGTTCTTTGTTTTCCTATGTTTCGAATTCTTTCTGAATAGATAACGCCCTATAGCCACTTATGCGGAAATCGTTACATCAATTTCATGTCTCCACAATGTAAGCACGGACATCCGGCGGCTCGGTGGCATGAGTAAATAACGGTTGATATTTGGGGTGAAAACCAGAATTGACAGATATCAGTAATCAAGCTTAAAGCCCCACAAATTTGAAGTCTGCATTCTGCTGGCACGTCTAACATATATAAGCACGGAGCGTTTGATCCCGCGGAACTAAATCGCGTCTACCCCACGTGCGTGCTCCACCTGAGCGCCACCTGCACTCCGATTGCTCCTGCGCTCCCGACTACGTGCTCTTTTCGCGGCGTAGCCTCGCTGCTTTTATCCTGAAGACGCCTCACCTACTGGATCCCACGACTACAAGGCAGGCACATCATATGACAAAAGTCAATATCCCATATAGTGCTTCTGATACAACGAGAGGTAAGTTACGAGTCTCAAAAATGAGATCTAGAAGCGCTCCGGCGACATCGCCTATAAACATATGTCGCTCCTCGACTTTCCTGTTCTGTACACTGCTTTCCTTCGTTGGTACAGTAGAGATATCCAGGACATTGGTTGAAACATTGTCAATGTCAAGACCTATAGCAAATGATTCGAATAATACTACGACGAAACTATTGTGTCTCCTTGACATGTATTTTGTGACACTAAATAACTACTTGAGCACCGCAACGAGGCTTGGAATAGAAACAAAAAAACAAATTTCCCGTGCTCCCTGCAAGCACTAGACGACGGTTCGCATCAACTTCATCGAGCATTACACACCACTGCCAGTCGATATATGCACACGCTCTTGGAAAGCAATTGAGGTCATGCGGGTTGCTGCGTCGGAGTCAGCCACGAGTTCAGCATTATATTCTCGAATGCCAAGAATCAGCCGTGGTCCTAGCACAAACATCTGCACGGCCTGCAAAATCTGAAACAAGCCAGACAAAGTCTGTTCTTCTAGGAGATAATGGCTCTATAGAGATGATAGATCGTGGTCACATGTAGAGGTAAGTGAAAGATTGACATACCGTTGGAGAGAATTCAACGACGTACTCGAAGCAAGAGACAGCAACAAAGCTATCATGTCCGACCCTTCAGTGAAAAAAGGACAATAATCACAATATGAACTTACCTCGCAAAGTAAAACACGTGAGTTTTCATCAACACCGTAAAACAGTCCCCGATAATCCCTCCTGTCGAATGCTGCCGCAGTTCACGAAAGTGTTTTACCGCAATCCAGACTGCGAGACATAGTGTGAGGACCTCCCACACATTGTAGAGTATCCAAGCAGCAAAATAAAGAACTAGGGTATCTCCTGTATAGCCAATCCTGCACTGGTAGGTGCCGGAGAGAATGAGTTCCTCTGGTGTCCATGAATGAGCCCTATGCACGTTCGTTTTCATCTATAAGTAAGCGTACCTCCTGAACTATGCATCGTTGACACTAAGACTGTCACTCCATCAAAAGTGTTGATCGACAGGAAGGTGACAACGAGAAGTATCAGGATCTTTCTGTCTCGTTGATACATGGCATGCAACCGAGTGGTGATGATGACTTGCGGCATGTTTCAGTCATTCCGATATCACTGAGGTCTCGCAAGTGCAAAGCTCACCCCACAGCATCGCAAATACCACAAGACCCGTCCATTCCCATATAGCGTACATCATCCAGCCTGACAAATCCGATCAGTGACCACTCTCAGGTAGCACATACTCCAAACAGACTCACATCTTTGGTAGTATAACGTGGTAGCCATTAGTGGACTGAGAAGTCAGCAAAAGAACCACACCCACTGCTACAGAACACCACGGTTAATTTGAGGGGAATGACAGGCATTTATACAGAAGACTCACTGTATCCGTCAGCGAGATGGTCGGAAGACTGACTGAATGTCGGTCAGAAGAAGAGAAGACAGTGAATGTACTAAGGAGACATACCAACCATGGACAGGCTGATCATAAGAGATAGATGATTAGCACAACACCGAATGTTTAGCCTTCAGAACATACGCAGCAGATAGGATTCCAAGGTAGCGTACCTAGGATACTTTCAAGTCAGCACGCAATGGCAACTACCACAAACAAGATACATACACTGAGATACAGCACTGTCATTAGGGACCAGCGTTGTCTCTGTAAATAAGTGTATGTTCATGTGTGTTCCCTCTGCCATGAGACTCTACTCACCCAAACGAGTTCGACCTATAAAAGGATTCTTAGCGAGATGGCTGCTCCGGTCATGGCATCGACATACCTCTTGTCCGAATGTGAGTGCTGAAAATACTTGTAAGATATCAGTAATCCTTTAATCTTATCGTGCTCACCCCAATCATACATCACCCCAACAAAAGCGGCAACTGCAATATCGGAGCCAAGGTTAGATTGAGACATCCGAGTCAGCGCTCAGCTTCAACATCCGACTGCTCTCCACGAATCTCCAAAATAGCTGGAAAAACGATATGCATGGATGGACGGCCACCAAGTGGGGTCATTTGATACTATGGTCATATTGTTAGAGAATGGGTGTGGGTGAGAGGTGAACTTGGTAAACGCATAGCGGTGACATTCACGCTATATGTACGTATACCACTGCCATCCGTGCTCATTGGTAACCGAAGATCAAGGTAAATATTTGTGCACTCCACTGCATATGCCATAGATCAAGTTTGCGGTTCTTGTAGTCCTTATATAGAAAATTGATGAACTTCGTTCCCTGGAAGCTCTGCTAGTGTGCCTAGAGTGTTACACAACTCTTCGCAAGCCGCAGACGAGTACGAGATTCGGAGGTACAATAACTTGACAACGCGAAGAAAGGAACGGTACAAGCTTGAACTCAGTAGTTGTTCTGAGGTATTGACGTGGACGCGACGATCATGTAGATAGATTCCATCTTTGGCAGAAGCAGTGTTGGCACCAAATGTGAACACATCTTGTAACACGAATATCACTGAGTACTGATTAATGATTTCTGGCCATGCTGTGGCGATGAATCAGTACTTGATTGATCTGATCAGTCACATCACCTCTTGTGAAGTATAGCGCTGGTGATGCTATGTCTTGGTAAACCAGGTAAAGTCCCACTTTTGGTCCTTCGGAGGTATTCATTAGTGACGCGATCACGTGCATGTGGTCGGTCATATGACCACAATGAGCTGGAAGAAAATACCAGAAAATTCCCGCTACCTTTAGGGAGTGGGTCTTATAGTTCGCTATTTTTCACGTTTTGGCGGTAGATTTCACGATCTTGCCGCCCCTCTTTCTCGCCTTAGATGGTAATGAGGCTGTGTTGATCGATCGTTCTACACCGCCTTTAGCTCTCGCCTGCTCGATCACCGCATCGCTGTCGAGTGTTGAGCTCTCATGCTCAGGCTTACACCCCTCTTGCGCTCTCACCATCATGACCTCGTTCATCGGCCGTCTCCCTGTCTCTGTCGTCTTCGATACTGATTCGAGTCGTTGTTTTGTATCTATTCCAGTTGCTCATGACCTCAGTCATTCAGCGTCAGCACATGGTTCTCGTTTCTCTGACATTCTCACAGCTTCCTATGATGGCCGTGCGCTCACGACTGACATTGAGTTTGAGGTCGCGCGCAGTCTTGATTGTGATGTTTTTTTTTTGATTGGGATGAATTGGATTGCTGCGTGGCACGCTGTTGGTCGGGAAGACGAGCATCCTGCGCACAATCCTTATTCTCGCGGCGCATCTGGATTGCAAGGTGATAGTACATCGTGGTTGAATCTTTTGGTTTTTTCTGATATTGTTTTGTGTTTCTAGCAACTTCGTGTATACTTGGTGGTGATGCAAGCCATTTGCCAGAATCTGCTGTCAGTGGCCCCGTGGATTTATCTCAGTCTTCGTCCCTAGCAGGGGCAGTTTTATCGTCTTGCAGACGTTCAAAGTCTATCGTGCATGATATATTTTTTGCATCGTGTCGTTCGGGGGTCCGTTTGGGTCCCTTGTCGTCTGAAGTTGTGTTGCTTGAGCAGGCATGTGCTCTGCACGGTTTAGACTTCAAGGGTTCATATTCCTTGCTCGAGTTGCGAAAATCGTTGTTGCAACATCTACTCCACGGGGAATGCGTCATTTCGGACACACGCTCCAAGCATCGTGATTACACTGCATGTCGTGAGGTCGCGGCAGGGTTTGGCACGCCTTCGAATTTAGTCGAGTTCATACTGGACGAGTTGATGTCAGCGGATGCTTCTGTTATATCAGGCGGCGACCTTTGGTTTATTGCGCAGAGTATTTGTAACGATTTAGAGTGCACTCACGCTCAAGAATTACATCCTAGGCAAGAAGCTATCAGCATTCTGAAAATCTTTCGTAGCCGCAGCGCATATGAGCGCGTGTCTCAAACATTCCAGTCGTTGTTTTCCAAGACAGAGCATATGTTCAAGCCTTCTTTGGAAGCTATAGCGTCTTGGCACGGTTTGTGTTTTGTGGGTACGAAGGATCAGTTGTTGGATAGGATTATCGACCATGTATCGAGGGGTAAATGTACACTCTATGCGGCCGATTCTCGTGTCGCTTGTGCTCATATCAGCGATGAGTTGTGCACCGAGGATGTTGATGGCGATGATATCAGGACTCATAGTTCAATAGACAGTTTGCATAGTTCTCCTGACACGAGCCAAGAGGTTGTCAATCTTCAAATTCGTGTTTTAAGTTCGTTGCGCAAAACTATCGCGTGTAAGCCTTTGATTCGCTTATTGCGATTGGATTTGATGAAGGAGAAAGTCTTTCGCGCTTGCGCAAACGCCTTAAAACGTATATAGACGTTCTTGTCAAGGGTAAGCGATCTCAGAATGAAGGCGTTGCAATGGAGAAGGAGCGGGCTCAAATGATGCGTCGGATTGGCCTCGCATTGTGTCAGCGGAAAGAAAAGCACGCGTGATAGAGATCTTTCGTGAACAAACCTCTTCAGAGGCGCTGGCTACTTTTGTTTGCTTTGCATGTGCCGCTGAAAGCAATCGCAAGGACAGGCAAGAGCTATCTTTTGCTGATTTTGATATAACTCTGTTGAAACGTTCGAAACGGGTAGCGGGTGTTGCCACTTTAGCTGGCGCTATAGCTTATACCAGTGTACGGCCAACCAACATATCCACGTGCGCTAATTTGAATGTTCGGTTGTATTCTAGGCACTGTGGCAGGCCGTCATGCAATGGCGCGGCTATGGTCTGCACTGGATTGGTGGTGTCGGAGCATGCACTTCTATCTCACTTGATGACCTCGGGGCTTTATCTGTTCGTTATGTTTCGAATTCTCCTCGAATAGATAACAAACATTAGCCCGATAGCCACCTATAGCGCACCAGGGATCGTTACATCAATTTCATGTCTCCACAATGTAAGCACGGACATCCGGCGGCTCGGTGGTGAACTGTAATGAGGTTGATATTTGGGGGGAAACCCAGAATCGACAGATAAAGCCCCACAAATTTGAAGTCTGCATTCTGCTGGCAAGGAACTGTGCTATTCATAGGCACAGACGATGAGAACTGGCATGCAAAAGCAAGCAGCGTGCCCTCTCCAGGCATATCGTTCGAGATCTCATCACCTCACACGAATCATGCGTCTCTCCTTCGTCTGGATCCTCGGCACCGTCTGCATTGCTGTCTCGTCTATGCCTGTCACTGAAGATGACCTTGCATGCCCCATGGTTTGCGACTCATTCATAGACTGCTGCATTGGACGTGAGTGCCTGTCGATATACATCCCTAGCAGTGTAAGCATGAGTAGGTTTCTTTGTAGAATTGCCTTACTGACCTGCTTCGTAGGAACAAGTCATAAATGTGTGTCGATTAGTGAAGTACGAAGAGTTTGCTCTGCAGAAGATTTAACCATGTTGACTGTCCTGATAGCGTCGTTTTGGGACCGCCTACACAGGATGAGGCAAGCCTGAGCAAAGCCTGAGCGGCACGTCGTAACCGTACTAGTACCAGCAGTGTATGATGGGTACTGTTCTGTGTTTCAAAGAGGATAACCCTGAATCATTAAATCACAAATTAGCACAAAGGGAATATTTTCAGTTAGGCGTTTTCATTTGAAGGACAAGAAATGAGTGATTGATGAATTTCGATGGCGGTTATAACGATGGTCTCTAACTCATCGTTCCATATACCGCGAACCCAACCTACACGACCACCTCTCCGCTCACGCACCCCATGAACAGCGCATCTACACTACCGCCTGTCTTCTCATCCAGCCATGCATCGAACTCCTCAAATAGTTTCATCGCTTGATGTCCATCCGCGTCAGCCTTTTTTGCGGGCCACATGCGCTTCTCCTGGATCCCAATGAAATCCACCCTCAACCCATCCACATCAGACGATCTGGGATGCGCGTTCGGGGGCGGCCACTTGATCGTCATGTCCACTGTCCATACGTCAGTTCCGTAGAATGACGCTTCTTTGATGTGGTGTCGTGCAAATTCCTCCGGTGGGTTGTTATCCAGCGTCCACTCTAGTACATGCGCATCGAATGCAATCACTGCAAGAAGAATTTAGTCTACGTGACACCAAGGTGACCCAGCATATATATATAAACTCACCAGTCCACATTATCCCCGGGTGATCGATCTTTAATGTCATAGTCCTAGTTCCCTTACTCTCATCGAGGGTATCATTGACAGCTGAAACCGTGAACTGCTCTTCTGGCGGCCAAGGTGCATCATACGCCGGGTCGAGCGGGAGGTCAATTTTGTACGGTGAGAGGAACTATGTGAGGTTCAACAAAGACGCCGTATTTGATTGCAAATCAATAAACCATACGTCAGCATCCCCATATGACGGCTGAATGTTTTTAAGTCTCACCGCTGAAAATGGATACAACGTATCCCAATCGCTGTTCCAGTCATCCATGACAATAGCCCTGGGAGGCATCCCAGCTGCGCCGAAGTGTGTCGTGATGTCATGCACCAAATCGTCAAAGCCAGGTGCGCCATCTGCCGCTGCGATATGGAGGTGCTGCTCCCGTGTGTTCAACTAGATCGTTCGCGCTCAGTTTCTTCACAACCCGCAGGGGAACTAGCACTCACGTCTTCCTTATGAAGAACAAACAGCCTCTTTTGATGATTTCTATCAAATACCTCCTTTCTGGCAAACACTGCCATCACTACGCCCACTACAAGGAGTGAAATCGTGACTGCTTTACGCAGAACAGGCAGGTCAAATCGGTGAACGAATGGCATAGTGAAGTTAAGCGTGTAAGAACCCAAGATCGCCACAATGGAAGCGATGATGTATTCTGCTGGAGCCTCAGAGCCAATACGCCCAGTCTGTGAAAAAGGTATGAGGAGGGAGGCCCATGGAAACATAAATCACTTGCCAGCGGTACGAACACAACCAAAGTCGCAGAAGCCAGTTGAGTCCCCGTCAACAGTGGGATGGTCTGGCCCAGAGCATATGTCCACAGGCTCACCGAACCGTCTTTGGCCTCCGGCTTATCCACCTTATTGCGCCCATCCTCCGCTCCTTTCACATCCCCATCTCGCTTGTCTGCTGCATGCATCATTTCTATTCCAGCATCATTTTCGGAGGACGCGCTCAAGTAGTAGGTCACACGATCGACAAGTAAGGCCCCAAATGTCGAGAGTGCACTAAGGAAGAACACCGCACTTGATCCAACACCAGCGAACTGGCCCGCTACGGCCAGGAACGCATAGGCAAGGAGTTGTGCATGTAAGATGGCTTTTTCAGGGACTGGGGCCAATGACAATTGAGTTATGAGTGCTCCTGGGTGGATAACTTTGTGTGAGTCATGACGCCAGGAAGGCATTGAAACGAAATAGATATAATTCTGGTGCAAAACACGAAATAAGATCCGGGTCAATTCGAGAATAGGTTGGTGTGGAAAATTATAGCACAAGTTGAAGTAAAATCACGCACCGCACATCGCCGCGGGGCCATACAATATTAACGGCTCAAACTCGCCCTTGAACCAGCTCATTCCCCGACCCAACACCTGTTGCATCATAAACGCAACGGCATTCGCTCCAACAAGAGCTCCCAGGCCTCCTAAAACTACAGAAAATAATGCCTTCGCCATCGTTGCACCTTTTGCACTGGGCCCGCTAGCGCTTCTGACAAGCACACAACTAGCAATGAAAAGTAGCGAGTACAGCACCTTAGCTGTGCGGAACGAGTAGACGAAGAATACGCCAAGGTACGTAAAGAAGACGGTGCGAGGGCGGCCGTAGCCTGAGGCAAGCCCTGGTAGTGATGAGGCAGGTGAGGTGAGATATTCAATGAGCGCAAATGTGTTCTCGGCCATGTGCTGGAGTGAGGGAGACAATGATCAATCACATGATCAGATGTAGGAGGTTGGGATAACAGACCTGTGCAACGCCTGCCTCAATGTTTTCTACCAGATCCTGCACTACATCAGTATATCCCGATATTTTAGTTTGTCAAGTTGCATACCCCGCGCATGTGGTACAAGTAACTGTTACCTACAACTGCCATCTGCGTGCAATTAGCATTGAAAACTTTACCGACGAAAAGAAGGAAGGTCAGACGTACATCAAGCCCGGTGACGTTTAAGTAGTACTCAAACTGCCGGAAATCAGTGCTTATAGCCGACAGCATGAATATTAGTGTAAGAAATAAGGTGAAGACAAAGAGACATACTCAGAGAGTAGCACGCCCGAGCTAAAGATCTCGTTTGCAAAGATAGTTCCGTATGGTCTGTGTACATTTGCATTGGCACTGAGACCTAAGGAAAAAGCAATAAAACTGACCGAGGTACATGGGAATACGCCTGAATCATCTCGTGAGACGTCGCCTGGAACAGAAGTTCAGGGCCTGTGGTACCAGCAGCTACAGACTTGTGTCAGCTGCATGAACAAGTATCCCGTATGTGAACAGCTGACCTTCCAAATTGATGACAGCACGGACACTGGAATAATAATGTAAGGTGAAATGTAACAGGAATGATAACTATGGGACACACGTGGACGCAATAGGATGCTGGGTCGAGAAAAGGTGAGAACCATCCTGGAGAGACTCCTCCGCATTATTGAACACTGTGGTTAAATTAGCATAGATCCTACTAGTATGGCATCGGAAATAGACAAAACTCACGAAATATAACTGCATGCTTTGGCTCCCACCCAGGGGTATTCACCAGCACCCGCACGCACTCAATCATCACGCCAACCGCGAGCGCGTCATCTGCAGCGCCTGGACTGGGAAGGGTACTATCAAGATGTGAGTTGACAAGTACTGCATCAACTTTTCCCTGGTCCGTGCCATCGCTGAGGCGTATGATGATATTACTCAAGTTGACATAATGTTTATACAGCCGCGCAGCCATCATATCGAAGCTATCGAGCACGCCGAGAAGCTATATAAGACACGGAAAGTCATTGGAAGTGATGAAATAGATGACGTACCGATGACTACCACTGCCCTCTTGCCTCCATACCTCGCATTGGAGCTTACGGCCGGGTTGAGCGGCTACGACACGCTCACACTCCTCTTTGAGCTGGTAAGCCTTCTCTGTCATCCAAGCATCTGCAAGTGCGTGTTCACGGGTGCCAGGCGTGCGGTATCCGATATCCTCTGATAGGTACTTGGCATATTGTAGGATTGTTGCTTCAGAGAGCTGAGGCAAGGAAGTCGTAGGATCATATCTGGTGGTTGGTATTCAGGTTGGGTTCAGCGGACAAGCAAACATTTGTTAGTCAATATTGATTCGAGTCGAGACATGAAGGAATAACGCACTGGTCTACGATGGGCGTAGGTAATGCTGCGGAGTGAAAAATAAGCTGACAGGGTTCAATGTGGGATTGATGACAAGAACACGTACAATACTGGTGCTTCAATGCAAGCCATGGCAATCCAATGAGCAGCGGTACTAGCGCGAGCAGAGACTGTGCTGGCCCCCATTGTCGCGTTCTAACCATGATGTCCGGATGCCAGGTCAAGTCAACTTGGTCGACCTCACTGTTTAGGCGGTTAGCTGCAAAGCAAAAGCTGCTCAACAAACAGAAATTTTGTGTAGTACTATATGTATCACTGCAGTAACATGCGTCGTGACTCAAGCAACTTGGAAACCGTGAAGTTCAACAAACAACGAGCGCAAAGTGTATTTATTAAAGTATTATAATAAATAGAACACGTGACCTATTTTGATTGGCTGCTGAGCGTAGATGGCCAAATATAAAAATTCAAACTGCTGTCCAACCATCCTGGTTTTGGGATTGTGTATGTACATGTCCGGACATGGCCACAGTGTGTGCAATGACTAGCGGAGTTATATATGTACGTGCGGAACTTACCGAAATAGATGGGACGGACATAAGTACTTCAAGTAAACAGTCTGTCGGACTCTGTTCAAAGAGATCATGATGAATTCTCAACAGATTGGGTGTCCGCCGAGCCGCATAACCACAACCCCGCTAGTGCACAGCGCTGCAAATCAATGATGTACAGGAACATGCAAGAACCCATCGTAGTAGTTACTACAACATATTGAATGGAGTTTAGTGCGCGAAGGACTCAACAGTGCGGTGCCGCAAAGGGCCGCCCATCGTTGTGATTGTGGGCATCCTCCGAATCATACGAAGGGTCGACTAATGTTTGGGCGTGCTATGAAAGCACGACACGAAGGTTCACGAAGGTGTGTCCCTTGCTTAAGTAGCGTGGTTGAATTGATCAAGACTGTTTGCATTGTAGCAAGGATAGTCACCGCAAGTTGTTGCCAAACGTTAAATTGTGGAAAGGACCGATTGTGTGATGGCATCGATAGAGTCCCAGGAAGTCCCAGATTTTCCCCATTATGATACAAACTGACAGCATGGTGTCACCTGACCGCTCTGCTGGCTACCTTCGTCGCGACGTGTCTACTGGCTAGTGAGTCTTGGTCAACTATTGCCATCGCACAGCTAACAGCTAACAGCTATATATCCCGAAAAACTTTTAGTCACATAGTACTGATCAAGTGTTTACTTCATTTGATATGCGTTATATAGGTTTTTGGAGTGCAGGAAGAGCGGTCCCAAAACCTCCAAGGTCTTAAATCGTTCAGTCTAGTTCATAATGTTCATCACACTTGCCTTATACTGTCTTGTGGCATCAGATTATGGCGTTGATCTTCAGTTATTTCAGATTGCATGGTGCGTCACTTGTTGTCATATTCTCGATCCGTTTCTGTTTTGATCTAGACCAACTAACCCGTATTGACTTGTACAAAAGCCAGAACATATCCAACTTCACAATGTGCACTCTTTGTCTTCTTGCGCATCCCATCCTGAGTGGTCTGTGGCTCCAGCAACCCGAAGACCCGCCCGTCGACTTCCAACTCTACCACCACAGTCTTGTCGCTCATTCTAATCGCGGATATCACAAGTCTGTACATTATTTGTCTATTCCATTACCTTCGAGCTGATCTCTACGTCTGATTCCAGGGTTCAGAATCATAGTTTATCTCATGTTTCCTTACAGTGTCCTCGCCGGCTGCCTTTTTTCCTTGTCACATACAGTGTCGGTAGTATCTTCAAGATCCAACTATGATGGCTCGCCGTCTAGCGCGCCCCCATTCACCATCAAGCCTGTTACTGATCTCGTCGTCGTTAATAAAGTAATCGCGCCTGACGGCTTTGCACGGTCGTGAGTTAATACCCACATGTTCCCCTACCTGTCTTCATCTTCATCCTGTACAGGGCAACACTTGCAGGAGGGATTTTTCCTGGTCCTCTCATCAAGGCGCAGAAGGTTTGCGCTAGTGTTTAATTAACGTCTGGCGCTGATTCTTCGAAGAATGACCACTTTAGCATCAATGTCGTGAACAGGTTACATGACAAAGATATGCCTTTGTCGACGAGTGTAGTATGTGCTTTACTCTTTTCTCACCTCAAGTTCCCTGATACCCTTCAAAGCATTGGCATGGCATCCAACAAAAGAAGACGAACTGGGCAGATGGCGCATCATTCGTCACTCAGTGTCCAATCCCTCAAAATCGCTCCTTCCTCCACGAATTTAGCGCACCCAACCAGACTGGAACTTTTTGGTTCGTGCTCCTATTTTCTGTGAAGGAGGAAGGCTAAAGTATGTCTTACGATAGGTACCACTCGCATTTTTCCACCCAGTATTGTGAGTGTTCATAACTATCTATGTGACCTATGCTACACGACTTTACATCCAGGTGACGGTCTTAGAGGTCCACTTGTCATATATGACCCTGAGGATCCCCATCAAGATTTGTATGACATAGATGACGGTTTGTATCTTTCCTTCCATGTTTAGACAGAGCATTGATCATCTTTGGCACAGAGAACACAATAATCACGCTTTCCGACTGGTTCGAGTTGTCTTGTCAGCCTTTTGCATTCCAAATCTTATCACTTCCTTCAGGTACCACGATCCTACGCCCAAGTTAAACAAAATTTTCGGCCCCATCACATCCAACTCCACCCTCATCAATGGTCTTGGGCGCTATCCTGGCGGACCCAAATCACCTCTTTCTATCATCAATGTCGAACAGGGCAAGCGTTACAGGTTCCGCATCATCGGTCTGTCTTGTGATCCATCATATAACTTCACTATCGACGGCCATACCATGACGATTATTGAAGCAGACGGTATCGAAACTGTCCCTGAGACTGTGGATTCTCTTCCAGTGCTCGCTGGCCAACGCTACTCCGTTGTCGTCTGCGCGAATCAGCCTGTGGATAATTACTGGGTTCGCGCACCATCCAACTTTGCAAATCAAACGTTTGCGGGTGGCTTGAGTCAAGCCATCCTCAGGTACAATGGCGCGCCCGATGAAGATCCTACGAGCACTCCTGGACCTTACATCTTGCCATTCAACGAAGGGAAGCTTGCTTCTTTGCTCAGCATCCCTGTCCCCGGTTTCCCCGAGATTGGCAAAGCAGACGTCCACATCAACTTACTTGCCACCACTGTGAATGGTATCTTCAGGGTCAACAATGTTACGTACCACAACCCTCCGACGCCGGTTCTGTTGCAAATGCTCAGTGGAGCGCAGCATCCCTCAGATTTATTGCCGAGCGGAAGCGTGTACGAGCTTCCCTCAAATAAAGTAGTGGAAATCACCTTGCCCTACACAGGTTTACTTTTTGGAGGTACAGTAAGTGCGCCCCAGTGTTTCTCACTCCTGTTGCTCACCATCATTATAGCATCCTATCCACCTTCATGGAGTGCGTCGTTCTGCCGTTTCTGTGTGATTCCCCGTTCTAACGCACTCGACAGCACACTTTTGCCGTTGTTAGAACGTCGGGAAATAGCACGCCAAACTTCGTCAACCCAATCTGGAGAGACACAGTAAGTATGGGATCGAAAGGGGACAACGTTACAATACGTTTCGTCACGGACAATTCTGGACCGTGGTTTATCCATTGGTGAGCATGTATTCTCGTTACATTCCATGTTGCGTATCTCATGATGTGTTTACCAGCCACATCGACTTCCATTTGAACCAGTACGTATGCATAGGTCATCTTTGAGCCACGAGCTCATTCCTATGTAGCGGCTTTGCGGTGGTCATGGCCGAAGCTCGGGATCAACTTCCCAACCTCAACGCGGGCATTCCAGGTATGGGTGCCGCGCTAGTTGTCCCCAGCACACTAAACGGAACTTTCTAGCATCTTGGGCGTCGCTATGTCCTTCAAATCAGACATCTAGTCAAGCACGCCTGGGTTCCTTCAATACGACAATATCACACCTGGGCTCCTTCAATAAGACCACGCTCACATGATTTATAAAATTATCGAGCATTCAAATCTCTCAATTCTCACCATTTCTACGCGTTATACCCCTATTTTATTTACCACTTCTAATTCTCGAAGAAGTATCGTTATATCCGGGCATCTGTCCTTCACATAATGATTTATTGTCACGCGTTTTATCTATGTTTTTATTCCTCCATTTAATAACTCATCTGTATACAATGCATTGGTTCATCTGCTCATCGTTGGATTGCCGATTCAGACAATTCCCCAAGGTATCTCACTGCGTTCATGAAGAGATTACCAATGGTGCAGTACGACCAATGATTAATGAGTCCTGACCGGTGATCCCCTGTGGTTGCTACGGAATCTGGCTGATAGCATGCTGTTCTCAAGCCGACAATTTGTGTTAGAAAATGGTTCCGACAAGTATATCTGGTGTATGAGGTTCACTGGAGCTCTGATCAAATGAATAGGGCAGGTTAGTAAGTAAAGGTTGTTATTACTTCCCGATCTGACAGCGCAATATCATATACTCTTGTAGACCAGATCAGGCTAATAAGATCGTCGACTACATGATTGGCTAAGGTCCTATGCGACTCCGTTTACGTGAAGCATTTTTCAATGACACTACCAGGTTTGGCCTGGGCTGTGCATACAGAGTATCGCACCTTTCTGGCTAGTGAGCAGGTGCAGATAAGTAACGACCTACTAGATTTCAGACACGAAATAAAAGGTTGCCAAGAGGGTGCTAGTAGGTACTCTGGAAAAGCAAAGAGATGGGTAATGAAAAACTCGACTCAGTTATTCAAGCTTTAAGCTTTAAGTGCGAAGCTTTAGGTGGCGACTCCTACCGTGTAGAAAAATCGGCGCCGTTCACATTGACGTTGTCCTGTTCGTAATCAAGAGGTTTGCCGCCACTGTTCCTACTACTCGGGGGCAGGTCAGAAGCAAATTTGCAGCTGACGACTTGGAGGTGTACAAGGCCTTGTTATTACTGTTACACTCCACGTACCTTGTTCTTGTCAATGTTTTTTTACCCATGTGGAGAACCGCGCCAAATGCATCATCACAAAAATTGTTCAGCCTAGACTACTACATTCACCTAAAATGAGTGACGGTACTATACTGTTTCCATGACTTGTACAAAATTGGTACATATGTACATACTCGTGAGTGTACAATTCTATCTAGAAAGCAAGACTCTTCCTTCCATTCTGGTTTGACTAGGCAGACTAGTACTATTATATACACAACAGCAGAAATCAAAAACGTTTCGAGTAGGAAAAAAGGAGAAGCATGATGCGCGTTCCGCGGGAAAAAAGCAGCTTCACACAAAGCAAGACATAGACAAGTAACTTTCTATAATGGTAGTAGTCATCGCAATGAGAACCGTGCATCGCAGGCAAAAAGTGAAACGGTCTTACATACAGCAATAGCTGTAGATTTCACAATGGTCGCTTCGGAAGCAGCTTGACAATTCTGTTCTGCTTGACGATATGCGCATCCTTCCCGAAATAGCGGGCGCACTCGAAGGACCACTGTAGCGGACCGACAATCCAGTTCTGCAGTCCTTCGACGTACTTAGCCACATCCTTGTCGACTTCTTTTCCCCACGAGGGGAGGACAGCACGATTTTCTTCGAACCGTTGTAGGGAGATATTGCATAGCTGAGCGCAGTGGTCAACAGCGCCTTGCAGGTCGAGACCTTGTTTGACCATGAGCACAGCAACTAAATTATGTGTGCTATGGTAAGATTGCTCCATGTTATAGGAATAAATATCCTGTCAGCAGCGACGTCAGTAGTGCCCCAACTTCGACGACAGAATGAGGTATTACATTTGACCAAGAAACGAAGTCATTGGTGGCCTCCTCCAGCGCCATGATGACTGGATGCGAGACTACTTCTTCGGGAAGATCAATCTGACAGACGAATTCGACAACGGCAAAGCAAGCCTTGCAGCTGCTCAAGTCGCGCCTCAATTCGATGTAAGATTCAACACCATTGATATGTCCCTTGGTGCGGTTCTCCACCTCCTTGGCCGCAGCGATAAACCACAAGTCCATTGTATGGATAAAGCGCTCTGTGCAGCCAGGGCCGGCAGTCTCCTTAAAGCGACTGAAGAATCTAAAAGCCGTAAGATGATTGAAATGTGTGCGCGATGAGAAAAAAATAGACACACGATTTGCACAACTTTGCACTATATCTTTCCGTCTGGAAGTTGACGGGATCACGGAACGCAGACATACAGCAGTCGCGTACTCCCCATGCATCATTGACGTCGGACCTTTCGATCTCGAGCCAGTCATCCAATTTCCATGACCAGCCATGGAAGTCCGCGCAGACTTTGATATGGAAAGCATCCGCATCAGGGTAACAAGATGAAGCGAAGTAACCTGGGCGCAATATCGTAGTATATTTAGTAACATCAGGCTCTACTAGACGGGCTTCGCTACAAAGCCATTGGTCAGTAGCGCGAGATACCGGATCACAGTGAGGGTTTAGTCGCATGGGGTAGCGGCAATCGCTGAAGAAGTCAGGTAAAATGAACTCTGTGGGCTGGGAGTCAGAACAAGTGACGGTGCAAGTTGCAGTAGAAGCCATGGAGGTTGTTGGATTTGTGTCGTGAATGTCGATGAGTGAATGGAGAGATCAGAGAACCAAGTTATGAGACAAAGGCTCAGAAATATGCCACCCTTTATACTATGATCTTGCTAGCGGGGTAGTATGTCCTGTTGGCTCGGACCATCGCATGATTTTGGAAATGATGGTGTAGACTTACCTGTTCTATGTGTTACCTACTCGAATTATAGTAAGGTTTGAATCGCGCTTCTCTAGAGTCTAGACAGGGTGAAAACCTAACCGAGCGTCGCCTATTCCTATAGCTTTGATATCACTAACAAAAATATGGGACTCGCGCTATTCGATGTATGTACAGAAGACGAGACTTTTCTCGCTAGTGTTGTTCGTAATTGTTTCGTATGAGTACTAGATCTCTTCTATGAATATGACGCTTACTTCAAGGATTTTCCCTCTGCATTCCCCTTCCGAAAGTCATGATAGAAATAGTCAAGATGATCAAATGTCAAACACGAGGACAACGAACTTCGTACTAATCTGATCATTGACGTCGATTCACCTGCATGTAGATTGAGATCGACGGACCCATCTAAGATCTTGCGTGGGAAGGGTAGTTACGCCATAGCTCGGAGACTACTGGCCGCTCAGTCAAAATACTAATACGCATCCAGCACGTCTATCACAGTACCTGCTATAGTGTCACAATGGCCATGAAACACGGCGCTGCTATAGTTGTCGTCCGAATCTGTCTCGTGTGATAACCCACCATCGATATCGGTTCCGAGAGTCGAGACTCTATGAATGATCTGCTTGAATGATCCAGGTTGCCAGGCTGTCACTCAACGGATGGATACGTTAGTCACATAAACGTTCAAAAATACGTAGTAAGAATCATATTACTCATCAGAAACATTCCCAGTTGTCAAACCTGCTTTAGTCGCAAGTCGGCGGGAGAAATGGTAAGAGCAACTTGAAAGCATTCTGAAGTAAGCAATAAATTCCGAACTTCCGAATTAGATCTTGGTGTCACGTACCGCACTAGTGACTCACGTAGCCTCAGAGCCTATACTTACTGGCTATGTCATTGTGAGTGCATATAATTTAGGTTGAGTAACGTTTGATAGTTGTTGAGCGCTCATCTACGGTTAACCAACTGCCGAGTCGGATTCCATCAATTTCCGTCGTTCTCCGTCTGACCGCTGACCTCATGACACATCACGTGGTTTATAACTATACGCGTCGACCAGCCTAGTTGGATCATCCTCGCTTGACAAGGAACCACCACCGCATCTCACCTGCTCCTTCAATGGAGCCTCACCAAGGACACAGAATGACCCTATTTTCTAAACCACGCCATAATCAACCTGACGATAGTAACGGTCAAAAGCCTCTGTTCATGACTCCACAACCTGGACCCACTGAAAAAAAAATAGCAGTCCCAGCATTTAGCAACAGCTCGCAACGAACATTTGCACACACACGGAGCTCCAATTTTGTAGAGAATGCGGCCTCCAGAAATCTGGCTGAATCTAGCCTCCATTTTCCCAGTTTCAAGTTCAACACGACAACTTCCCGCTTGGAGTCGCACAGCCCAAGTTCTAAGCACTCACCTTCCTTCTATGACACAAACAGTGGACTATCAGCAAAGGTATGCCGCATATATTCTTAGGTTTGTTCTGAAATCATGCTATGTCATTACAGCGTCCCAAAGTGGAGATGAAGAAAGAGGACCACGGTGATTATATGCGCCTGAACTGTTATCATTTAATATCATTTTTCCAGACATTGATGGACACAAGCAGTTTACGATGCCCGGAAAGCAACTTTCAAAACATCTTCCTGCAGAATACCGATACTCTCCATTGAAGACGACTACAGAAGAGATCGGTTCTCAAGCAAGTTTAGGTGTCCTTGGGAGTGATGTGACCGAAGAGGACCTCATCATCACAAAAATGGCTAGCAGTAATCGTCGAGCGAATGTTGAGCTAGTGAGACTGGTACGCTGACCCTCTTCAGTTTTCTATATCACAATGTCCATCAACATCATTATAGCGGGAACTTAACGCCGAACTCGAATCCCAGCTTAGTATCAAGACTGAACTCGTCGCCGATCTCTCACGACAGAATACGGAGTTGTCTCGTCAGGCGTCAGATGCCTCTCATCAGAACTCAGAACTATCTCGACGAATCGCCCAACTCAAATTGACAACCAAGGAAGCAGTTGACAAGGCTAACAGGAGGTTTCTCAACATCTGTGCATCCGTTTTCTATTGGCTGATCCCATGCAGTTGTGTCGAACTCAGGGATTCTTATGAGGCACTCCGAATCCAATTTCAAGCATCATCTATCTTGGTGAACGATGCCCAAAAAACAATGGAAAGCCTTGAAGAGCTTCGGGACGCCGCTCGCACCGGCCTCCAAGGTCAGTTCACTCTCCGAATTATCATCCTTGCTTCGCGGCTGTGACTTAGAATAATTAAAGTATTCCTCGACGATACTGGGCATCTGCCCAATGTGGGCCAGACAAGGACAGTTGTAAACGAGCTACAGGCTGAGCTTACTCGGAGTGAGTCACATCTTCCCATGGGAAATCAGTACGGCACATTGTGTGTGCAGCTCAACAGGTGGCCGATCTCCTGCGTGAAAAATTGCAAAATATGGGTTCTGAGCTGATAGATGCCCGGGCGCGCGTTGCGGAACTGGAGGAGCATTTTGGGAATGATAGAAAGTTAATTGCCTCGACAACATCGGACCTTGAGCGAACCTGTAAGTTGGGTCATTGTCATCTTGATGAATAGCGATTCTCATGGTCATCCAGCCGAGCGCGTTGTAAATATTGCTGAGTACCTGAAGCTCCAGAAGCATGAAACAATTGACGCTCTCAGCAAACTGGCGCAAGCGGAGGATCAGCTGGCTCACAGCCAGTCACGGTAATGAATACATCTGATGGTCATATGATATTTTGTCTAACTCTGGATGACAGCTTGCAAGAATGCGAGGCGATGGTGCATTCCATGCGGCAAGAGATGGAATCTATGAGACAGGAGTATGATTCTGCGTTTCCGGCAATTCAGCTGCTAGTAACACAACATTCTTAGGATTTCCGAGTTTGAAGAAGCTATGCATGACGGTAAAGCGCAGACCCGGATCGTGCAGAACACTGTAACATTTCAGGAACAACACATAAAGGACCTAGAGGGGAGGTGAGTTTTTCTAAATTTTATCGATAACGCCTGCTGAATCTTGACATTCAGGTTACAGAAGGCCGAGACGGAGTTAGTACATGCTCACAATAGATCGCAAGACCTTGAATCGCGCTTGGAAGCCTCAAAAGATATCGAGAAAGCTCTTGTTCAGCAGAATGCGCGCCTCACCTCCGAAGGCGAATCTATCAGGGAGCGACTCCAGCTTTCTGAAGCAGGACAGGCAGATATCCGGAATCTAGAAAGGGAGCTATCAGCACGGAGTGCGAGGCTCGTGTCGGAACGCGATACACTCCTTGACAAACTTCAAATTGCACATGGGCAGCTGGCAGATGCGAAGCGAGAGGAGGAAAGCTACCGCGAAAGGTAGTTCACGCACTCTTCTCATAACGAAATCTTTGACCATTGCAATTAGATTCGCAGAAACGCGAACGTCGCTGAAGGTTGGCCTCGTGTCATCCAGTCTTTTCATATTTACCCTGTCCCAGGTTCTTCAGGAACGTTTCGACGACCAGTCCGTTACTCTCAGACTCACCAAGGAAAGTGTCGGCGAAGCTCAGGTAATCCCGCGCTTTCTTGGCCTCACCCTGAGCTGAGCTCACTTGTCTACAGGATCGTCTGCAATCCACGAATAACACAATTTTGGTAGCGTGTACTCCGGTGTCATGTCCACCAGCATATTTATTGCGTGACATAGGCTCTGAACGAAAAGCTGGCGGAATCTGTCAGCCGCGCCAGTGTTGTGGAGGAACGCGAACGTTCATTGCAGCGTAGACTCGACGAAGCCATCGTCGCCACAGCCGCCGAACGGGACTTGGTTGGTAGCCTTCGGAAGGAACTTTTAGACTGCCAGATAGACCTCTCCCGACAGCAGGGTATTCAACGAGCCACAGAGCAGATTGCAGAACAACGCGTTCGCGATGCTGAACGACGAATCGAAGAGTTGAACTCTAAAACAGACTCTCAGCGCGGCGAGCTGGGCCAGAAGCAACAAGTCATATCCGAACTGACCCAGCGCCTGGCTATTGCCGAAACTCCTTCTGATCTGCACGAACAAGAGCTCCTTGTTCTGAAAACGCGCATTCGCGACCTTGAACAATCCGAAACGCAACTTCTCCAAAGGTCGACGAACATCACCGTCCGACATGAACAGAATGACCTGGTAAGACGAGTATAATTATTCGATGATTGTTTACCTCGTTCGCTTTAGAATGACAACGAGTGGATGTTGGTCCAGAACCTTGCCAAAAATGCCACAGAAGTCTTTGAGCGCGAGCTAGCGGAAAAGAACAATGACATTCGAAGGGTTGGTGTTCTCTTCTTCTGATTTGTCACTGATCTCCTTTGGTTTTCAGAGAGACAACCTCATCAAGCAACATGAAGCTCGCATCATGCAATTAGAAGCAAGTTTAGCCCGTCGCATTAGGGAAGTTGTAAGGAACACGCCCTTGATAAACAATGTGCAGCTGACCTTGATTTTTCGCAGCCACAAGTCGGAAGCTCAAGGGACGATAAGCAAGATGAAACTTTCTGGAACGAGCCCCCATCCGGACCCGGGGACCCACAGAATTCCGGTGCATTGCCATGCTAGGAAAATTAGACTTAGCTAAAATATTTCGCAGGTGTGCATGGGGCAACGAACCATTTAATTGTCAGAGAACCTCGACGTGCCGACCACATTCCACTCGCGAACAGTGACTCCGATATTGAAGACGAGAAGGACCTCGCAATGCGGCAAGTGAAGCGGACGATCTCTGTCGATGATGAAGAGACCAGACCGGCAAGGCGACCGGTAAGTACTCTAGCCGTGCCGTACCGATTAACAACGGGCAACCTGACCGCGAAAGAAAAATACAAAATATCCGGAAATGGAGAAGACAGCGGACAAGGTTGGTGTTTTCTCCCATCGCCTGTCGTCATCATACCTCGAGTCGGTGCTAGGTCCCAGGTCCATCAAAGAAGAAGACGAACAAGCGACAGAATCGGTAGTTGGCAGTGATGGACTACGTTGCCTCTGTTTAAGGTTCAGCGAATGTGTATGGGCTGGTCCAGTCTATGCTGATTGTGTCAGCATCATTATTGTGTATTAGTAGTATTTCTCTTTCAGAGAGACGCGTGACCTTTTCGCGTGGTATCAGGACTCTGTAGCACAGTGTATGCAATGCATACAACACATGGCATTCAAGAAATTAGCAATGATACAAGACGTCAGTGGTATGAACGGTAGATACACTTTCGATGCGATTGTCGTCGGTGAAGTTGAACAAAAATCAACGTGATGGATGAGGGGACCTTATGGATGCAGGGCTAATAAGTAGATAGTGGAGTGGCAGTCCAAGAAATGCAAAACGAGAAAATAGGTATACATATATGCACAAGAATCGGAATCAAAACGTCCGAGATTACCCGCTAGTCCGGAAGGCGTAACATATCGCCTTCAAAGATGATGTCACCACGGTCCTGTAAGGCGGCCGCCGCTTTGACGACTTCGGCTGTGTCAAAGTCCTCGTGTTTGTCTGCAGGTATGGCAGAGTTTAAGTAGGTCAACAGGGAAGATATGGTCATGTCATCCGTGCTGTCATAAGTGGTCATAAATAGATATGCGATTGACGAAAAAATGAAATCCATCCTGACAGCAGGCTCAGCCATCAGCATCGTCATTTGGAAATATCAAAGTCAGGCGACTAGGAGTAACGTACCGGCCAGGAACGGTGGTCAAGTCAGCAAAACTAAGCGCAAGACGGCGGTTCAGGCGGCTCGTCGACCCGGAGGCTTCCGTTGGCACCTGAAGGTCGCTTCCCTTTGGGCGGATAGAGCGGACGTTTTGTGATGATCTCTTGCTGGTGGAAGCATTATCAGGAACAACCCAAGTGGGGCCAGTGCGGCTGCTTCCATTGTCTAATCGTTGTTTCTTTGTAGTGTGAAGAGACCGAAAATCCGAAAACCTGGCTTTGCGCTTATCATCCGTGGGGAGTTCCTGGGTGTCGTGTGGTTCCTCTGATTCTAGTTCGTCTTCGGCAGACGCATCATCATCTGACAAGCTTCCGTCGTCAGGATGGGTTGTGCCACCTTTGGCTCTAATTTCTGCAACTTCTGCAGCTTTCTGAGCTCGCCTCTGACTGAAAGAGCAACGCAGTTGGTGTCAGTGTGAGATGCGGGAGAAAGCAGATATGGTTAGAATGGTGGAAATACTCACTGTCGAGCTAAACACTTTCCCCGATGCTGTATCCATGGATACGCGCAGTATGAACTATCTTGTCGAAGCTGAACCCACTTCTTGCAAAGAGAACAGAATACTCTGTTCGGCTCAACCTCTTCAACCAGAGGATCTGCCTTGAGAGTTGCAGCTCGTTGTTCGGCATTTCGTCGACGAGATTCATGAGCTGGAAAATTGGTGGGTGTCAAATCCTTGAAGGATGAAGACGGTGAGCATGGTGTTGCCGGTGGTATGGGAGTTTTTCCGTGGACGGGTGAGCCCGAAGGACGCCTTGAAGTTGCAGACACGTGTTGGCTATCTCGGGCTGCTGTGTCAGATTTCGGTGGTCTTGAAAAAAATAAATAGGAATGAGAAAACGAAATAAAACATCAGATTGAGTGGCTCAACTGAGACGATGAAGCTTCCGCTTGAGCTGCGGAAGACTGTCCAGCACCCTTTTGACAGGACGACCTGTGGTGTAACCACTTTTGGACCGCCTGCATATGGTTTTCGGGGCTGACTTGGATCCAACGGTCGCAAGTATTGCACAGTACCCGCTCGGCATCAAACTTGCGGACGTCCGGGTCTTTGGAGAGCAATGAATTTCTCTCTTCGAGGGCACAACCATTCTTGTTGTTACTGGGGATGCGTGAGTGGTGAAAAGATAAGAAAGGGTATGGATTCGCTCACATCTTTTTTGACAAGCAACTCTTGCGGTGAGCATCCCAAGGGATGGAGCAATATGTGGAATTAGGACGGAGTCGGATCCACTTGTCGCACGATGCACATAATACGCGATATGCCTCGAACTGTGCGACGTAAGGATCCGCCCTAAGGTAGTCAATGCGTTCCTCTTCAGTGCGCTTAGCGCGCCGCCGTTTGGCAGGAGGGTTGGCAAGGGCCTCTGCCGTACTTTCCGGAGTATAGATGACAGGTTCTGGCACGGCCTGAGTTGTGTTGGCACTGCCGGGACAGATTAGAAACAAAGAGATGATGATCAAGGCGACATCGATACCATTGCTGGCGATGGGCGTCCCAGTGTTTCAGGGTAAATCCGCCGGTTGCTTCGTCACGAAACGAGACGCCCTCGCTGCAGACTTCACACATGACACGACCGGTTTCATACTCGCCTTTTGGAACGGCGACTGAGTCGTCTACACTCTCGCCTTCAGCGTCAGCGGAATCTCCTCGTTCTGGAGGGGTTTTCCGCTTTCGGGAATTTCTGTAGAATAATTGGTGATGAGAGAGATTATAGGATCGAATAAAATCGTACGGAGATGAATTATGAGGGATGTCTCGAGGAGGAGAGGTATCTGAGCTGGTGTTAACAATTAGCGGGTGAAATAAATGAGGGCTGGGAAGGGGAAAGAAATACTTGATGTCATCTGTGTCCATATCCTCCGACATGAAGGAATAGAGGAGGATTAAAATAAGAGGATGCAGGAGATGGGGAGAGGGATTAGGTATGATATTGGGGGCGTTCGGGAAGGGTTAATATGTGTAAGCTGCTGTTCGGGTGCCAAAACGTATTTACAGAGAAAATATATGTCACAGATCCGGCACTTCCAGAAACATAACAACATTTCATTTCCCACGGAGGGGGAAAAACATCGAAAAAGGATTTGTACCTGAATAAATTAACCTCGACGAACAGGTGATTCTGCTTCCTGTCCGACTCGGTGTCAAATATATTATGACATAGAATTGAGACTTAAAGTAGACTGTCATCTCTTCGGTAGACTATTGTTCTAGCGTTTTACTAGTGTATTAGTGCAGTGCCATGACACGCGTTTCCATCAAAAGTACTTTGTTCTTCATCACCCCCAACTCCGCTGTTCTATCGATCGTTTGGTTGTCATTCATCATCGATGCGATTCTCTCGGTTATGATGTCGGAGCTAAACGCTGCATTGCAATGGGATGTCGCTTGGTTTAACTGGGCTAGACTAAGACGAAAGCTTCCATTTACATATTTCGGGCCTAGAACGGTATTTCTCTCTTTACTCGGCTTAATCCACCACGCCCTCCTCCTCCTTCTCCTCATTATCACCATTCATCGATCAGTACCTTGGACATTGCGCTGTCACTTTCGTTGGTCGGAGATCTCCAATCTCATCGCATCCGGCGGCATGTACGGCAATTGCGGCATTTGGGGACATGTGGACATTATTCAAATGTTTTGTGTTTTTCCTGTTTCCCGTGTGAATTAAAATATTACATGTCCACGTAGTACAATTCACATCTATCGCCGCACCACATGTAGCCTTATGGTAAGTTTTTCGGCCTCCTGAACCAATTACCGGTACAAACCTGCGTCTATGCATGGCCTAACTTCCCCGCACATGAAAAGCGACGTTTTTCCTTTTTGGATATAAAAGTACGTACTTTGTGGCCAACTACTTTGGTTGTCGATCACGATAAAGGCACGAAGATTCCCCTTTTCGGGTCTCTTTAGCGCCTGTTTATATATTTTGGGCACAAGACATTCTAGCCGCCCCTGTTTTCATTGATAAACCCATTCATCCGTAGTGAAACCTTCTGGTAAGCTAACCACCTAAACCTCGTTTCCGCGGACTCTTTTCTTCAATTATACTTCGCGAGTACCCAGGTAGGCGCTTAGATTCACTCTTAGGGGTACATGTGACCCATAAACCTTAGTGCGGCATGCATGATATCAATCCATATTCGTAAGATTCTCCACTTCATACCCTTCCGTATCCTTCTCCCTCGATGAATCCCTTCAGACGTTTCACAATTACATCAAGTCCAGAAAGCCACTTCGCTAGCTCCGCATCTAACTTTTCCATGGGCGCACCTTGCGATATACGACTATAGAAGTCACGGCGATACGGTGCGGCCCGAACAGCAACCTGAATGTGCCGGAATAAGTCAGCAACTACATGCACAACAGAAGCAGACAGTGACGTACGGCGGCGAGTGACCGTACGAAAAACGTATGATGCTGCCTCAAGACTTCGTCGTATGAACGCTTGAAGCACACGTGTAATTCCACAGAAGGGTCATTCTGCATGTGTTGAAGAGCTATTTCATCCGAGTCAGTTGCCTTCTATGACTACACAGTCGGGGTTAGAATAACCTCTACATAGGAATGTCAAACCACTGGAGAAGTGACGCTACTGATTAGTGACACGCTATATTAAAGGGTCGAACATACCGGGTCAGGCGTATCAAACAACCGGTCCCATGTCGGTCATCTAATGATACTTCGCTTCTGACAAGATTCTCGAGCGTGGAGCAACTAAAAGAATCGGCCTGGTAGCGAGTTCGTACACCCTGTATTGCACAAAAAGAATAAGGGTTGATATAGGGTTAGACAAAGCGGAGAACGTTCCCCTATATTCCCCTTTATATCATTCTGAACAAAGCCGAATACACCTGAGCCAAGCAAATCTAGAACGACAGCGCATTTAAGGGAAAATCGGTTGCCGGACGTAACCAATGTATCGTACCGAACAATTGAACCAGCCCTTCAGACGCTTCCAGAAAAAGCGAGGTTTCCACACCATCAACGGTGATTGGAACATCTGCAAATGACTATGGGAGCGTCAGTATGCGAAATGCGGCGAGGTGAGCTATAGTACTTTGACAGTCTCAAAGTATGGTTGAGAAGACATCTTGTTGGTCAAGAAGAAGGTTCTAAGCTACCTCCTGGAGGGGATAGTGCCGAATTCTGGTGCATTAAAGCCTCGAGGACAGTGGCCAGGCTGCAAGTTTACAGCATAAATGAAATTTGACACGATTTTGCAGGATCGAAGGTCAACGTGTACTGACATATTGAGTTATACGTAATATTATTTTCCGCATTTACTCATTTGTCTACTGATCTTATCATAGAAATTGCACAACTTCAAGAGGCCACGACGTTTGAGGTGACCAAGTGAGGTTTTATAGTTCAGCAGGAAATTTGATGCTGTCGGTTGCCAGGACACAAAGGAACGTGTTGACAGCAAAGCAGCATCACCCGTCGGTACTACTAGTAAGTGCACATAACAAAGGGTCTACGCATGCCCTGGATTTTGGTCTGTGATACTCAGCCCATCATTTAGCATCCAATGTCGCCCAATGTTTGCTCCATGATTTCCTTTGTGGTGGCGTACCGGTACTTCCATGGCACCTCTCCCCTTCGCCGGCACTCGGTATAAAATCGCTGGTTCAATGCTATGGTTCGTGGTGAACATCGTGTTTGATCCCGTCAAGGACAGACTTACTGGCGAAAGGGATATGATCCTGATTCTCCTCTTCCGGGCCTTCATCATCCGACAGTTCCATCGATCGTAACGTATTATCCTCAACAGAGTTCGCCGTTCGCGAAATGCCGTCAGTTCGGGGATTATCTAGCTCAAACAAGCTAGCAGCTGTCGGGCGCCGTTCTGTATTTGACGGACAAAACCCGTCTCCACTTCGGGCGAGTTTCTCGTTCTGTAAAATTGAGTTCGTTTCTCATTCCATTATTAGGAGACATTAGCTCACCTCGATCTTGTATATTCTTGCACACTTCCCTCGATGTTTCATCCATAATCCTGGGTAATACCTCGAGCGCTTGTCCAGGCTAATCTCTCTGTCACACCCACGGCATATGACGGATGTGGGTCGTACGTCGTAAGTGTACTTGTCGTCCTCTAGCTCCTGTTTCCGCTGAGCCTCGTTTTTCCTCTGCTTGCTAGATCCCGCGACTTGGATGAGTGTCTCATCTTGCTTGTCATCAGCGGCATCTATGTTCTCGCTAGAGTCATATATAGGACTCTGCGCGTCATCGGGTTCAGAAGAGGGGTGAGATGGGGCAGACCCACAAAAGTCGGGCTTTACTGGACAAGCGAAATAGTGTTCGTTGACAAGGAGGCTGATCGTGGGCCAGTCGGCGTGTGTGTCACATTCAAGAACGGTACGGCACCTACCACACTTGTGGGTGTAGGTCCGTTTCGTATCCGTTTTGGATATGGCAGCATGCTGAGTGGCGGCGCGGTCCATGTCTGTCTAGGGCACGGCGGATGAGGGATTGGATCTTGATTTTTCGTGTTCTTGTACTTGGAAACAATGCCCTTTCGGATGTGGATGTGGACGTTTTTTCTGTCACAGTGGCGCGAAGTTTAGACTTGCCTCGGAGTCAACTTGCATTGTTCGTCCAGACCACCGGTTCTCAGACACATGTGGTATTCTAAGGCGGGCAATCATCACTTGTCATGAAATTCATTCACTGACTGCAGGCTAAGGATTCGTCACTCTTCTACACGTTGATGTTTTCCGAACTGCAGGGTACATCTCTACAAAGTATCCCCGTTGTGAAAGTGAAAACTTGTCTGACATGATCGTCCCAGAAAAACGCACCAGCGTAGAAGTCAAGATAGTCGATGGATATCCACTCTGGCCGCCGTCAGGATGCACATATCAATATGGCCACATGTCTCGAACTTCTTCGTCGACACAGCCGGCACAATAAACGAGACTGCGCTACATTTGCGTCCACTATGTTCTTAGGTACAAAAAACATAAGTTCCATTCCGTACGTAACTAAACTCATGTATTTCTGTTTTTCACGCTGACTGGAATCACCGAACATTCCAAATGCATTGAATTGCCTGCTGGTCGTTCATTCGGTGCGAGGGTGATAAGCCAGAGAGCCTGCGTTCTTATGACGTCAACAACTCCACTTCCATGAAGGCTGTGGGTACATTGTTCTGATCTTCTCTGGTGCACCGGTGAGTGGCGACCTGTCGTAGCCCCTTCTACCAAAGAACTCGACTCATTTGCAGGATCGCGCGGCGTTGGATGTAAGACGTAGATGAGAAGGATGCCTGTGAAATTCTGTAATCACGTATGGGATTTTTTTGTCTGAGGACGTTGGAGTGGTACCCCTCCAGCGTGTTGCAGGCGGGTGTTTGGTACCATTTGGATGGCTTAGTCAGTAGGGCCTAGGCCCTAGATTGTTGTAGCGTTCATCGACATCATTGAAAGGCTACCCACCACTGTCTGCCAGAGGCAGGCACATATTACTTCATTGTGGATTAACTGTTTAATTAGGCAGAAGCTCCGGAAAGCAGGATGGCTATTAGATCAGCGATACCAAGAGTCATTTTCGCTAAATGGTGCAGTACCAAGTGCCAAGTGCTTACGGTGACCGCGTTGACATCACAGGGAGAAAGGGACAAGCTTTGCATACGATCCGCTCATCATCGATGTGTCAGAGTCAGGGAAGCAAGTGGTGGTGAACTGCCTCATTCAATTTCGAATGGCATGTCTGTCGGAAACGGACATGTTACAAACTATGGAGGTATAGCCTTGGTACAATCTGGGCACCCTAGTCACCACTCACACGTACTGGACTGCGATGTACGTAGTCATTACCACTAGGATAGGTACAACGCCGCTTTTGAGACAGCAATATTGTTCCATTCCTCATACTTGCTTTTGAGGCAAGGCCGAGGTTTGTGCGATACACAGGGTTTGTGATAATGCCGTACGAACGTTTGACTCATGACGTACGTAGGTCATGGTAGTGCAAATCCCGATCTCCCGCACAAGTACCTCCGAACCCAGAAGCAACACCAGAACTCGCTCTGGTAAACGCAACGAACGAGTGTCGGATAGAACAGCAACGCACGGAGATTCGACGAGATGGAAAGGCGACCCATAAAAATTCCAAGTAGGGGATCAGAACTTGGAGGCTCGGGCAGTTTTTCACTCTGGCCTGCGCCTTGTCCTAACAGTCCGTCAGCCTTTCAGCCTCCGTCACCCTGATGGCGGATTTGGTGAAGAGGCCCTTTGCAGTCGAATGAACTCTCCTAACAGTCGGATAACGAAGCGACCACGCGGCAGGCTGCCTCGTTCCAAGGATTCGTCGGTTCCGCCGAAAATTTTCAAGTGTCCGAGAATGGCGCCACGCTCAGATGAAGCATGCGAGCCGAAATGCTGTCCCGACAGATGAATAAAAATACAGGTCACCGAAAAGTGAAAAAAAATCCGCCGCCGCCAGGGATATCGCTGAGTCAAGTCTACGGATTCGTCACCATACATTACATTAGCTGAAAAGTGAGGCTGTGAGTCGAACCAGGCGAATCGCTCGTTCGTGATCAAGGCACGGATATCGCTGAGTCAAGTCTACGGATTCGTCACCATACATTACATAGCTGAAAAGTGAGGCTGTGAGATGCATTGAGTTTGCAACTCAAGTGAAGCTGGGGGGCGCCGCCGCGCCAGGCATGCCAAAAAAAGCCTTAGTGTGTTGTTTCAGATAGCGCACCTCTTTCGCACGTTGCAATGCCCACGACAACGTCTGATGCGCCTCAGCATTGAGCGCTACATTGTAGTTGAATGTTTGCGCCTGTATGGCATGGCTCATGAGACATGGGATGGTCACGGTCAGGGTTTGAGATGTAGCCAAGTTCATGGTGTGGGATATGGTCAGGTTAATGGTTTCAGGGATTGATCAAGTGCTCGATTCAGGGTATGGTCTGGTTTGTGACGGTATAGGGTCTGTGTCAGCAAAGGAATGATATGGACGGCGCAAAGTGGCCGCTACAGTCTCGATGTAAGTCGAGACAACGCACAAACGGAAGGGACGTTTTATAAAGGGAGACAAGGAGCTCATCAGGTGCAGCACCGTAAGCGACTATAAGGGATTAATTCATGGATGCGCTTCTGATGGCGGAACTGCTTCTACGACGATAGGCGCAGGCAAGACAATAGTGGTGGTGATATACAGAGCGCTCGGCGTTAGGAAGAGCGACAGGTCACCAGAGGGGGCGCTATGGCACTGGCACGAGTGGAACATTTAAGCGCTGAGCATGTGGAAGGCCTCGGACGGGTGGAGGAACGTGGGGGTCGCTGAGTATGAAAGCAGGAACCAATCCCGATAGAGTCGGATATGATTCAATTGCTGATAATTACGTAATGTATTCGGCGGATAATGTATGTGTCGTACGTGTCCTGATCCGGGTCGACAATGCATGCATGTTTACATACAACTTGTCACCTTAGTAGATAAAGATCTTTGGAAGTACTGTTTTTCACGGTTGCTTGCAACCGCACAGCCTTTGGTTTCTCACCAACCTCATCTGCAGAACTTGACTAATAAGTAGTAAGTATTTGTCTTCCAAAGTTCCCACCTACAAAATACATTTGATTCCGGTAATTGAGTTTCATTTTTCTTAGCTTTTCTCCCAGCATTATCCATGCCGCCGGACACAACGAAGGCCAAGTTGAAGCGCAAGTCAAGCCGCAGGGAGGGAGACGACTTCCGATTTGATGGCGGCCATGCGCGCGAGATCGAACAGAAAAGGAGTAATGGGCAGATCTCTTGCGCCGAGTGTAGGAGGTGCGACCTTCGCACAATTTTTATAGAAGCAGTTCTGACATGATGTATGCATGTGTATTGTCTAAAGGCTCAAGATAAAATGTGACAAGCAGATACCCTGCCAGTCATGTCAGGTAAGTAGTACCACGCTACACAGCATCGACCTCCATACTAAACACCTATCACCTATCTATTTAGAGACGAGGTTGTGCTGCACTGTGTCCCAATGGTAAGCTATTTTCTATCTCATCCTATTTATGTTATGTTAACCGTTCATTTACAGGCAGCTTGGCTACTGGACAGGGAACTCGGTACGCACAATACATTTCTTGTTAGCTTTCATTGTCTTACTCTTTTACAACAAGCTTCGTTCTCGCAGCAACTGAGCATCTTCATCGTCAAATAGCCAATATGAGTGGACGTATCCGCCAATTAGAAGACGCTCTTGGGGTCCTCCAGTCACACCATTCGACAGAACCCCACCCCCTCCTTCGTGACGACCTTCGTAGCGCGGATCAAAAGGATGAATTTAGCGCCATCACTCTCCCTGCTGATAACGCTGCTGCGGGACCGTCGAATCCTCCAGAGATTCTCGATGGATTTGGAACACTTTCCATCACTGATCACGGTATATCACGGTTTTTCGGTCCTACAGGCGGATCCGAAGTAAGTGTTCTATCCTTCTCACTCAGAAGAGATTTATTCATTCCGAATTTGATAGTGCTTGTTGATGGTGCGCATTTTACTTTTTGTGAGGCTGCGTTCATGCAACCGTCCCATTAGTCAGATAAAAACATTATCAAAAGTGACAGTACAGATGCTTCTAGTCCTGAATCCGAAAGGGATTCAATGAGCCCTGGATTACCGCAGTCATTTAGGATGTTTTCGCCGGCCTTCCCTTTCACCCCTATGGGCCCAACAGCAGCTATTCAGGAATTGATAGAAAGTCATCTACCACGTTTGGACCGGGCCAAGTACCTCGTGCAGACTTATTTCGAACAAGCTGGATGGCTATTCCACACAGTGTCTGAAGAACAAGTGATGGAGGAGTTACTCCCAATATATTACTCAAATAACACTGCGACGCCGCCGGACGAACCCAAAGGAGCTTATGATCTCGGTCTTCTTTTACTTGTCTTCGCTATCGGAGCTCTCGTGGACTTTAAGCAGAATGCCACCAGCCCTGAGGCTGAACACTACCATCAACTTGCCCGCGCTAGCATCTGTTTGCAACCGGTCTTGGAGAAGCCCTCCTTGACTACTGTTCAGGCACTTCATCTGTTGGGTGGTTACAACGCTATGAGCGGTAGTGAATTGGAGTTGACATGGTCATTGGTCATCCTTGCCGCGCATCTTGCCCAAACTGTGCGTAGTCTTTCCATTCATGTAATTCTCGCCTGATCAAAGGTCGTCTAGATCGGTCTTCGTATGTTTGTTCATGTATTCTCAAGGAACAGTTTAATCTCACTCCGTATCATAGATCGGGATAGTGCCAAGTGGGGTCTTCCTAACAAAGTCGTGCAAAGGCGGCGCATTGTCTTTTGGGATCTCTTCATTGCTGATGCCTGGGGTGTAAGCGCACCCTTCTCGTCCTTATGATGGTTTTATTGATATTCTCAACGCAGAGCTTAAACAACGGTCGCCCACCGACTTTTTCTTTAGCTTACATCGACTGTCGTCTCCCTGAGTTTCCAGGTTCTGCCGGAAATGACGGGGAACCTGATTATGCGGCTGCTGCTGCTGCAGAATGTGAGTCTATACGTATTGCTCCTGCCTTTACCCACTACATCTTTTGGTACAGTCTCGTCATGGGCTATTAGGTATGCGGCTGACTGCGTCGCAGAAGTCGCTACGCGTACGTTGACGGCTGAAGCGCCGAATTATGCGGTAATCATGGAAATCGATCGCAAAGTTCGCGAGTTTCCATTCCCAGATGTTCCGCCTTCGGCATTAGATATGTCTCCACCTCCAATGACACCTTCAATTCCTGAGGAACCACTGGTACAATCAATGGGCCGTCTTGTGCTGTCTCACTCTCGGGAAACTCGTAAGCAAACTGCCTTTGTACCCTTGGCTGTCGTGGCTGATCTGTTTTTCAGTACTACTTTACATTCATCGCAGTTTCTTTGCGCAGGCTATCATTGAGAACCCTGTGAATCCGTTAAAGAGCACATATGCCCCATCATTCCTGGCTGCTTACCGGTCGTCTCAGACGATACTGCGAACCATCCAACAAGCATTCCATGATCATCCTAGTCCCTGCGCTCGCTTTTGGACTATCTGGACTTTCGCATTTTCTGCAGCCGTAAGCATTTTGGGTCTCGACATTGATTGCGGCTGATAGCCAGACAGATCGTCTTTGGGACAATTATTACTCGAGGCCCACAATCTCCACTGGCGTCCAATGCCATGAAGGAACTGGATGGTGCCTGCCTTCTTTTTCAAAGAGCAGCTTCACATAGCAAACGTGCTGCTCAAGCTCTAGTCAGTATTTGTTCCTTTCACGCTTGTTACACTTTATAATGGAGACAATACCACAGCCAATCCTTACCAAACTGTGCGAGAAAGCGCACTTAGCCCTCGCTGCTGCTCAGAATGAACGGTCATCACAACAGCTCGGCCAGCAGTGGAGCGTAAAGGTGGAGCAAGATGATGATGAACTCGAAATCTTTGCTGGAAGAACTAGATTCGTTTCAGCTAAAAGACCTACAAGTCTCCCTGCAGACTATTCGGAGGCTTCTTCTAACAGCAACACGTATCTACCAGCTAGTTCTACCGAACAACAAAGCGCGCAAATATATCGCTCGGAGCCTGCAGTTGACTGGGCCTCGGACCGTGGTGGTCGTTTTGATATGCTTCATCCAAGCAATGTCACTGCGTCTAGTGCAAGCACTAACCTTTCGACCCAGCTATGGCGACAGTCCCAGAGCTCTGATTATCCTTATGCTCCTCCGCATCACGTATCTCATTCAGCTACATCACACGTGCCCCCTGTGCAACACGCTTTAGCACCTATTTCAGGGTCATCCACTTACTGGCCCCCGGCGAGCGAAACCTCGCAGCAATATAGTCAGCCTCCGCTTGCAGCTCCTCAGTCGCACGCTTATCAATACAACTCATCTTCTGCTGGCCCATACCAAGGCCAATCCAGCCGACCAATACCTACGGAGCTCACTGGACTTGGCCTGGTATCACAGGATTCAAGACTTGATGAACGTTGGACCTCCTTTATGCGGGATTCTGGTTATTTCGATGGTGTTGGGTTCAGATCACAGTGAACGGAAGAATTCTTCTTTGATTCTTCCGCAGCCTTTGTATCGATTTCGTTGTTAATTTGAGCATCGTCACCTTCTCATCTTTCTAGACATGTTCGGTCCTTCTTGGCGGCGGCTATTTTCCAACTATCATATCCATATTCCATGTGCAAGGCATCATCAACCAGATCACCAGTATATAGCAGTAGTCTTCGAAACACTTACCTGTACCATTTTTATGCCTTCCAGAGGGTGTATTTACATGCCATTTTATTACCTGTCCCTGTTCCGTTGAAGCATCTGATATAAGACACAGTTTTGATGCAAAAATGGCTCTAATCGCTCGACAATGAAGCATGAACTAGAGACTCTCTAGCCTTTAAGCTTTAGGCCTTTAGGCATGAATTCGGATAGGATACATAGACTATAGTCACCACCATCAAATCCCAGTGTGCCCTTCGTCAGGTACAGAGTGCCCGCGGACCACCAACTTGCAGTCGGTTGCGCAGTATCGCTATGGTGACCAGCATGAACTATCAGCAGAAAGAATCAATCAACAGTCTTGGAAACGAGCTGTCGGGGAAGACAGCCTGGGCCATCAAGAAGAGGAAAGACCGAATATGCAGGTTACTGCCGTTCAAAAAGCGCTGAGTCGAAAAAGAGATCATATTGTGATTACATAATGTTCCTTGTTTCCACATGGTAGCTTTGTTACTGCTTTTTGCTTCCAGTTCATTGCTAGTTTGCCTCACACATTCTCAATGGTATGACGATCTTTCACCTACCTCTGCATACAACTACGGTTCATCATTTCTATAGAATCCATCTTACCTAGAAATTCAGATTTATTCTGGCTTGGTTCAGATTCCGATGGTCGTGCAGATTTCCGTGCTGGGACCACGCCTCAGGGATCCTTGGCGTTCGAGAACATCATGCTGAGCTCGTGGCCGATTCTGACGCAGTAACCGCACCGCCCAGTGGAGGCTTATTGTCTCAAGTTCCATCTCACTCTAGATCTTGTTATATTCAATATCCAGCTCGGTAGTATCCCTGAGCGACGAGCGCGCACATACGGCTAGGGCGAGGGTCATGTCATGATCATCGGCATCAGACGTAGTGACCATCATCGTCCCCGCAAAAAAAGCTGACAACGACCATATGGGGCGATCTGTACGTCCCTCGGCGTACGGAAAAATCATCACCGCACCCATCGGGCCCGGGTGGGAAGAGTGGGGCCCATGAAGGGTTGATGCTCGAAGTGATGTTGATGGGGATGTGCCTAGTGCGTACAAACTAGCATCTGGTTAGAAATGGAGGCTTGTGCGGGAAATCAAGCCAAGCAGAGATGGCCGCCGCGAACAATAATAACATCCGGGTTAATGAAGTTAGGCAAAAGTACTAAGTATCGATCTGTCATACTAGTGCTAACACACCTTGATGATCGGCAACCCAGCCGCTGCGAGGGACAGTAAATGTTCAATACCATGGGGGAACACTTCTAAACCCTTCGATAATTAGCCAGAGTTGAATGATGGATGTCAATAACACTCTAAGCTAGATCTAAGAGGTCCGGTAGTATGTCTCCTTGAAATCTACTTCGGAGAACCAAATAAACCAAATAAATACCATCACGAAAGTAGGAATAAATAAAAGCAAAATCCCCTGCTCTTGATAGGACATCAGACAGCCGTTATAAACTTCATATATCAGTAGTAGTGTGAAATGGTCGGTCAAGTTTCACCAAGCCTTTTACACTACTACTGATAGTCGATATTATGTGCATGCGGTCCTGGAAAGCGATTGAGGATAGGATGTATGGCATCCAAGTCATTTTTGCCACCAGGAGAACTTGAACAGCCGCCGTAAGGGGAAGGACTGCAAGGGAACCAAGGTCAGACCTCTAGATAGCGGGAGGCTATGCAGCTACGACAACGCGCGAGGCTACGAGCCAGGACTCTTGCCACCGCGCCAGGACACTTGCTACTGCGCTCGGACCTACCTAGGTCTGATGGGACGCCCCTGCATACAGTAACAGTTTTGAGATTCCAAGCAGCCCGACTACTAGTCGTGCCAGTCTGACGTGATTCAAGAGTTGTATACACATGGGTCATGCAAAATTCCGAACGCCATATCAGCACGTCTTGTACACGTTTCTGAGCGCGGTTATGGCATAATTCCACACTGGATCTACTTTGACTCGACACCTTCTGGCTGGCTTAAGCTTGTCTACTTGTTTACTTACTAGTCTCTGTCGGTCTTTGTTGCAATGCTTCTATTTTTTCTAGCCACGCTCCTGGTGTCATTGCCCACAATAGTGTCTGCAGCCATATTTCCTCCTGACACTAGGGTCAAGATGCTAGATCCAAAAGGGTTTCGTAAAGCTATGAAGAGTAATGTAGGCGGCTTTGATTCTGCCCTTAATCTTAAGTAAAACTGAATATTCCCATTCAAACCACTTTAGATGACGAGTGTGGTTGCGTTTGTCGCCCCATGGAGCGGGGTGAGTTCCAGAACGATGGTTTCGTTTCAACTGACAAACAAGCACACCAGCACTGCCAACGGATGGCTCCCGAGTATAGCAAGGCTGCTCAGAATTTGAGTCCACTCATTCCGTTTTATGCAGTAGACTGCGATGCCGAGTTGAACAAGTGGTTGTGCGCGGAACAGGTGCACATCGCAATTACCCCTTGCTGCAGTCGTTTCAGACACTCGTTCAGGGTGTTCAACTTGAAGGGGTCCCAACCCTCAAAGTCTTCCCTCGTGGTGGCCGGACTGAGCCTGAGCCATACGACTCCAACGAACTTACTTCTGGCAAGTTCATCCGCTGGGCCTCGCGCTCCGTACCCAACAACGTGAAAGCTCTCCCGCATATCCACGACATGCCAATGTGGTTGTACAAGGTTCGGCTCTCAAATATCCAGCCTCTTGGCCTCATATGACCCGCGCATTCCTCACAGACGAGCGACCTCCCACGTGCCATCCTCTTGAACGAGGACAAGAAGTTTCCGCTGCTCTGGCAGGTCCTTGCGAATAACCACTGGAAGAAGATGGCGTTTGGCCATTATACAGACCCGAATGGCTTATTTGCGGTATCGTTAGGGTTCCCAGCGACTGTGGAGGGCAAGACGTCAAAGGTCATCGTGTATCCACCAGGATCCAGCGTGCCAATTTTGTATGAAGGTGCGTGTTTTACGTACACGGCTTTGATTACTTGACAAACATGACTGCTTAGGGATGACCAAGTATAAGCCGTTAACCGAGTTTTTTGAGTCCATCATGGTCAGACATGCAATGACGGAATTGTATAGGTATTACCTCTACCCTTAGGGAGTGGTGGGTCTTGTCGACTTTGTTTTTGCGGTAGATCGATTCTGAGAACCTTTTCTTTTTGCCCTTAAATAGTAGTCGTTTTCGCCTTATGTAGTACTCTCACCTTTAGATAGTAACTGCAGTCACTGGCTGTGTTCATCGAGCGGTCCAGGCCTTTTTCGGGCCTCGTCCGTACGATCACTTGCATCATGCTCCTCTGTCTCTATCCACCACTATGACCTTGATTTTCCCTGTATCTGTCGTGTTTAATCCAGCGTCGCGTTGTTGTCTTGTCTCCCTTTCAGTTGCTCATTCGCTCGGTCATTCGGGCATAGGTTCCCGGTTCACAGAAATTTTCACGGCTTCCTATTATGGCCGTGCGCTCACGACCGACGTCAAGTTTGAGATCTTGACTCGGATGTTTTGATTGGTTTGGATTGATTGGCATGGCGTACAATCGCTCGACAATGAAGCATGAACTAGAGACCCCCTAGCCTTTAAGCTTTAGGCCTTTAGGCATGAATTCGGATAGGATACATGGTCGCCACCATCAAATCCCAGTGTGCCCGCGGACCACCAACTTGCAGTCGATTGCGCAGTATTGCTGTGGTGACCAGCATGAACTATCAGCAGAAAGAATCAATCAACAGTCTTGGAAACGTGCCGTTCCAGAATCAAACCAAGTCGGGGAAGATGCCCAGGCCATCAAGAAGAGGAAAGACCGAATATGCAGGTTACTGCCATTCAAAAAGCGCTGAGTCGAAGTTGTCCTAATCCCTCGAATTATGTAATCAATTAATTGATATCGATTCCAAGCGCGCATCACAGTGTACTTATAGGTAGGTCCAATGCATACTACTAGGAGGTGGCATCGAAGGTGAGCGCAAGACGATGTCTAGTGTTGGAAGGACTCATCAGGATGAATGCGAGGGCATCCGTTACGCACCCGTTTGACTCAGCAGCCGAGTGAGCATCCGGATGTTTCAAATGCATACTCTTATTTTTACATAAAAACAACATCTGTAAGAGTCGGACTCAGATCTCTGAGTCCGACTATGAGAGATGTGCGTCCATTTTCTCATCGCATCTATGTCTTCGTAACGAGCTAACGTACACTTGGAATATATTTCTGCCTAACTCACCTCTCCCTGTACTACTACTCATTCGCCTCTCATCTTGTTATCTAGCATTTATTTACACTATCATCATTCGGGCCTCGTTCGGACCCAAATTTCTAGGTTCCTTCGAACGACCTAGGTTAATCAAAAGTCCGGACACCCTTGCGCCATTCACAATGAAAAGACCCCGGCCCGGACTCTGCTCGACATCTTCGTTTCAAGTTAATGTTGCAGCACTGCACTGCCCGTTGCACTCATCACTCGTTTCACATATGTACTATCACCCCACATGCATCGATGAGTGTTTAGTACTTTTAATAGCGCTCGTCATATTCATATGTAATCACACTTAGGCGCCGGTGACCCAAACCTTCAAGTCTTATCATATATCTCAGTTCACCACCCATCTTTTACTTGTCTAGAGTACCCCCTTCCAAGCTCTCGCTTTTTATCCATCAATGTGCGACAAGTGACTGCCACGTCAGCAATGAAAGAAAAATGAACAAAATACAAATTCACAGCAAGAGATAGAGGAAGAATAATGAAATCCATGCGGGCCGCGTGGTTGTGAATATGTGAGGGTAGTACCTTTGTTGCGTAGGAAGGTCCGAGTGATAGAGCAAGGTCATCATTTCAAAATTTGCCCCAATTCGGCCCCCTGCTCGGGCAGCCACTAGCCTACTAGTATAGTACAAAGTAGTAGTTTGTTCATGTTTTTCCCTCCAAGATTGTCGCCCATCAACCAATCATGAAAGAGGAACAACTGAGCAGTATCATGATGCGCCCACTACTTGCGTCGAGAGAGTGGACCTAGCCCTTTTATCTTCAACACGCCACATATCATAAATCTCTCCATACATCGCTGCGACTTCGCTACTTTGATCCAGAGAATATATTTTCCGAAAATCTCGTAAGAGAAGTGATGATAAAGCAATTCCGTAATCTACGAGATTTCAGACGGCACACTCTCAATACGTAAGGGAAGGGAAGATAAAACAAGTTTCTCAACCCATGAAATCTCAGACGACAGGCTCTCGGTAGTATTGGTGATGGCAAAACTTCGCTCTCTGTCTACCTGGTTTCTGGCAGCCTTGGTGTCGTCTTGTGCGGCACTCAATGCTGAGCTTGTCCTTTCAAACGCCAGGATCGCCCCCGACGGTTATCCAATAGAGTATGTTTATTGACCTGCGGTTGGTTAACATCTCATACCTGACAAAATTTTCCAGTGCCATTGTAGTCAATGGTCAAACCCCCGGACCAGTCCTCTCTGCACAGAAGGTAGTGGTCTCTTTATGCGACTGTCCCTACCAGGAAGATTTACTCCATTAAGGGCGAACGCTTTCAAGTGAATGTCACAGATATGTTGGTGGATGAATCGATGAATATAAGCACGACCGTTGTTAGTATCTTCTTGTATTCTGGGACGGCGCTGATTTCGCTCCAGCATTGGCATGGAATCATGCAGCATGGGTCATCCCAGATGGATGGAACGGCCATGGTGACCCAGTGCCCCATCGCGTCTGAGGATTCGTTTATGTATGACTTCACGCCAGCAAACCAGACGGGCTCATATTGGTGAGAAGTACGTTTTGCTTGACATATATTTATTTACTGCTCGTGTATCAGGTATCATTCACATTTCTCGCTCCAGTACTGTTGGTAACTTCATTCTTCACTGGTGCACACAAATCTCACTGTTGATGCAGGCGAAGGTGTGAGAGGAGCCTTGGTCATCTATGACCCAGAGGATCCCTACCAGAGCTTGTATGACTTTGATAACGGTAGGTCTAAACCTTGACTACATGTGTAGTTGAATGTGCTAACGACAACATAGCATCAACCATCATTACTCTTGTGGATTGGTAAGATCATCAGCACTTTTACTGCTTTGATTGAATCATCTGGTCAAAGGTACCACGTGAACGCCTATGACGTTGGCTTTACCGACAATCCCTCCTCGACTCTCATCAATGGTGCAGGGCGTTATCCAGGTGGTCCACCCGTACCTCTTTCAGTCGTGCAAGTCACGCCAGGAGTACGCTACCGTATTCGGTTAATGAGTATGGCATGCAAAACAACCTACGTGTTTACGATCGACAGCCACGTTTTTACAGTCATCGAGGCCGACAGTGAATACACGACGCCTCTGGAAGTCGACTCGATCCAAATTCTAGCCGGGCAACGGTACTCTTTCATCCTGGTTGCAAACCAGCCGGTCGACAACTACTGGATTCATGCGATGCCCAATTACGATACCACCTTTACAGGAGGTCTCCACTCTGCGATACTTAGATATGATGGTGCTCTGCCACTAGACCCCATCTACAGAAATTCCACTTCGAAAGCCCCTCTATTGGAACAGAACTTGCATGCGCTGGTAGACCCCGCAGCCCCTGGTGTCGCGGAGCTTGGTGCCGCAGACGTGTCGCTAAATCTAGAATCCGTATGGGATGACAACTTGAGGTTTCTCATCAATGGCTACACCTACACCTCGCCCTCCACGCCAATCTTACAACAAATTTTAAGCGGAAATTTGGACGTTTCTGATCTGCAACCATATGGATCGGTTTACACTTTGCCTGCCAACAAAACCATCGAGCTTTCTATCCCCGGCGGACAGCCTGAGGGACCGGTAGGCGATGCTAATACCCCTTTACGTTACGTCTCTCATGTACCATCATTCTAGCATCCTTTCCACTTACACGGGGTGAGTATCGCTTGTTATATCCTATTGGCACTCTAGTTCATGTATTGCACAGCACAGCTTCTCTGTGGTAAGAAGTTCTGGAACTGAGGTCTACAACTACGTCAATCCTGTACGACGCGATACGACGGGCAATGGTGAATCAGGTGACAATGTGACAATTCGCTTTAGAACCGACAATCCAGGGCCATGGATCTTTCACTGGTACGATCCTGAAACTATTATTGTAGCTGGTTAATTCAAATAACATCTTCTAGCCACATCGACTTCCACCTGGAACAGTAGGTGTTGTCTTGCCGCTAGGTGACTATCTGATTCAACTTCTTCAGGGGTATGGCTGTGGTCTTCGCAGAAGATACCAGTGATATTGCGTCAGGCCTGAACATAACAAGTAAGGCTCGGAACTGATATATTATATCCTGACTTTACTCATGGTTTCCGTAGGCTCATGGAAGCAGTTATGTCCCACCTACAACGCCTCGGCACCATCGCAACAAAGCGTGGAGCAGCATCGCCGACGTCATATAAAGCGCCGAATCGGTCACTGATTTTGTGTGCAGCCTTCGAATACCAGCATACCTTATTCGATTCATCACAACTAACCTGACGGGCCTCCCTATCTCTAGACCTTAGAGTTCATTCGTTTACAATTTCCTGCGCTATATCCCGCGCTTTTCGGTCCTTACTCCTGTTTGTTCTTGCTCCGTCACCATTCTATTTAAAGGACTTGTTGTTTACCCTTTGTCTTGTCATGGACGTGTCTTCATCATCTGCTTTGCTATCTCCATCTATCTTAGTTCCTCCCGTTTCGCTTGTTGTAACAGACCAGCAGATAATCAATGGTTGTGTGTCTGTCATATCCAGCCTGCCTCGAAGACTGTTCGAGTATCACGGAGTGTTGAGGGCGCGGTTTACCGCTGCTCAGTGTCTGTTCTGAGTTTCCGTCTTTTCGTTGCCAATTTTTCAATGATGGCTTCAATGTTTTGGTGTGCTCATTCACTGTCAGTAGGGAACTGCACGGGTAAACCCCCAGGTATTGGAGGCCATACCCGCACCCGCACCCGGCAAAAACCCGTACCCGCTCTGACGGGTACGGGTTTTCGACAGGTACAACAAGCTCAGACCCGTACCCGCACCCGTGCAGGGTTTACCCGTGGGTACCATAGGTATCACCGCCAGTGCTTAGCACATATGTCCAGCACACGTCAGTGAATGCTGACGTGACTCGAACATATGTGGATGGCACAAGAAGGAGGAGTGGAGGCACGGGCAAATTTGCTGGCGCGCGCTGGGCATTCGCGCATGGTGTCTGTCGCATTGGGAACGTCGCAAACTGCAAACGGTGGGCGACAACATGGATCAGCATGGCTCTTGCTCGAATGAGGATCGACGGACTCACAGTCTGCAAACGGTGGGCAACAACTCGGATCAGCATGGCTCTTGCCTGAACGAGGATTGATGGACTGACCAACTGTGAACAGTGGGCAACGACTTGGATCAGCATGGCTTTTGCTTGAATGAGGATCGACGGACTCATGAGAGCGTGCACTGGATGTACAAGAGGGTGGATTGGAGCCATGAGAGGGGTGCGCAGGATGTACGAGAGGGTGCGTGCGATGTATGAGAGGGTGGAGGTCTGAGAGGTGCGAGAGGGTGTGCCGGATGTACAAGAGGGTGTGCGGGATATGAGAGGGTGCGCGCAATGTATGAGAGGGTGCAGCGGAGGTCTGAGAAAACGAGCAAGGAGTAAAGACAAGCAAGAATAATCAAGGACAACTCACATGGCAATAGACTTCAGCTGTGGGACTTGACAATAGGTGTTGTGTTGAAGAAGATGGTCTGATAGTACCGGTTGAGTGTCATGGCGTCCTTTAGAATCTAACAAGAGCAAACAATATAACATAAGCATATGCGCCAAAGCGTCAAACAAAGAGTGCAAACCTTGACTGATACCCACAGCGCGGGTACGGGTAGGGGTAGGGGTATCATGATCTCAGACCCGTACCCGTACCCCAGTGGTACCCGTACCCGTGACCCGTGCGGGTTACCCGTACCCGTGCAGTTCCCTAACTGTCAGTGCTTGATACTTGCGATTATGTGTACAACCTGCTGTGTGTCCATCTGTGTATTGAAGATTGTAGTACTTAACTTGCTTTTGTCTGATCTGCTGTTTCTGAGATGTAACTTTACTCCTGAACTTCTTCCTGAGCCTTTTGTTCAGTTAAGCACATATACCATCAGGAAAACCTCCCCTGCTAATTTCATCTAATTATAAGTAATTCTCAATAATTAGGTGAATTTCAGATAACTAGCATTTTTAAGAGATTAGATGGATTATGTTACCCTCCCAATAATCCGTTGATAATGGTCGATGATTTTAATAATTTGAAGGTATTTGGAAGAATATCTGCCCTATTGTCTTCACAATGCAAAAAATGTGTTTGAGTTTACCATGTGTTTTGGTTAGGATAAGGCTGCTATTAGGATCCCAATCATGCTGATTTAATTGTACGAGAAGCAAAATATGCATTTGATTAAATCAGGGTATCTAGTAATAGGTAACATACTATGACTATCAAGCAGATGTATATGGCAGGTATGTCAAGCAATAAGTATATCAACAATGGCAGTACCAGTGAGCACGCCAAGTCAGATATGATTCTGTGAGGCTAGTTACATCAGCAAAAATGTGAGGTGCAACATAGCACTATGGATGCTACAGGGCGTCCATAGCTTGGTTGCAACCCCCCCCCTACATAGCGCTATATACCTCAGGTCATCTGATTTTTTGTGCGATATTGCATCCTGTACCTTGCACCTCAACTATAGAGCCATGCTATGTAGTACTCTATATCACTCCATAGTATAACATACCATGCAGCCAAAATCATAGCACAGGCAGCCCTTGAACAAATGGGAGCAATGCAGTCCATTTACTAGCACAATTTAAACAAATAGACAGTTATCCTACTCATGCTCGCCTTTGTTGTCACCATCAGACTCCTCCGTGGCATCACTCTCATTCCTGTCATTGCCTCCCTGCATATATTCCTGAACTGCATGCTCAATCTCATGATCAGATAGGTAGTCCCCATGTACAACCTCAATTGGATCCACTTTAGCATGTTTTCTGTAATGTTTGAGATGTGTGAAGACTAAATGATCGCAAGAGACTTACCTGCCAGTATCGTTGATTTCCTTGAGGATAGCGTCGAGGATCCCATGTTCTTTTGTTTGCGCATCTGTCATATCCCGTATTCCGGACCTACATCCGACAATATTCCCACACCTCATCCGGACCTTCGGACACCCTATCCATGTCTCCAGTCCTCTACCCATCCAGATCCCTGCACCTCTGCACATCCACATCTGCACATCCATGTCCAGATCCCTTTACCTCCGTACATCACACCTCCATACCTCCGCAGCTAGCCTGCATCATTCATCCTTTGTCCTATTGCCCTAATATCATATCCCGTATATCCACGCTTCTTGTCCGGACATCCGGTCCGGTCCGGTCCGATCCGATATACGATAAGCTTCCTAATTCAATTCCTGTGCATATAACGTTGACACAGCCTATTCCTCTATTCGGTATTCCTTGTCCTCGGTATCTCGGTTATACTTACTACCGGTACGCTTACTGATCCATTAACCTATGCTTCATTTCCGATTCGCGCTTGATAACTTTGCTTATGCTTCATACATAGCCTCGGACACTTGCTTACTGATCTTTCCGTTATTTCCTTAGTATATAAACTCTTGTATATGTCCTGTAGTGCCTCAGTCTGAATATCATATTAGTCCTCGCACTAGATCTCACTCTAAGTCCTCACAACAGTTCTAGTCTATCGACTCAGTCAATATCCATCTCAGGCCTAGGGAGAAATTCCCTAGGCCAGAGCTCCGCTTATCCGCTCATCCGATCCTCCGAAGTTTCCGGACGTTCGTCCGAAACTTTCCCGCAGTCCTCCGGACCTATTCTGCTTCGGACTTTGTCCTTGCAGCCTTTCCTCTGTTTGCTTCTACTTAGGACTTGTCCTAAGTAGCCATTACACGTATCCGTATCAGGACGAAACCTCATCGTGATTTCCGGAAGTTCCTCCGGAACTTTCCCGCACTCGTCCGGAAGTTACTTGCACTCGTCCGGAAAGTCCTTCCGAACTTTCCTGCGCTTCGGACATCCTTTGGACGTCCTTGGACTTTCTTCGGACATCATTCTGAAATTAAGGGCACATACTCGGGTAAGGGGCGCAGCGCACGAGCTGAAGCCAAGCCCCTCGGAATCAGTCCTACCCTTTGTGCACGGTCTTAACAGCATCAAACTTCTTAAGATTGGCAACATGCTTATCATATACCTCTTTGTACTCGCCGCCTGAAAAACTGATATCAGTCCGCTTGCCGTCAGCCCATTCATCGATACAGCATTCTGCCTGCAGCAAATCATGTTAACATGTAAATATACCAGTGAACCTGCATGACTCACTGCAGTATATAACAAGGCCAGTGCAGGAATGGGAAACGGACTGAAATACTTATCAAACATGATCCCTTCCTCCCTCTTGTTCTGGTACCAGATCAAATTAGCACCCTTTTGATTCAACCTCATTCGAAAGAGGCCACTGCGAGGGGTCTTGCTCTTTCTGTCTCCAAGGTCCTTCAAAACTAATGTAAGTATGCGACAGGATGCTGGACATAGTCTACTCACACAGTAACATAGTCCAAACTTATCCTTGAGGTCACATACGAGTCGGCGATTCTTAGCCTTGACAGATTCCCTGGTGCTGCAGTTGAACCCGTAAATGCTCTCCACAAGAGGTCGAAGCTTGGCTTTCACCTCACTTGTGAGATGCGACGTGCGACAGGTAATCTCGAACAAAAGATTAGGCAACATGAATAACACAGACAAATTTAAATTAAATACCATCTGGATGATCTTGCCATTGAATCCTATCTCAATGTCAAGAGAGACACAGGCCTCCTTCCAAGCTTCTTTTGCCCATGATACTTGAGTCATGCGATCTGGATATGCATGCTCAGATGCAAGCCATCCATGAAAGTCTCCAATCGCGAACTTGATAAGTTGCTGGACTGCAACTTTGTAATCACGAGCTGCCACACGTCCTTTGCTCTTGCATATCTTGCATGGGAGCCGCTGGTCATGGTGCTGTGGGGAAGATGAATCCTCAGATAGGTCTTCGGCATTGCATTTCCGTTTGCAGTTGAGTGGCATATCACACTCATTGTCGGAAGATGACAGATAGCGGCCTGCATCCTTGTGAGAGTCTGCAAAAATATTCAGTGGCTATTCAAGTGACCGAACAGTACCTACACTCATCATCAGAGACATTCCGGTCCATGTATGTAGTCTCATCTGCAAAGTCATTGACATCAGCATCTCGAGTATCAATGAAGTCTCTGTCGCCATAGTGCTCCTCCTGTTCATTGTCGCTCAGGTTATTGTTGCAGAGCATCATTAGCTCTTTTGCCTGTGCAGCTGTGAGCTTGCAAGTGCCCATTGGCATCTTGACAAAAATGAGTAGATACGCAATGTTCAATAACTTAGTGACTCATAGTATTCACATGTCCCTGCCTATGCTCATTACGAAGGCTGCCGACAGCCTGAGACTTACTAATGTGACCATTGATGAAACCAGAGTCCTTAAGTGACTCCTCATCAGTTCAGGGCAACATTTATATCATTTTTGACATCACCTGGGTAAGAGTATCCTCACTCCAGCCACCAGACAGTCTTCGTGAAGTGGGGGTAGGTTGTGGTGGGACCTTGGTGAACCAAGGCTTCAAACTGAGTGGATTGACTGTCGCACTTGCAAGTGGCACATCTTCAGCTGTAAACTACAAGCCGGTGAGAGTAGCTAGTAGACTGACAGATCAGCATACCTGACTTCCATCACTGCTGTGCGGCTCCTGATTCTTGCGTGATGTCTTGGTGTTCTGCAAGAGGCCCTGTCGGCGACCATCACGCTCTTGCTGTTCCTCGACTTAATGTATTGCGAGTCAGATTACAGATGAAATTTGAACTGTAACACATACCTTGGTACAACGCTCTCTCTGAAGGACGGCATTCACGGCGCTGTCAAGCTATTCCTGTAGGAGGCATGATTGATGAGCGAGTCAAACAAATGGCCAGATTAAGATGATAAGGTGATTAAAAAACGGCAGATGAGGTTATCAGGAGGGACTCACCTTTTATGCGAATCCAGAGGGCAGATCAACACACCAGCTGTTACAAGTAACATCGGTCACGTGGCCCCCCTATCATTTTCCCTTCATCCTCGCCGTCACCATCTACTGGCTTGCACTCCTTTACCAGATATCCGTTGACCAGATTTTTGGAACCGTCCTCGTCCCTTGTCTCCACCCCCTCCTAGACCTTATCTCTGATAACGCACCCATGTGCACACGTGCCTTGGCACTATGACTTGTCGCGACTCATGCCACCAATGTGGCTTTCCTTTCCTGTTCCCTCTGACTCGCACCTGCTGTGCATTGTATCATTAACTGTTGGCTTGGTCCAACGTTCCTCGGTCTCATTCTGCATTCGACCTCCCATCACTAATCAGGCTGTGTTGCCAGCGTACCTATACCCTTTCCGTTTCCCCTTTACCCTTACCTACAGTACATCAGGAAAACACCAACTTACTTAATCACGACTTTTTTGGACTTTTTACTCCTTTTTCAAAAATGAGTGGGCTTTTTTTCTTTTTTTTTCTTAATTCACTGCCTGATCCAAATTTATGTGTTCCGATATGTTTTATCAACTTAAGAGACATGTTTAAAAACATAAAAACAGAAATTTGTTACCAGTAAGTGGCACAGAGTGCTGATTATGTTTAATTATGTTTATTTTCAAATCCTCTCCTGAGGTGGTAATCTTTACAAATTGTGAACTCCAACTATTGCAACAGTATGAAATATTAACAATAAACTATTCCTGATACTCAAGTTGGGACCAGGCAGTGAATAAAGAAAAAAAAGGAAAAAAAGCCCACTCATTTTTGAAAAAGGAGTAAAAAGTCCAAAAAAGTCGTGATTAAGTAAGTTGGTGTTTTCCTGATGTACAGTAACCCAGCCCTCAACCCTTTCCACCTAGTATAAGTAGTCGGTCATCTTGTATTAGAATCCCTAACTTGAATCTACTCAATCTTCCCTCGAAACCACTTCCTTCAAGAGCCTCTCAGCTCTTGTCTCTAGTACGACTTTCTTAGGTGCTCGTTGCACCTAAGTCTACCTCGATCGACGGTCATTGTTCGGACAAGACAGTCCTTACCTTGACTTCTGTGACTTCACGGACATCCGTCCTAGAAGTCACATGACACGCGCGTCTGTGATATCTGCCGACTCGTCGTCGCCAGTCTCACTTGCTATACCGGATCCTTCCGGTTACGTCACGAACGTTAGCGGACGACGCCCCTCTTAGGGCTCTGCATAACAGACCTATTTGAGTGCGTAACACCAGCTAACAACAGAAAACAAATCAACAGACTGATGCAACGCGGTTGTGAATCAACAACACGGTCATGCACAGTCACAAGCAGGAGTCACACCATACAAAAATTTGCAATGATGATCTGCATGGACCACCATGATAATAATTCTGAGACATGAGTGAAATCAGCTGAAAGATGTGATAATTGGATTTTTCGGGAATGTACGCACCTCTGCAATCAACTGGTATGATGCACCGCTGCAATTTCTGCCTCAAGGCAAACTTCAAATCTATATGAGCAGTTAGCATTCATATTGCCAATACTCCAGGATGCAGGCAACACATGGAGTCATTCCGGAGGCATACCAGCAGCAAACAACAAGGTCACTCACCAGCTGAAGAAGATGTGGTGCCAGATTATGAGGGGAGTTTTGATGGTGTGGCGGAATCCCTTATTGATGCTCCATGGAGGGAGCAGCAGCCTTATGTTGAAGAGGTGGAAGACGAACACGATGTGTGGATGCGTTATATTCAGTCATACCCAGGTCAAGTTGCAAAGACACTGGGCGAAGCTGAGAACATGTTCCGCACCATCAGAGCTGAACAAGAGGCTCTGGGGCTAGATCCGTGGGCGCCCTTTGCAAATGAGGAGGAATGGCATTTGGTGAAATGGTTGATTGCGAGGGTGGGTCAGACGGCCATTGATGAGTTCTTGAAACTACCCATTGTGAGTTCTCAATTTTGAAACAACAACTAAGAGAGACTTACACATGGACATGAACAGGCTAGCCATATGAACACTTTGTTTACTAGCAAATATACCTTAATGAAAGCCGTGGATCGGCTTCCACAAGGGACCAAATGGAAGTTGAAGAAAATCACTGTCAAGGGGAATGTGGTCACCAATGGTGGTCAGCATGAAAAGGAGGAGCTCGAACTGTGGTTACGGGACCCTGTAGACTGCATTCGAGAGCTGATGGGTAACCCACAATTCAAAAACATGGTATCATACGCACCAGAGAGAGTTTTTGCAGACGAGGAAGGCAAGACACGATGGTTTGATGAGATGTGGACTGGTGATTGGTGGTGGGAGATGCAGGTCAGATTGTTGCACAACTACTATAGCTATAAATTGACGTACTAAATACATTCTGACAGGGAAGGTTGCCAGAAGGTGCTGTGGTTGCACCAGTGATCCTCGCCTCAGATAAAACATCACTGTTGCAGTTTCGCGGTGTCTTAATAACCGAGGGTCTTATATAAAGCGTGTAAGAATGTAATGACACCACAATTACACTTGGATAAGACTTCTTGCCAGTCCTCGATTAACACGGTCTACAACTTTTCTAGTTTTCGTGGTAGATAACGTGTGAGTTCTTGGGAGGCTTGCTAAACCAATCAGGTGATCAACTTAGCCGGAGCTTTTATGTGTACCTCCAATTGCTTTGTCTAGGATTTGCTACCTAGATTCAGAACTGTGGTCTGAAGTACAAATAACTTTGCCTAGATTGCACGTTCTAGGCACTGAAATGAACTGGGTAGATTTGACCAAGGCACGAGTTGATCAAATAGGCACGAATAGGAGTAGAGACAAAGGGGTCTCTGTAATATCACGTTGACCAAAGACTGGTTGGTCAAATAGGCACAAATAGCACTGGTGAGACAATGGTCTCAAGAATAATCATGTTGACCAAGGCACAAGTTGGTCAATTAAACAGTAAAACAGGAGAGACAACAGTCTCTAAAATCACATGGACCAAAGACTGGTTGGTCAAATAAACAGTAACGTAAGCTTCTTATCGTAAGAAACTTGTATTCTCAAGGGATACATTTCCCTGCACTTGTTCTGCTACAAGTGGGAGATCTTAACAAGTGAGATGTCTTGTTCAACTGAGGGGGTTTCTCTGAGAAGAAAATTTCCTAGAAGAGGGATCTCTATTTTTTTGGGGGAGAATGGGCTCTCCTTATATACATTTTGTGTGGGAAAGTAATGTAGGTTCACAAACAATAAAATAAAGAGAGAACCAATCAGAATATTGGGTGAAACCCAATAAAAGTATAAAATACAAATAAAAGATGGAGCAATGACATCAGAGATGACATCATAGTGGAGCTAGAATATTCTAGAGCCTATGACATCATTATGACTTCATACATTACATCATAATTTCCAACAGAATAGTCTAGAACTTTCTGTGGAGCTATATGACATCATTATGACATCATACTCAGAAATAATATTTTCTGGAGTATCTGGTAGGTCATAGCATCCTAAATAAAAGAAAATAAAAGAACAATGCTAGAGAAAACAAGATACAAACAATGATACAAATACAATATGCAAGACACGGGCTTTTTAGATAGGTTTTTGTTAGGCTTTGAGCTTTTCTCAATGGTTTTCTCTAGCCAAAGTGAATAAGCCAAAGGTAAGGCAATACCTTAACCTTCATTTTACTTCACATATAAACTAGGTCATTCTGTGATTCCCATTTCACATATGACTTTTTCTTCTTCTTCCATATAAAACTTGAAATATAGGACCGAGGTTTGATACCAAGGTATGGGGTGACTAGTCTGAGGACTGTGCTAACAGACATAATCTTTTGAGGGTTATTCCTAGTAGTAGTTATGTCCATGCATGATTCCCGTATCATGCAGGACAGCGGCAATCAGGAAGTATGGCCTGTCTACCTGACACTTGGAAACATCTCCAAAGAGATCCGGTGTCAGCCATAAAAACACGCAGCTATCCTAATTGCTTACCTGCCTATCTTGAAGCTGGAGTGCTTCACATGAGACACCCGTTCAGCTGAACGTTACTGCCTATTCCACTACTGCATGACACAGGTGCTGGGCAGGATGGAGTTGATATGACTTGCCCTGATCAACAAGTCAGGCGGATGCACCCCATAGTAGCTGCATATATTGCTGACTTTCCAGAGCAGTGTCTGGTAGCATGCTGCATGGAGAATTGGTGTCCGAAATGCACTGTTGGACGTGACCACCGTGGAGATATGAGACCATCTGCATCCCGCAAACGAGATTCGATGGTCAAAAACTTGTGGCTGCACTCTTGGGGTGAGCTGAGTGGGGAAATATTTGAGAGTGAGCTAGGTCTACAAGCAATACACGCACCTTTCTGGGCCACTCTCCTGCACAATGACATATTTCAATGTATGACTCCCGACATCCTACACCAGTTGCACAAGGGTGTCTTCAAAGATCACATCGTTAGTTGGTGCATGGACATCATTGGAAAGGACGCACTCGATGCATGGTTCAAGTCAATGACATCATACCCAGGCCTGCGTCACTTTCAGAAGGGCATATCAAAATGAAAACAATGGACTGGAGCTGACTATAGGGAACTGCAACATGTATTCCTTGGTGTGATTGCTGGAGGAGTTGAGAATAGGGTGATTGCTGCGGTGCACGCTGTGTTGGACTTTGTTTACTATGCCCAGTTCCAGTCACACACAGAGAAGACGCTGAGCCACATGCAAGCCGCACTCACCTCATTCTATGCCAACAAGGACATGTTCATCGAGCTTGGAGTGCGGGAACACTTTAACATCCCGAAGATTCATTCAATGATTCACTACGCCGAGTCTATTCATTTGTTTGGGAGTGCAGATGGATTCAATACTAAGCTTCCAGAGCAACTTCACATTGATTTTGCCAAACGAGCTTACTGTGCAAGTAAATGACGCGATTATGTCATACAAATGACCACCTGGTTGCGACAGCAAGAATCTCTGCAAATTCAAGACACATACTTGCAGTGGTAGGCATCCCAATGTGCTGCTGATGAGGATTCAGCTGCCAGTGAACATGATTCAGCTATCAGCAACTTGGACTCTGACTCTCCTAGTGACCCTGGCACCCCAGAGCTGTTTAATGTCATGCCTCGTCAGATACACCGCTTCACCATGCTGATGGCCACACGTGGCTACTATCTCCCAAAAACTTGCCATTTTCCCAATACGCCAATTCAACGCTTGATTGACCACCATGGTGCCTCACTATTTATCCCTGCTCTCAAATCGTTTATCCGTGAGCACGCCCCAACCATCCAATCACATGGAAATCTAAATCTGCAAGAATGCATTGATGTCTACAAATATATAATGGTCCTCTTACCAGCTCGCCCCCATGTCAGCAACTCCAAATGTTTTTTCAAGGTCTGTGCATCACCAGTGGTCGCATCCAAAGACCCAAGGAAGCCGCTGGTACCAGCAAGATTTGACACTGCGCTGTTCATCGAAGAAAGAGCTTTATACAATGGCAAGGGGATATCAGGTGAGTAATCTTGTCTTATGTTGCCCATAATTTTCTGACTGGAGTCAGGGCTTCGTGTTGGAGAGATCAAGGCCATATTTACCCTTCCTTCATGTTTTGGTACATTCCCGCACCCCCTCCTTTATATTCATTGGTTTCGGCCGCTACAGACTTTCGATAACGATTTATGAACCTTCCGGCTGGTTAGATCGTCACGCCAGCACCAACTGAATGCTGTAATTCTGCCGGCTGATCTACTGCTTCATCCGTGCCACCTAATTCCACATTTCAGTCGCGAGGGAGTCATTGACAAGCCGGAATAGTTTTATCTGAACAAGTATATTGACCTAGAATTATTTGAGCACCTCTCATGAGCATTTTTTGTTGCAATTGTATTTTCAGCTATATTGCTATGATTGTGAGCGCATATGATACAGGATGCTATGTAGATGATACAGGGAGCTACATAGTGACATGTACCTTAGTTATATGCTATATTGTGCAACTGGGGCCATGTAGTGCTATATAGTGTGAGTGGGTGCAAATGGTACTTGACCTTTTTGCTGATGTATCATCCATCCCATCAAGATCGAGTAGCTCAAAGGCTATGTCTTGCTCTGCAGTATGTTCCACACCACCAGTGTACTTCAAATGCCTGTGGGTCCGAATTCAACATGCAATAAACAGCTTTGACTCAAGCAAAACTCACTGCACAGCCTCATAGATATCAGCCATCATGCGATGGAACTTCCTCAGCACTGTGTCCTTCATATTTTGCAAGAATTTGACATGAAAAAAGTAAGTTTCACTGAATTGATTGCCCGAAAAGTTAAACCTTGCTGGCGAACCCATTGGCTTCCACACAAGTGCTGCATACACCTTGAAAAAAAAATCATATGAGTATGAATTTGAGAAGAAGAGGAAAGAAATACTACAGTCACTATGAGAGCCACCAAAGGGATGGGAACCTCTGGACATTTTGTGTTGTTCTCAGCAAGGTCAGTGAAACACTCTGCAAAACAGACACCAATGGACTGAGAGCCATTAAAATGCGGCTGAAAATCTTGAGGCAGACTGGTTTGTGAATATGGTCATAGATGTCATATTCCTTAATGGCCTTCACCTACACCTGAACATGCAGAATATCAACACTGTGTTCGGTCTCGCCAGGGCTGCAGCATTCAATGCGCTCAGTTGTTTCAGACAAGATATCTATGAGAATATTGATGCCTCTGCAGAACAATTCTGTGACCAGTACAGCAGAATAATTTGAATGATCAAACTTATATGACATGACAATGTGAAGAAGGAGAGGCTTATGCGGTTATGCAACCTCATCATTACATGTAGCCAAGAAATACTCGGGCTTCTTTAGTACTGACTATGTAGTTAGATATCTATTGCCTTAATATATACTACCATATATTTACAAGTCACTATCAGTTCTCAGTTACAATTTGATCGCAGATCCATCGAGCATCAAGCTGCCTTAGGATATTTCAACAGACTTACTAGTAATTAATATAATTAGCCGCATCATGAGAAATTCAGCTAATTCAGATAATTCAGATAATTTGGGGATATTTAGGACAGGAAGGTTTTCCTGATGACATGCTAGCTTTCTCTTGTGCTAAACACTCTTAAACACTAGACTATGAATAAAGAATAAGACATGACTATGCATCTCTGTGTGTGCAACTCTTTTGCTAGCATTCATAAAGATAGACTTGAGTTTAAAGGGGAATAGTAGTTAAAAGATGAAACAAGAGATAGATGAGATGAGAATTGGAATAGACAACTTTGTAAGAATGTGACTTTTGAGATCTTTGAGACTCACTAGAATGCTCACTAAAATACTGGCTAACCAAAAATTCTAGATGAATTTGGCCAGCATGACCAATTGAAGCTTCAATACCAATACCTCCTGCTTGCAAATATGTCTACTATTCTGCAAGACCATCCAGTAGATGAGGGAAAGGTCAAGCACATGAGTCCAATCCAAAGATCATCATTCACTAGACCTGACCCTCAAATCTTCATTATATGGGTACCCTGGTGTAATGAGACAACAATTGCTGAACACTACACGAAGTAAGTAATCAGCAATATAAAAGTTGTGGTCTGACACAGCCTAGTCTGCTATACTTGCAAGACAAGTGCATTCGACCTGAGGGGTTCGCTGTAAGGTATTAGAATAATTAGTTATACGAAAAGGAAGATAGTCTGAAGCGTGGGAAACAAAGTCCGAAGGTAAAAATGTCGGGTCCGATGTTTTCGGGTTTCAGGTTAGCGGGTTTCGTCGGGTTACATCGGATTAGCGTCGGGAATGTAACGAATGTCGGGGATAGTGGGTTACTGTCAGTATTTTCGGAGTGTTTTGGATAATGAAAGGATGATATTTGCGGAATTCAACCAAGAACTATGAATATCTAATGACCTCCTCCTACTCAGAGGTAGAAAGGTAAATAAGTAAGTAGGAGGCATGCGAAATATATAGTGTCTATGTAGAATTTTGGAGTGCTATAGGTGAAAGTAGTAGCGGTAATTTCGGGTCCGATGTCCTATGTAATAAGACATGTGGTACTGTGGACATGTAATAATGCGGTCTACTGTGTTAGCGATGTGAAAACAGATAACTGCACACCTAGTGGGGATAGATATGACAGGACAGGACATAGGGAGGACAAGTGCACGGGAAAATATCGGGTCTGATGCGTGGGAAACACTGGGTCCATCGGATTAGCATCGGACTACATCGGGTTAGCGTTGGGTTAGCGTTGGGTTAGCGGATAAACATCGGATTGAGTGGGTAAGTGTCGGATAATATTGGGAAGTGATTCGAGTGTTTGACATGCATTGGGAATTAGCTGAATACGTGCTCAGCATGAGCCTGAGTGCTACACTGGTATAACATATCACCACTCACTCTGTGGATGTCTGCATTATATTCTACAAGAACAAGAAATCTTTCACTACCTCTAGAAGTATATAGTGAGATGGTCACATGGGAGCTAGACAAAAGGTGTGAATCTCAGTATTTGAATTGAAACTCTATACTAAAAAATCATGTACTTAGACAAAAGGTGCGACTATATGACATTAGACTTGCAGGTAAACAATACAATCTAATAACTCACATCTCAGTATTTGGATTGAAACTGAGATGTTCAAATACTGGAGCTTGGGCTTTTAATGTAAGTGCCTAGGAACATTGATATAATATAGAATGAAGTGAAACATTGCAGGGCATGAGCTGACATCAACATATTGCTTGTCTTGGCCCAGTTTGGATGTGCTCGCCTTCTACACCTCTTCTTATGCCTGTTCTTCAGCCGTTGTGTTCTTCTCTGTCTCAGATCTGTCAGATTCCAATACTACTAACAATAACAACTCAAGGGAGCATATTTGTGGGAAAGACAAAAGAGAGATCTACCAAGTATTAGTTAACTTGAAGCCCATCTTTGAGAAGGACACTGAGTATTCAGTATCATATGCTGAGGAGCCGAAAAATTTAATCTGGCCATTAACAATTGTGTAGCTATGTAAGTTGTTTCTACTATTCATAATTCATAGCTACTGATTTAATTATTCAAAGTCTCAAAAAATTGTTCAAGGAGCAGCTTGACAAATTCCATCAGACTGGTGCTAGCATCACTTCACTTAATGAAAATGAGGTTGCTAATCTATACAGTAAGTCTGTTTTTTTGCTATTTTTTTTGTATTTGATTTACCTTATTTGATTTTCAGAGCAAGTATTAGTCAATTTTCTGTGGTATGATCTACTGCACCTCTTTCTATTTTCTAACCCAACATGTAGCATCAAAATATTCACCTCCCAGCCGGTAGTTGATCATGCAGTAGACTTCTATATGCTCATTCATCCATGTAGAGGGACTGGTCCCTTGGCTCACCAATATGCTTCTAGCCCTCAGCCCCCCCTCCTTCACACATTTCAATCCTTTACAGCACCTTCTCTCTCTCCTGCAGCACCCTCAAAACTATCTGCTAACGTACCCCACTGACGGACTCGGCGAGTGAGCTTTTGCCCACTGAAATTCAGGTTAAGTGTAGCTGTAGACGAGGGACGTGACAAAAAGACGGATTTGGTCGCCAATTACAATGATGGATGGTAAGGCGATCAACGCATCAGCACTGGAAGGTAACGTGAGCGATCCGAAGTTATAATCAAATCCATGATCACTCACCCTATGGATCGGAGGTCAGCCATCATCTCCATAAGTTCCCTGAACCTGCGGGCATAGTCGGTGGATGATGTATCCACTTCCTCCCATGTATCTGCAGGGCTCGATTGAGACTTCCGTCGAGGCTGCTCTTTTGCGTGATAAGTACACAAGTTAGGGAATCCTTCAGCTTCAGCGAATTGTCGTATTCCAGTTGCAAGAAGTGTCACTGGATGTATGTGACCTCATTGTAACAGCACATAAGTAAGGACAGGCTAACCTCGATCCGGAGCAATGCGAGCATGTTCAGGGATAAAATTGCAGCAAAACCCCCGATATGCACGGTGCTACAAAGGCTTATCAGACGCAACAGTACGCAGTGACCAGTCACGCAGACCTTCAGGAGATTGGTGTGCGTAATATTGAAAACCTTCCAATAAGACTCACTCACAAAATGTAAAGCATACCAAGTGTGTGATCTCGCGTGTTTAGCAGAGTCGACGGATCTTGGCTACCTGGTAAAATGCTGGCCAGTAGGACTTCTCTGACATCTTTGGATGCGCAACTCCCCAGATATTGGTTTAATTGGGAAGGACTTGACGTTGAAGTCATGGTCGCGACAATAGAGGTGGCACTGTGAGTTCCCGACGCATTGCCTACATAAGATCGTGGAGCAAAGTGTGATCACGATCCAGTTGGATGACGAACATTTTCGGTTTTCTCCATAGCTCCCCCAGGAACAATCCTGAACACCTTTACTGCGACCTGATTGATATTAGATGGACGATTGATGAGCTTGGGTAAGTGGTCAAACAAACCTCTGTTGTGCCTTTGCTGTTCTTGATGGCAAGCCAATACACGTCGCCAAAGGATCCGGATGCACATGGATGTGCGAGCTTCAACTTCTCAGAAATCCAAGAGAGAGCATTTGCTGAGGGAGAGGTGATATGTCAAACATGTACAAATAAGGTAGACGAGCGTCAATCGTCCATGTCATAGTCTAACGATCCTGAATGAACTTACTACAATATAATATCAATGTCTTTCCAATCAATACTTTCACTTGTTGAGCACAGTAATTGCACTGATTCCGCCTTTCCAAATCAACCTACCTCGGTGTTCAGCATTCGATAATGTTCCGGCATGAATGATCATCGACCTATAATACCTCTCGCTTGGACTGCTATTCGTGCTAGTCCCGTTTGTATTAGCTGAGGGTCTCTTCACTGTCCACCTTGTTTAACAATTATTTGAGCTTCTGCTCTGGGTCGAGTTTTCGCGACAAGACCATCTGTTCTGGAGCTTAGGATTTCCCCGCCCTTCCTCTGATATCGAGGCGGGACTATCTGAGCAATAAAAAAAATCACCTCATATCATTCTCAACAATTTCACAATATGAAATGTAGCGGTAGAATTCGTTGGAGGCCGAGTTCCGAAACAGTTCTCACTGTAGGATTGAAATGTAAACGCGGTGTCCCCACAAATATGGATCCAAATTGTTAGAGTTATTGTATTACGTGCTGAAAATTGCATGATGGTAGTTTTTGTGAGCTGATTATGCCTTCCAGTACTCGCCGAAACTTTCACAAGCAGGATCGCATTTTTAACACATTTTTAGCGTGTTTGCCGTTGCCATTGACGTGGATGAACACGCAAGGACACACCGATTGTTACATCAAAAAATTACGGCTACGGCTAGTTAGTTATGAGTGGAATAATGTTCGGTTGAGGATACCTGTTAAGAACTCGCTAACTCGCTAATACACAGTCGAGAAAATGGTGGTCTGAGAACTGAGTAACTAAATAATTGAGCGATTAAATCGTGACAATTTGGGAATGCCAGCTACCGGCTGGAATGATCGGACCGAGATAAGCTCCATTCTGAAAGTTCGTAGTAGTCATTTGGTATCAGTAACCTCTCACAGTCCCAACTCTCCCCCCAAACCTCATTGTGATGAAGGCTTTAAGTCCTAGCCCCGTCGAAAACGCACGAACCTTCAACATTGTGCAGGTAACATCAGTGCCTTGTACACAGCGGCCGTCTTGGTTCGTTTGAGATCTCGCTTGAAGTCAGTGACTTGATTTATGGGCTCTCTCTTCTCCTTCATGACACTAGGCTGGTGCTGGAGGTGACTCAATCAACAATCCTGATAGTGATATGAATAATGATCCTTATGCTGATGCTGATGATGATGATGGTGATGGTGTTTTCTATGCCCCTCTTGGCAATGCATTGGATGTATTAGATGGAGACTTTAAGATGCATGATGGTAACAACATTGGACAGGAGTTCAACTCCTCCTAGCATTGTTTCATCAGCCTTGATAATCTTCCAAAGGTGGTGGGCTACAAATAGCAATACATAGCTTCTCTGTCTTACCCTCATATAGACAAAAACTCTTTTGCTTTTCTACAAAAGGTACAAATACCTGTATATTAAAGTTGTGCAGCATTCAGTTCTGCCTTGCCTAGCAGCCTAGCACTGTACAAACCTACATCGTCTAGAATTATGCATAGCTACTCCTCTCCCTCAATCATGAGACCCTTATTGCTCTATGTCTTGTCTGACTATTATGTGTCGTCAATAGTATTCCAAATGTTCCTTTCTATGAAGCTCAAAATGCTGTGAGCTTAAATAAGAAGAAGACTTCAATGGTAGACATAGAAGGCTCTTTACCTCACAATATATCTTTGCCCTCATTCTAAATCTTGTTTCTTTAAATATCCTATACCTTGTCTGCATTTCCTGTGCTTTCTGCATCTTTGGCTGCATGTTTCTGCATTTTTGATAGCCTCAGATATATCCCTGCACCTCACATTTACCTGTCTGCTATTTTCCCATGCTTAGGTGCAGTCTAGACAATGACTCACCACCATGCCTACTCATAGGTCCACTAGAAGGGCACAATATGCTATTGTCATGATACCTAATCAGGATAGTGATAGTGAAGATTTCTGTGAAGGAGATAGCAAATGCAATTCACCATCAAAGTTTTCTCTGCTCACTTTTGTTTATCATTCAATGACTATGGGGAGAATTTTGCATATATAATTACCTAGGTGTTCTTATCTGATGATGACAGTGATGCAGAATGCTGGGTCCTGAAAAATATACCTCCAGAAGGCACTAAGGCACTGCTTTGCTCCCTTGCTGGTTTGCTAGAAATACATAATCTACTATCACCACAGCATCTCATCAGAGAGGCATTAATATGTAAGTTAGCACCTAACTCATCAACTCATCAATCCAGGCCACAGTACAAAAACAATCTTCAAACACTGCAGGCATTTTTCCATTTTCCTTCATTAAACATCCAAAAAACATCGATTAAGAAGATAGAAATTTCCTTTCATTTTGCCTGTCAAAATATTGAAAAAAAGGAATTTATGTATCAATGATTTTCTGTGTGTGGGACATCTGTAAACTCATCAAGGGCTTGGCCTATCCTTCATGTAATTATATAGTTTCCAATGATGTATCTGAAAGGATGCTTCATGACTGCTAGTGTGTACATATATTACCTTAAGCTGCTTCAAAGGGGAAGAGAACATAGGCACCACTAGATTTTCATGTCTATTGCCAAGTGCAATCTATGGATGATGATAATGTCTATGCACTTTGGCTAGCCATACCTTCCAACACCTCCAAAAGCACTGCTCCAAAGTTTTGGGTCCTTACTAGCAGAAAAACTATATGCAGATCGGTTGTTATGTAGGGCAGGCACTACATTTTACACTCTAACAATGTACTGATATTTATCATACTTGACTAATCCTGAACTTCAGTGAAACTCAAAACTGGCAAGATACTTTAGCCAACATTTTATGGAGCTTATTGAGCTTACCGAGTTTTTAGGAAATTACCTTGAATACCACTAATTATGAGGAAATAAAACCAGCATCTTAATTAAAAGCTTAGCTTACTCTAAGACTATACTATAATAGCATATTTTGTTTTAATCCTGCATCATACTTATGGTGAGTACCTTAATAGCAAAGAGGTTGGTTTTGAAGTCACATATTTTAATTAATTCAATTGTGTTTAACTTTTATTTTGATCTTTATACAAAAATACTACTATTAAGTTAGAATTAGAACTAAATATGAACTAGCTTTCTGAGCTCCTATAATTAAACTTAATTGGAATAAGTGCACTCACTCTATAAAAGGATGGACCACAAGCCTATAGAGTATATATCTTTGAATTATAAAAATAAGAAATATTTATAATATACTACTCTGACTTATTATGTACTGTTGTAGTTCATATATTCATCTTAGTTCTGCATACTATTGCACTGTTATTATAATATTACAATACTGTATTAGGCTAGTTATTAATTTAGCTATACTATTTAAGATCTTTATTCTAAGTGTGTTTGTGCATTCTAGTAAGACAGTGCAAGTAATCAATTAATAATAGTGTACCACTAGCAAAAGAAGAAAATACATGACAGAAGCATCCAAGTCATAAAAATGTGTAGCATATAGACTATGTAACTTGCAATAATAAATAATATCATAATTGTTTTTCATTTTACTGTAACTCTATCTCATAGCTGAAATGGTTTCTATGTTGGATCCTAATAAGCTATAAGTAATTTCTCAAATATCCGAATGGAGCCCTACAATAATTAAGCAAGCTCCATTTAGTGAGTTAGTTAGTTAGTTAGTTGGTTGGTTGACTACTTTAAGTGCATCAAGTACTGATCATGCTAGGCTAGGCTAGGTTATATTTTTAGGGCTCTCATACACTGCAATGCCCACATATTAATAGTTACCAGTAGTGACTTAGCTTAGTTTAAACTTCAACTACACTATGTACTCAACTGCATATATGCATGCAAAACAAAGCTTCCATCTGATGCAACCAATTTATTTGTAGCCTTCCCAGATGGCTGCATTGTATGGTTAGTTTCATTGTATAAATTATATAAGCTTCTTGTATATTATAATGCTGCATTTATTTTGCCAACTTGAATGCTTTCAAATTAGTTCCTCAAGCCTCTGTATATGCAATTATTCATGTCAATGTGACCCCAAAGATTCAAATTTATATTTATTTATTTATTACTTATTATTTAGAATATCATTATATATACCTCTAAACATCATCACTTCCTTAGTTTATTAGATGACAAAAAACTAACATAGAAATACTATACAAGATAGTATTATCTCAGTCTAGTTCCGTCAGGTTCATAGTACTATATCTGTAAACTCTAACTTTAGGCAACTAACTCATTCACTTTGGTACTAGAGTTTTAAATAATGCAGATAGAATTAGTTTATAGATATTTGCATGATCTATCTGTAATAGACAGAATAATAGGTTATAGTTGAGAAACATTTGATTGCTGCAGAATAATAAGTAGTTATCATTTTGATTATCAGAAAAAGATAATGTGATGGAGCAAAAGCTATGGAAGAAATAGTGGACCTTATTTAATAGAGATTCTTCCATATACTGTTCTAGCTTTTGAAGGACTTTTGAAGCCTCTTTTTCTATATCTATTATAGAGAGCTGGTGATGTTTATTAGCCATAGTGACAGTTTGACCATTAGTATTAAATATAAACCCAAAGTTTTGGCCTTTCTTGAATATGACAGGGTAGTATTTAAGTCATATGTTTTCATTCTATTTAATCGATGCTCCAACTTTATACTACTATTATTTCTGGACCTTTGTAGATTAGGTATTGGTGGTTAATAAATATTAGACTGACTTATAATATCAATCATTATTCAAGTAGAGGGAAGCTGTTCTCCAATACTTAGGAGTCAAATCTGATATTTCATAGTTCTTAGTTAATATCACACACACCTATTAGTTTCTGACATCCCAAACCTAAACCCAAAATCTGAAACCTAAAACCTAATAAATCCAACACTTTCAGATGACATTGTTTCCTATGTTCAAAATATTGATCTCATACTCATCACTAACCTCTAAGACTATTTCCAAATCACAGACTCCTGGGTTGAACATACTTGTCTCT